TGGTCGAATTTGTTAAGTCACGTGCGTAATTGGATTACGGGCAATTAGAATTATGGGTATTTCAAAATAAAAATATGTTTTTATCAATCGTAGATAATCATTTGCTAGAGAGTTATATTGAGATATTGCTTGGCCAATATAAGAGGATTAGCGTAAGTTATTCTGATTTGTTTACTAAATCGGATAATAAGTATTATTTACAATGAGGCGATATGTAAATTAGTGTATTACAAAATACTACCGGCTGTACCGGCCAATTAAGCTGATTATTTAGGTGTTTGTTTGTATTAAATCAAACTATGCCATACGCCTCCACGAACACGCAAACTAAGTCCCAAAAATTATTTCCCATCTGCTATGAACTCGAAAATACTAAATATATTTTTTTACGAAACAATGTCAGTAAAAAGACACAAAGCATTCCAATGGTATTAGTTATTTAACTGAACCCTGACAAAAATTATGTTCGAGTCTACTGATAACTATAGGATGTTAGGTATGACTACTTACAAGTATTCGATTCTTATCCGATTCCTGAATTTTCTACTCTGATTCTCGATTCCTCGACATATATATAAATATACCCACCCAACAATACCATGAGAAATCAAAAAAGAGAGCGATGTTCAAATATCTGGACGAACGAGAAGGCCAAAACGAAGTAATATGGGTATCCAATCAGTCACAGGAGACAAAATTGACACAAAAAACGAATCCCTCGGAACCCAGAGAGATTTTAGAAATAAATAAACGTAAAAGCCTTCTAGCTAAAAATAAATATATATAGTGAAGTTTGCGGCGTCGTCGAAACTCAACATAGCAGTAAAGCAGTTTATACATATATGTGAAGGAATTGTCACAAAGCGTTACACATTGTTTGCAATCCAAGTTTTAACCCCGAGAATCGATTCCAACGCATCGGAGTCGATTCTAGTCTACTTTTACCTAAAAATTAGGATGCTATTAAACTCTAATCAAGCATTCAAGCAAGAAAAGTGTATTAACAGCATAGCCTTAATGGCACTTTCGTCTATTCTTGATGCTTTTGGTTCAATTTTAAATGCCGTGAACTAATTTCAACTGGCATTGCAAAGAATTATCTGCAAATTCTAACAGATGGAATTTTAGGCGCCAGTTATAATTATGAAATATACCCCAGGCATAAACCCATCATCCCCCATTTGAGAATTTTATTTTACAACAGGACCAAGCGCTATCTGTACAGCAAATGACTTCCCCTAAAATTATGAGAGCCACCAAAGTGCCAGAATAATGTAACTTGAGAATGTTGTTTTCGAATTATCTAATTCGACTTTTAATTTTGTCCGATTTTGCGTCGTTCAAACGCGCTTTTTATACAATAAGAGCAGGTTTTTATTTGCAATATCGATATTGGAAATTTGAAACAATTGTTTAAAAATGCTATAACAATGGGTTAAAAAGTAAAATATAGATTTAAAGCGGATCGAATAGATCACGTTAATCTTTAAGGTTTTCGGAGAACTCAATTTTATTCTATTACGTTTGCTTCGGCCTTATGGGATTTCTCAAAGAAATATAAAAAAATAGATCAATTTTCTAAAGAATGATCTCATTAAAATGCCATACATAATACTCCATTAGACATATCGTTATGGAGAATGTTTGAATTTTGTTTCTGTAGGCGAATACTGCTTGATAAAAGATGAATGATGATTCTCATAATGGTGGCTAATTTCAGTCTATGCCCGGGGATATTGACTCTGTGATACATACAGGTCGCAATTTTACACCGCCTTGTGTATTACTCTCTAATACCAGATGTCGTTTTTATAGAAGTTACGTACGTTGTGATGTGAGATTGGACTTGTGACGTACGAAATACGTAAAATTGGGCTATAGAATTATTAATATATCAATTTGGTATAGAGATATGAAAATATCTGGTAACAGTTTTGGCAATATAGGCAATTTTGATAATATCTGTATCGGTATCGAATAACCAATTTTAGCACTGTTATTATTACCGCCAATATTTTAAGTCTCTTAATCCATAATATCATTGACTACGATATTGTAAACAAACATGACATATAAACAAGTCACGAAATAAAATATTTTCAGATCGTTCAAAGCGATATTTCGTTATTTGCGACTAAAGTATTTCAAAAAGACACCTCGTTACCTCTGGCATAAACTATACCACATTTACGACTATTTAAAAAATTAACATTTTCTAATTGATGGAAATGATTCTAACAATGTGTTAGTGTCTATTCTCAACAAAGAAACACAATAGTGTTGTACCCTTCAGTCGTAGTACCTTGTATGTGCTGCTCTCGCAGAAATTGTCGAATTTCATGAACTTTCATACAGCTACATACAAAATTTAGATTTACATTTAAGCTTTAATCAAAATATCTAAACTATGAACTTTAAAATGATATGCATCAACTTTTACTTTGCAGAACTAACTACATAATAAAAATCTTTCAAATAAATTGAGTACTTTTATCAATTCGCTCCTTTCTGTACCTTGCAAAAAACTTTGCCCAATTCTGGGTTAGGCAGTTACTTAAAAATGAAACCTAAATTAGCAACATTTTACATTCCCAGTACACAACCTTGCCATTCTGTCACAAAAGTACAAATCGAAATAGACACACTAATTGAAATTGAATTAATTTTAGCAACACTGGTATTCTCCCATTGTCAAACATATTCTCCCATTGTCAAACATGACTGGGTTTCGTCAAAATAGAATATTTAATTGAGTTTGAAAATTTATTTTATTTTCCGCCATCATGATTCATGCGACAAAAATTTGGGAGTAAACAACTTTGGACGTGAATGATAAACAATCAGAAACAAAATCGCAGCATGGTTTCTCAGTATATGATCGGACCATAGGCTAGCTATTAGTAGCTATCGATAATAATTGGAGATACAGTTGCAAGACGTTTAATGTAAATTTTACTAAAATTTTGAGCAGATTTGAATTTTATTGAATATAATTTCAGATTCTACTATAGGGTGGTTCACGTAACAAACGACAAAAATAGATCGCATATTAAGATATACCCATGTTATGTGTATATCGAAAACAATTGGACTATGCGCATTTTCACCTTCAATATATAACTAAAACTGATTAATCAGATACTTTCTTACTTTATAAATTTTACTTACATTACAAATTTTTCTGCAAATATTCCTCAAATGCAATGTATAGAATCCTAGCTTTAAATGCTTAATAGCGATATAAAGTTTATAGCTTCGCTTCAACTATATATATACGTTCACATACAAGACAATTTATGGCAGGATAGTATCGGGTGTCTTCCAATTCAAAGAATCGGTGGCAATCTTGCGGTTTTGTATGCTTTAGGTTTCCATTAAAAAGAGAACCTCAATTTGGCGAAACAAATGTATTCCAGGTCACCGAAGAATATGAAAAAGAATCCTTTTCTCATTTCAGGAATAAGGATTAAACCCTAGAGCGGTCGTGTTATTACTTTGTTTATGTAAACGGCAGTATTTATTATTATTACATTTATACCACCCTTCCTGTTCAACCAATCACAGCCTACGATTCCATGAATATGTCAATTTGCACGTTTCCAAAGCACAAGACAATCCCCCAAAACAGGTAATGAGAAATACAACAAGACGTTACAATGACAATTACAATGAGCTTTTTTACGTAAATCACGTTGACCGATTGGCGCAATGAGTTGGAAGAAGGCGAATGACGACAAATTAACATCTATTGAAAATAGCCATTTTTCTGATTGAATAAACAAACACAGTCACCAGTGCGATACTGATGATTTCAACTTAAACAAAGATGTATTTTCGATTGCAGGAATCGACCAAAAAAAAAAGAATTCAAGGGTCCCGAGTAGAAACTGAGTTTCAGCAAATTCTAAACAAGATGAGTAGCTCTTCCCTATTAAATTCCATTAAGCAATTATGACTGGCGAGTTCATAATACCATGAGATATCGGTAATATATTTAAATTTTGAGTAGAAATTGTGTTACAATATCGCAGCAACCAACCCAACATGTCGTAAATGAGATGTGTATTGTATTAGCGACATGGAAAATTAACAAATAATATTGAAAATTCGGACGATTCGTCACAAACTAAACCTGAGTCTCAAGTAACTTATGTGTACTATTTTGTCGTTCCGATTTTGAATTTTGAGTCATTTTCACGAATCTAGATTCAAGTAAAATATTTGAAGAAAAGGAGAACCCTAGACGTGTGCAGTGAAATGAGTATCGAAGTTGTCAGTTGTAAATTTTCACATTCTTCACTTCAGACTTGTTGTCAGTTGTAAATTTTCACATTCTTCACTTCAGACTTCGAAAGTCTTAAATCATGTACAATTTAAGGCATCATTGATATCACAGTTTTAAGCAAATGAAACGTGAAATGTGGCACGGTTTCTGTAAATGAAAGTGTTAAATGATGTGCGAAATTGAATTTAAATTTATATGTAAAAAAGCAAAACTAAGAAGTATAAATAAAAAAAGAGGATATAGTAAACCACGTTAGCAAGGATTTTACTTTTTGTCAAAATGGACATTAACTTAAACTGGTGACAAGGTAACAATATTCGAATGCGAAGTATAGGAAATAGAGGCGAATCGGACACAAAACGGAAAAATAATAATAAATGAATAAGAGACGCGATTAAGTGAAATCTAAAGTCAAAACAACATGACAACATGAGTAGGAACCTGAGAAGAAGATCAGTAAGGAAAAGAAGAGTATGGAAAGGGAGGGAGATAAAGGAAAAGTGAAGATGTGTAGTGGAAAGGAAAGGCGGAAAATGGATTCGGATAAAAATAAAAAAAGTAAAAGGATTGGGTCTTCTGCAAGCTGATGTGTCTAAATAAAATATACGGAGATATATACCCGCATAGTACGCGTATACTCTGTCAATTATTAACAAAATGCTTGTATAAATAGCGGGATTTGACCGGGAGTGTCTCCAATTTTAAAACTACTTTGCAGGCCGAAACCAAGGGGATGATTGTTTGCCAGACAAATAGGTAGTATACATTTCTCTAGTTCCGAATGTTTTTTTGACATTATAAGGCATTGGAACAATAATCCCTATGCGTTCTTTCCATGTACGGTAGTTTGTTTATTGGAACAGTAGCAAGATTTAGCGAAAAGTTATTTAACAAAGCTACAAATCACTCGTTAACTATTGAGCGTCCGTATATTTATCTGCAGGAAGTTGTACAAGTTTGCAGGTTCTGTTTTTACGGAGTTGAAGTTGCAGATCAATTTGGCATAACTTTTGATGAGTGACAAAATGTCTAGCTCCTAACGAAATTGTAAACACTTCTTTCCAGCGCCGGTAGTGATGAAAGTCATTAATTTGTATCGGATATTCTAGCGTGGGTTACTACTGCATTTAACGCGGGATTTTCAAATCAGTAGATGACTGACAGAAAAATATCGTCAACTGTGGTATTTGGTAAGATGCAAAGGCTACTGGCAGATTAGAGTGACGCAATTAAAATCTCAAAAACATACAATGACCACGAAATCGCGTTTGTGTTGGGTGACGTATTATAGTTAGAATTCGCCATCACTTCTAATCTAATTGCTATATAGGTCATAGGGTTAATGATTTCAAACGTTTGCATACGTTACCCTGTTGGTATTTTGTAGTCTAACGTAATTTCAAGTCACATGCGAATGCGTACAAAGTATTTCATTTACAGAGGTATGTATGCATACGTGTGTACTCAGCAATTATGTAATCAGGACTTGCACAATTTTATCTGTTGTACAACTCATTAAGCAAACTATCTTCGCCGATTAATAATCCACCACTGTACTTCATAAAGCCGCCCTTATAACTGAACGTTTGAGTTCGACAACAAACAACCATAGACTGACTGAAGTAGTAAATGTGCCTGATTATTGCCGGCACTGTGACTTATCTGACTGTGAAAATGACGAAGGCATTTCCGGACAAGAGAATTTGGGCTTTAGTAGCTTTCACTGCATTAACTTTTTTCGTTGGAATAATAACTATGAGTGTGGGAATAACCCTCATAACAAAATCAAAACAAGCGGAGGACGAAGCTACGCCGATGCCAACTCCAACATATTCAGTCTTGTATGACTCAAGTTTATTGCAGGTTAGAAAATGGCGGGAATGCCGGTACAATTTGCATAGATATTATTCAAGCACAAAAACTGCCTTTTTTGAGCAAAGACAACACGGAAATATCTAGATAACATTCATATTAATTAACTTAACATTAACTTGCGGGGATATATTGCAATTCTAACAACGTTTGCAAATATGAAAACACAGGGTTTGACTCGTATTTACTGTTGTTGAGGCTTTGTACATACACTTCTAGGGAATTCAGTGTAACTATGTTTTTGGAATCCTATTTGGCCTATTCTACTCACCATCGTCTGAATGTGAACTACACTCAATACAGTTCAAATACAATCTTCGCTTTTCCCATAGCAAGCCTCTTTCATTCGCTTTAAAAGATTTGCCTGTTCAATTGACAGCTTCAGTATCAATACAAAATGGAAAAGACTGTGCTTTCCACCCATTTGGCCCAAGCTGCTGACGGTCGAAGACCCCTGAACTACAGTTTTGTTAGTTCTGAACAAGGTACAAACTCGGAATCAGATCAGACTGTCAGCCTTCGATTCAGCAGTGAAGAAAATGGCGACGCTCAAATGACTATGACCTTGAAAGACCTCGGAATGGAAGGGGTAAGTACCAGAATAGCATAGCATTATTAACAAGTAAGTTACAGAGACCAGGGGAAATTTAATATGGTCAATAGTGAATAACAATAATTTGTGTGATCAATATCAAATATTAAAACAGGGCGTAACATAGAAAAACTCAAATTATAATCTCAACGGTCCTTTTTGTTTTCATTTAAAAAAAATCTCTCCGAAGTCACACATATACTACATATAAGTGGATATATGAATGACAAAAGTTTTTTTTTCATTGAAAACTTCGTGAAGAAAAAAAACTGCAACTAAAAATATCTCTTCGACTATCTAGTTTCGCCCCCATATGTAACTGAAAATTTTTACTGAAAAATTTTATGCGAAAAACAAAACGAAGCGTAACATAAGTAACAGAGATTTGTAATTACAAAGTTTTTATAACACGTACTAATGCTTTGCAGTCCCTAGTTTTCCTTGATACTCTGTGAGAAATAAAGTTACGATTTCGAGATTTTTAAAAATGCCGAGAATAAATAAACCTATTAATTAATAACTTTCTCTAAATGTGAGCACTTTTAATTCGGCACATATATAATTTTATGATAGTTCAGCATAAATATCAAAACTTAATTTACGAGAAAGTGGTAGAAACAAAAAAAACATTCTTTTGACAATTATCTAGGATATGAAAAGGCAATATAGGGATGATGAAACAAACCCATTTTTTGAAATTATGAACTATATCACGATGTAATAAATTGTTTTTGTTGAACACGAAATATACAAATGAATCGTTTTGTTAAATTGTTATTATTGTTGTTGTTCTTGTCGGGATGCTTGTGATCGTTGTTGTTGTGGAAAAATCACCCCCTCTCTCCCAGTACTTGAAGATGGAAATAGTCGCCATAAGGATATTGTTCTATTTTCATATTTTTATTGTGATGACTACCAGGCCCAATAATTTGCTCGAAATTTGGCCTAATTCGAAGTAACTGTTTTGACATTTGGCTCTCGTGCCCATTTATATCAGCATTGCCCGCTTGTTTTTGATAATATACCATATCAAAATATAACTATAATCTAAACTAAACCAAACTATTCATGATTTTAAGTATTCATCAAACAACTGTGTTCCAATGTCTTTACGTATTCTAAATATTAATCATATTACATAGCAATATGTATTTGCTTAAATGAAATATAATGATATCATACGACGATGGATCTTCTGTCACACCCACAAGAGGCAATATTATCATTTTCACGTGATGGTGAAATCACATTGACGAAACAACTATATTTACAAATGAAGAAAGAACATATGTTGTTTGTTTATTTTCCAGAACGTTGCTTCCTACGAAGTATCATGGACTAGTGAAGCAGAATGGTTGGAACCAACAGACTGTTTTTCAATGTCACCATACGGAGATGGCTGGTTCGGTGGTTCAGAAATGTATTATCAGTGGTGGCCTATAAACAGGTGAATAAAATTAATAAATACCGAATTGTCATATTATTCCTAAATACAAGATGACCCCAATGGGGGTCAGTGAACTGACCTCAGGTCAGTAAATATGTTTAATATGTATGTGAGACCGATGTAGACCGTGCTTTTTTTGGTGATTTTAGACTCACAATTTAAAATCTTAGATTTTTTAGTCATGCTCAGTCCAACACCGATTTCCGATGTGATTAATTTCTTGAAAATGTGCTTTCGCACATAGTCTCTGCATTTTCCAACAAAAATAAACGTAACGCGTGCATTCAAACTTTTTCGAGCCATACTTTTACGCGTTCTATCTTACAAATTTGCCAAGTCTTCCATTTTTCGAAACCGATTTTTCAATAAAGATGTTCTTTTACAAAGCATTCGTGTATATTAAAAATTTAGGCAGTAAGGCCTGATAATGAATATTGGGCTAATGTCAATATATCTTCCGACTATTACAACAATGCAGGAGGCTAATGTCAAGAGTTTAAAATTAGTTCACAAACAAAACGTGCGGTAGTTACCACATAACATTTGGTTTCCACGATGCACTCGTGACCGGATATCTTCTGGAAAATTAATCTTAAATTTAATAATATCATAATATAGAAGCAATTCGTCGTGTTTTACTGACTTTGGTCACTGGGATACTGTATTATTATATTATATTCAATTAAATCATTAACGTTAGCTCTTTGAAGCGACAATCAGGTATTTACTTAAATAATCGCGTAATACCCGAGCCCTCAATATAAAGCTGAACGAATATATAAGCATCACACCATATAATTGTTCATTGTTTGCGCGTGCTTTTACAAAAATTACTCAAGGCCAAATATGACGATCACTTTCAAGAAAATCCAGATTTGGTATCTGAAATATAATTAACATATTATATGTGTGCTAAAATTGTATTTGAAACGATACATCTGCACTGCCCTATGTCGTTGATTTATACCACTCTTATACATGATATATGACCGATTGATGATAATTCTCTTTAAATTCTGAAATTTGATGCATTTTTACCTTTTTTATTCATTTTTTACCCAATTACAATAAATTAAAAACTAATACAAAAATGGATTTTGAAGCTATTTAATTTGTTATTTTTTTACTAAAATTAATTTTCGTCTATGCAGCGATCGTATTTTGCATTGACAAATGCATTTTCGAATATCTGATGATTTCAGAATCGGATCGACTATATTATTCGAATAGAATCCATAATACTTGGAAGATTCAGACACATAAATTAGTGAAAACAAGTAACCTAGCACTCGAACAGTTCCCACACAGTGAGTATAACATCTCTTCCCAATAGTTCACTCGGAAGAAAAGAGTCTTTATGTCAGAATTGCACTTCAAAAATATGAAATGAATAAAAACAATGAGGGATTCATCTCGACCTGTAGGCGAACAAAAAAGATGTCGGCGATTCGAAATTATTGTCCGAACCGATTCGAATAATTTACTATTTGATTCGATTCAAAACGCCCAGCCTTATTGACTTTTAATGAAAATACCAAACCCTCATTATTGTTTGGGTTTAAATTGAAGAGAGGCACATCACGACTTACAATACCAGTATTTCCAATTTGGTACAAGATACCGCCATTTTTGACATAGCATTTTTACTGTACAGGTGTCCTTGTGTTAATTCAACTACACGGAGTCTACCGTCATCTTAATCAGAGACTCCATCGACGTTTAAAATGATAACCCCATTCCAAGCAATTTTGACCCATTCTGATACAAAATTTACAGTCAACGTGAACGCTTTGAAGTTACTTCATTTTGTCTCGTTTTTGATTTTAAAATGGATTCTATTCCTATGGTTCAGATGGTCAAAAGAGATGTCGTTCTACTTATCGGGAGATATGTACTCAGATGCTCAACAATATGGTTCTGTATTGGAACGGTATTGGCTTTCGGCAACTGGGGCAGCATTGTATGTTGATGCTGATGTACCTTTGCATGTTAGCACTGAAAATTATAGACTATGTTTCAAGGGTGAGTTCACGTGATAAAACATTATGCTTGTTTATAAGTGACATTGGGCGTTGGATGTTTGCACCATTGTTTATCAATGCCCTTTAAATTTATCTTCACAGTAGAGAAGCCGCAATATACAATCCTAGTTTGTCGTTTTTGTTTTCTGGAGAGCGGAATCAAATACAAATTTCCATTGAACAATATTATAGACTCGACAGAAAACGTTATTCCACTTTTATGTATATTAAATTCTCTTTACCAGCGTGCCGTAGTAGTAAGCACTATGCCCGATGCCGATAAAGAGAAAGCGGTAGTCGTCCCAATTTTCTAATATTTCTTCTGCCTAATTGTGACGTCTCACAAAATCTTTCAACTTCCGCTGTAGGATGAAATGTCAAATGTCAAGGTTTACCACAGACAGACAGGACATTCAGTTGTGGCTTGGAAACTCGAAATTAGGGCGAATATATTGGTCACTGTAGCTCGTCCTCAAATTGTAAATAAACATTTATTTACACATTTATGAATGAAAGAAGTGTTAGCTTACGCGGTAATCTACTGACATTACAGAGACATGAGTACTAAATGGTGTAATGATTATTTCTCAGGAATGAATTATGCAAAAATATAAAAATTATTATATTGAATTTTCTTTCGCATAATGATGATTACCACTTACCAATGAAAGTAGTAGATAGTTCTGCTCTATGTCAACGTTCTATTTACTTTTGAATAATATTCTGTTTTATCAAGGATGGGCTGTGTGTCTTGACGTAAATTTACGCTTTTATTACGTAACCATCGCAAAAATCATTTATTTTATTCCGATGACCATTGGAATGATTGAGAAGAGCAGTGAGTATTACACAAAACATGAATCATACTAAGACCCTTTTTTAGCGCGGTATGTGCATGGAATCGACGTTTTCTGGGGCCTTTTTTCATAATATTTACCTTTCCACATATTTCTTATTTAGGTTCATTCAAAAATTCACCGTATAGAGAAAGTGCAACGTCATCAGAAGGATTACCATTTCTGAAATATAGAGTTTTTCTATCACCAGACGCAAGACAGACGCATGAATATGTGTTTTTGGTACGTGCTTTGAATATACCATTTTGGAATTTGGTTTTTTATTTAAAGTAATTCAAAAGTTGCAAGCCCGTACTTAGGACTATGAACTTAATAAATGACTTTTCAATACATTTTGTTGAAGATAGCTATTTTTAAAACATAATTATAACTTTGTATAAAACGTATGGTATTAACATGTTCTGGCTCTTTTGATTAAAAAAAAATTTTTACATTGCATACCTACTCACACATGTTTTCGTTTTTAGCTTTTCTTTATTTTTCTTTTAATATTTTTTTTATTAGCGCGCAACAAACCACTAAATCCGATCCAAGTTTATGGCTGTTTCAAACGATCTAACGTAATAAAAGCGTATTCCACGGGAAGAATAATTCCGTCATGGTATCATATCATTATATTCTTATCGTATAACACAACTAGGACTGCAACTGTATCCTAAGGCAGTGTTACTCAACTTTTTTTTATCACGACCCACTTGGCATGGCGAAATTTTTTCGCGACCCTCAGAAACTAAAATAAAAATAAAGCAAAATTTATTAATATAGAAAATACTGAAAAATAATAATAAAATTGCCAATACCTGTAATGAGACCGATGTGCTTGCATACATTTTCGCACAAAAGATCGAATCTTGGCTTAATTTCGGTGATGATAGGTCTCAGTACCGGTTCCAAATCATTCAAATTTGATCGATACTTTGTTTCAACATAAATTATTGGGAAAAAAGATTTTTCGGCGACCCCCAATGGGCCCTTTTACGACCCATCGGTGGGTCGGGACCCCCTGTTTGAAGAGCCCCATCCTAAGTTATTATGACGCAACAAAACGAAAGTAATATCATAATGAAGAAAGAGATAAAGTGGACCATCGACATTAGTATACAATTGTCTGTATTTACGCAAGAAAGCCGTAACAGCATAACAACAATTTCCAAAAATCTTAATTTTAAATCAGTCTATAATTTTTTAGTATTGCAGATTTCTATTTGAAACACTAAGTCGAAATTATCATCTTTACGGAACATGCGTGATATTTCTATTTGGGAGTAAATTATATGTGAAAACGTAGACAAGTTCACTAATACAATGGAATATATCATGACTGGTATATATTAAGTCGAATATTGGCATCTGTTTATTAGGCATGACGTCATAATTATGCGGTCATGTGTTCTCAGAATAATCTTTTTAGAACCATGTTTATCGCCGATTTATCTTTGATTCATTCTTGAAGTTATTATAATTTAACACTTAAGCTTGAACTTCACGTCTGTCGCTTTCAAACAACATCTGGCAAGCAAGTTAAAATAAATTGAAATGTGATTATCTTTGATCAATCATAGAGTGTTAATAAATAAACAAGTCCCATACGCGGATGAATATAATTTATAATCACGGTTTAAAGCAAAATAACATTTTCAAGTTTATAGCGTAACAATAGCTTAGCTGGATGCCGTCTGAGAAGCGTATTCGCCCCAAGTCCGCAATTTAGTGGTTTTTCACATTTAATGGTAATTCCTTCAAATCAATCCATTCTGTTCTTGAGGTCGTTGTATTTGAATTGACGTAACTCGATCTTTATAGGTTTATTCCCTGCAAATTGTAAAGTGCAAGTAAAATCATGAGTCACAAACTTTATTCGTTACCAATAAAGTGTTAATTACTTTCGCTTCAGCATTCTTCCCCATTCTTACATCACGAATTAAATTTATCGACGTTTGAATAATTTTTGACAAACACAATAAATTGCTAACCCGAATGACTATTTATTCAATACATATCGTGAACACAAACCGAAGACGAGATATGTATGCATTGACAATTCCTGGTTCAGTAGCGCTCCAGCACTTCGCCCATAATGTATAGTATATTACAGGAGGCTATACAAAGATTCCGGTACAGTCCTTTTCATGTATATCATTGATTACTTAGGTCAAGCTTGTTATGAAACAAGGCGTAAACATCTCATATCTCATCTCATTATCAATCATATTTACGTCAAATTCATTTATTGTAAAAATACATCGATTGTGTTGTCGGGCAATATTTCATTATGAATAATAATATAGGTTTGGGGACGAAATTCCATGAAGCACTATCATCCCCAATAAATTAATAAAACGATTTTAAATAGTCTTTATTGCAGCTTACACAATTTAAAGCAAAACAGTTTGAAGACATATGTGTTCGGGAACTGTTCTATACATACTTACATGAAAAGTCTAAACATTAAATTCTTGTTAACCAAAGCATATATTTGCTCTAAACAAGGCAATGCATAAGTTGCCGCTCAGGCGTAAAAATATGTTTAAGTTTGGAAGAATTATCGTTCGATTTTTTTCCCTATTTTCACAGTAGGAATGGATAGATGGTCCTGATTGTTATTTAAATGGCTCTTTCTTAGCGTGCATTTTTAGCTGTCATAGAGGTATCAGTTTTGATTTTTACGGTAGCTACACAAAAGGGTTGTGTTGGCAACCAAGTAAAGTCTTGTTCCGCCTCTTTATAGAAATCTGGACTTTTGAAACGACCACAACAACTTCCCGATCGACGAATGATTAAATCACCAATCTGGTCTACATGGGCAAGATATAAACAAAATGTCACTCAAGATGTCGTACTTGGATATGCAAATGAAATCGAATCAAAGGGATTTAGTAATAGCCAGCTTGAAATTGATGACGGGTGAGATGTTATTATATATGTGTATATGGTTTACATAGGCGAGAAAATAGATAAACAGGTTGTTTGACGTTTATTTTTGAAGCGTCTTCGACTCCCGACTCTAGCCTCCGGGTAAACACCAGCCACAAACTACGAAAAATTCAAATTCTGATAACAGAAAAATTTACCTATGCGAGCCTAGGTCTTCTTTGATATACTGTTAAGAGCGTCTGGTAAATTTTTTTTCGAGTTTCTGTGAGAAATTTTGACATCTATAATATTTTCATCATTGACAGTCTAAAATTTCGACTCCGACGAATTCGATTTTTTTTCGTTACAGTTACGAAACGAGTTACGGAGACTACACTTTCGACCCAGTGAAGTTTCCAGATGCAGCTGGTATGATAGAACAACTACACAATAAAGGATTTCGAGTCACAACATGGGTGACAACATTTGTTAATAGAAGATCTGTAAATTATAATGAAACGCAATATTTTGTTAAAAATGGCGAAGGAGATGTTGGCAACGTTGTTTGGTGGGATGGAGTTGGAGCTCTGGTCGACTATACTAATCCTGCAGCTTGTGATTGGTGTGTATTCAATTTGTTTATTGGGTAATCCCGTAGTGTGTGTACCAGGTTAGAGTTAGGCCATAATTTGATTCCGATTTTCTTTATTTTGGTTTTATTACGAATTCGGGACTGTCTGTATTAGCCAAGTGTGTTAGCCCATATGTTTCAGTACCTTTACAGAACTTGATGTAAAATAGTCAAACAAAATTAGTTACCTTCATATTGGTACACACACTTCTGGAGCGTCGTTTATTGGACTTGTTTTGCTAAATTCTTGTTGCGATTGTTGGTAGTCTTGTTGTCGGGGTGATTTACATGTCGGAAAAATCACCTTTTTCTGTAACTGATGGACCAATCAATTTCACATTTGCAGTACTCAAAGATGGTCACAACCGCTATAATGCTATTACTTTTTTCAAGTTTTATCCGACTGTTGTAGTATTTGATATTCCAACAAAATCTATATTTTATTGTGTTAGTGCCGTTTCATTTTAATTAAATTTATTTTTTTGATTCTATCGTGCTTCTTCGCCTCCGTTACGCACGTCGCCAATCTACTCAGCAAAGCCGACTCCGTACCGGTACCGATTCGCGCGACGTTCGCGGACTTGATTTTAAATTCGGATTTGATTTCATTGTAAGTCGGGATACCGGTGCTACTACCGGTACTACTACCGGGATACCGGTTTCCACTACATGTATATATATAGTTTAGTATAAAAGCGCGTATTCATTTATTCTGCACAACCATTTGTTTACCCAAATTATTAAATGTATATATTTTTCGTATAGGCATTATTTATAGGGGCAACCGCTTCATGAATGATGTCTTTTTTTGTGTGTGTGTCTTTTTGTTTTATTAGTTGATAAAATGATCCACGGATATAGATTTGCAACACAGCTCTGAACACAAATGGGAAATCTTCTTGTTCCGTTCCGTTGTCGATAGACTAATCCCATTCATAGATGTTGAAAACATTTTTCAAATGCCTAAACCTAATAAAAAAATCTGAACGAATGAAACACCCTTTCCAACATTACAATTCATTTTTTTTAACAACTTGGGTGTGGATGGTGGCGCAAATAGCGGTAAACATTGTTTGCTCTGTTACCAAATAACATGTAGTATCTAGGAAGTTTATATTGTGTAATTAAGTTGAATGACACCGTATTTTTGAACGTCATTCTTTTATTACTGAAATATACTGTTCGGTGCAGCATTCCTTGCTGTCAAAAAGTTTATCATGCTCATGATACAGTTGTAATAAATTGATCTAAAAGCTTGTTTAAATCTCTCATTTGTACTTGAAAATATTTTGGAGGGGGTTTGAAGATATATAGTAAAAAAAAATATTTTTGACTTGTCCTCATTCAAGTGACTATTTTAAATTTTATAGATAGTCAAAACATCGATTCACTTTTTGTTTACAGTACAGGCATTTTAACATTGTAAAATGTAAGCAAAAATCGTCACTTTTCTTTTGCCCTTTTTATTCCATTGTTTGTTATTCTGTGGAAAATTTGATACATACACAACTAATCATGGTGCACGTTACTACGGACCTATATTTTTTATCAACAAGATATTTTTATCGATTTTAGAGAATAAAAAAAATGTAATTGTCGTCAATTGGAATTGCTTCATTTTTATTAGACACAATCGTTTTGTTCATTTTACCAGAAATCGGAAAAAATGCGCCATCACGGGAATATTTTTACTGTTTTCATTCAGACGAGCCAGCGATTCAAACCGGCCTCTTTAACGAAGTACCGGTATCTTCAGAATTTCCTGCCTATATATTGGTGCGTTGGTCGGTTTTAAAATCCCGAAGATAACCCCTTTTTCCTATCTAGGTATGTTTCTAATCTTGAAAAAGTACGTCAAAGATATGGAGTTGATTCTTTTAAATTTGATGCTGGAGAAATAAACTATCTAACATCAATACCTGATTACCAGACGCATGAATTCTTGAAAAATCCTGGAACTTATACAACGGATTACGCAGCATGTGCTCACAGGTATTTTCAATATTGAATGAATCTGCAACTTTACGATGCGATGTAGAAATTTGAGATTAATTCGGGCTGTTTTAATTCGCCACGATCCTGGGTCAGTCACAGGCGCTCCCGTATAGTATGTAAACCAAAGTGGCGGACACCGGAATATAATATGTGTACCAGGTTAGGGTTAGGACATTTTATTCGAATTTCCCTTATTTTAGTTCTATTACGAGCTCGGGGACTAGCCCGTAGTATTTGGACCCGAAATTATGGCCTTACTCTAACCTGGTACACATACTACATTCCGGCGTCCACCATATTGATTCACATACTAAGGGAGTACCCAGTAACAAGATAGAGTGACTGATGCATGACTAGTCAGAATATTCACTACCTATGGTAACTTGTCTCTGCTGCCGTTCCTTGCTAAATTGTTTCTTGAGTTGCAAAAACAAGCAAAATTTATTTTAACTTGGACATTATTCAGATCTGATTCGTCACACGAGCACGAATTATTTCATTAAAGACTGAGGCGCGATTGAAAATGCGACTATGGAAATTTCTGTGATGCCCTCCTCGCCTTTGGTGCTAAGCACGTGTATATTTTGCATGGGGGTAATCCAGCGATGGGAACACGATTCGTATTTTCCTACTCTCTCACTTATTCGAGTCGTTTCTGGCAATGCATTGGGGTTATCTGCGACCTATCAGTTACGATATTGCATCTTCAAAGTATGGAAAATACTTTCACTGTCGAGTGTCAACACTTATATAACGTCTGTTTGCTTTCTCATGCCCGCGCGATAGGAACAAAGAATAATTTGATTGGAGACGTGCATGGCATCAATTTGAAAATAATGAGTATAGTTAAGAATAATGCGTTCAAACACAGTTTTTACGTTAAGATTTTCAGAGTCCCTTGTGCCCAATGCCCTTCTGTTAGACCGAAGTAAAAAAAAAATTGAAATGTGCTTAGCTTCCAATTGGCGTCCACTGTGAACTCTCCCACATCGACGAAATGTGGCGCCGTATTGCTTATTTTTTTACAGATAATATAATCGGATTTTCCGAACTTTCGAAACTTTAGCAGTTCTCGGGACTTTAATGGTAACCCATAACATTGCTCAGATATCTCTCCTTTGTTTGCAAGTGAGTGGGCGTGGCCATGCTTTGAGAAAATTTCCTTACATTTTTTTCCCGAAGCATTTAAAACAAAATACACTTTCATGCTTTGCATCCATAGTAAGGTCTTTTCGATTCAACGAGACAAAAAACCGTTTCGATTTATTGCGTTTATTTGACGTTCCAGTTTTCTTTTATTTCCACGCATAATGTCTTCGGGTTAGGATCAGTTTCGGATATAGAGGGCTGTGTAAGATTATGATTGTAATGGCATGTTTAAAACTTGCCCCCCTGACTATTTGTGGCTTATTTTAATGGCTTATTTTATGTACCGGGTTGTAAAATGAATTTGTTGACATATTCGTTAATCATTACCTGTAGAATCTACATCCTAAATAATTCAGTGACGTCAGCTCACTAAATGTACATAATCGGGTCGTTGCACTAAAGTAACCTTATATATTCAGCTTTCTTGAACCCGAGTTGACAAAGACGCAAAAACAATTTTTTTTTATCTTTTTTTATACAAGAATCTTGAAATCAGGCCGATGCCATACTTTATGTTTTTTTGTAATTTGAGTCACATTACAAGCTAATTTTAACCTAGAAGTAATAAAATCATGCCGAATTTTTAGAATTGAAGTCGTTGCAAAGCTAAAAACACCGCCTTTTTTGAGGCAACATGTGCTGTGTATAGTCGGGGATTTTCACCATCGACGTTGAATTGAAAGACATTTACTTCGACCACGGCTCTCGTATCCAGATTGATGGAAATTCCGGAGAAAACTAAATTTTAACTAAATAATAAAAAACTTTGACGTATGCAAACATGGAAATATAACACTTCTCAAGTTGTTTTCATAATATGATTCCCATATTGGTTAAATATACTTTTTTTTAGACTTGGCGATCAGATTGAAGTTAGAGCATCATGGAGAAACCAAGATCTCCCAATATTCGTGCGAATGATGGATAAAGATTCGAACTGGACTCCAGCGAAAGGCTTGAAGACAATGATACCCACGGCTTTAACTTTTAGTTTACTTGGATATCCCTACATTCTACCAGATATGATCGGAGGTAGGGGAAACACTATTCGGAAAATATTGAAATTTATCGGAGATCTAGTGGTAATTTAACTGGTTCACGTAGACTTTCTAAAAAAACTCGTAACAGAACATGTATACAAAAGTTACACGTCCAAAAATGCACATACTCTCTTTGAGAATGTTAATCGAAATTCTTTAATTTAGTAATGTAAGGGGTCATTCCTCAGCGACTGGAAAGAACAGTAAAGTACAATATTATTATCGCCATATCGCTTTGCAAGCCGGTTTAAGACTGATTTATTTTCGGGCGCCGAATTTCAAAATAAAACGACAATTTTTTTGATCAAACCCAACCCAATAACGACAGCTAATCGAAATAATCGCAGTTGATTTACGATAAAATTGCTGACATCTGCGTTAGACTTCGATTTACACGCCGTACGTTAGGTGGCGTGCATAAGCCATGGCAAATTACAGACGGAACCAGCCATCAACGACGCTCGACAGACCAAATATCACTATAAGTGATCATCAAATATATATATTGTCTCCCTTCACGTCCCTCAACCACTTATCATGGCGGACTTGTTGGCAATTAGACATTTGCTAGTAGTAGTTTTTCCAATCACACAGATTAGAAATTGAATATTTATCGCTCATTTTTTAGGAAATGGTTATGAAAACGGATTTTTGCAACAATATTTACCGGAACGGGAACTTTACATTCGATGGCTCGAAATGACTGCATTTCTTCCCGCGATGCAATTTTCAATATCACCATGGCAATTTGACGACGAGGTATGATATTTTATTTTGAGAAACAAAGAAATTATACGTCACTGTATAATATATCGATATTATGATAACGGTTCTGAACAGTGAGTCAGTCAGAACAACAGAGAAATGGGGCAGTCTATTGGTTCAACATCGTACAGAGGGTCAACTGTGTGCATTGGAATAATTTATGTCTTTGCAAACCATTTTCCATTCCTGGTTTAGAAAAAAATGTTAAAATGTGATTGTGAGAATGTGATTTAGTACTCGAAAAAACAACATGAAAGCAATGCGCGAATATAGCGACACGAAGCTCAGATAATTCATGGCGCCACCGTAACGTAAAAAAATATTTCGTGTATCGAAAAGTACTAAATGACGTGAAAAAATATTGAGAGAAAGATAAAATTTGGTCTCGATAGAAAAAACAAAAACAAGTAAAAGTCTTCTTGCGACTTCTTCCATCTTTGGTCATACTAAGAATTTGAATTCAATTTAATAAAACGATCTATAGGTGAAAATCAATAATTGTTATTTGTTTAAATAGAAAAAATAAAATGCGATTTTTTGTTTCAGGTGACTGAGCTCGCAAAGCAATACGTTGAAATACACGAGACGACAGTGTATGAAGAATTAACCAAGGCGTTCCAAGAATACATCGATGGCGATACTGGAATGGGAGCGATAAGACCTATCTGGTGGATTGCACCAACAGATAAAAACAGTTATCAAATCGATGACGAATTTTTAATTGGAGATAGATACCTCGTGGCACCGATTGTGGAGAATGCCACAAGAAGTAGAGACGTTTATTTACCAGGACCATCTGGCTCTGATGGCCAACCACTTATGTGGATGGATAGACTACGAGAGGGTGGAGATCCTATCAAGGGTGGAGTCACAATAAAAAACTACGCAGTAAATTTAGAAGAAATATCTTGGTGGGAACTAAAGTAAACCAATTTTGGTTTGTAAAGATAACGTCAGATTGAAATTAAATTATTAGCTATTAAGAAAGTTTTACAGCCGTGAATACATGACGATGAATCCCGGTATAGAAAACGGTTCGTCAGATCAAACCACGAAAAAAAAGAGAAAATTTAATGACTTAGTATTGAAAAAAAATTCAGCAAAATTAGAGGAAAATTCTAAAAAAATAGACAGTGATGTCATTGTCGTCACGGAACTCGTAACCGTAATTTTTATCGATTTTTTAAACGTAATACTTGTTCGTATAAACTTCAAACAAAGACTGCCAAGCTCGGTACCCTGCTATAAATCCCAGGAATAGATGTGCAATGACTTATCAGTGAATGAGCAGGCTGGACCTCCTACACGTCATTCGGATGCATAAATTCCATATTCAGATTTAGACAATTTTGCCCTGCAATCAGTAAATTTCCCAAGAAAATGTAAAACACTATTACAAATTAGGAGATATCGGGTCAATTTTAAACGGCGGCCCTTCCTATGCTCACATGACTGTCCGAATTTCCGATCTGATGAGTAAAATATAATAAACACCGATGGAAAAGCGCTAGCTTGTTGCACTAATGAAGAAAATATTTTTTTTCCAACTATTCTATCGACTGTATCTCTGTTTCACCTCGATTTTCTTATGCTAGTGTGACCCATTCGTTAGGAGTGGGAATGACCACAAACCGTTTTCTCCGTCGATTCACTTTTATTCCATTTGTATGTGATTTTTTTCATTTGTATTTTGTACTTTAATCATGCATGGCCAACGTATGAAATTAGCGTTGTAATCATTTACGATGTTTTTTTTCCATGTCTTCGGGCATGGGCCGAAGAAGTTTTTGTCTGTACGCTATTCCATACATATTATTTTGTTTTCTCTGGTCAGATTTTCAAAGTGTTTTCAGATTTTTAGTGTCTATATTGTGCAATATTATTTTAATTTAAAACATTTATTGATGTTTTATAATTTTAGTGGATAAATTATTCGTATTTATGCATTTTTTTTCAAAACATTGCTAACCTATAATTATTATCTTTTGAAATTCAAGAATTTTTTTTAATTTTTATTTTGTCAGTTTCATTGTTGTAAACTGTTTTCATGCATATGACGAGTATTTGAACTCTGATATAGTGTGATCTATTATGTATTTTACTTGTTTGAAAAAAGAATCCATTCCAAATAAAATGCATATTTTTTGATTTTTCGAAAAATGATTTTTAGGGGATAAGATTCCTAATATTATATATATATATACAATTTTGCAGTTTCATGATTATGATTCATTGGTTTCACAATTATATATACACGTTTTTATAAACTGACTGATAAAAATAGATTTATTAAAGGGGTTAATTGTACGGATAGATCCTACGAAATGTCATAATGTAACAATAGGTGTATTTTTATGAAAAATTTATTGCAACAGAGAGAATATCCGCTTCTTATTGTCAATATGAGATATATAACGAAAATTTGAAAGTTATCGAGGCATGAGAAACATGAGCCATCTGGACCTTAAAGTCAGAAATTATTAAATGAGGCGTGGAATAGCAGCATCGATCTTCAAGGCAAAAATATGGCAACTGGTTACGCCTCATTGATTTTCAGTTCAGTAAAGAATCATGACATCAAATTTAACCATCTTGTTTAATGAACGGAATTTATCGCGGTTAGCACATTGAAGCGGTGGCGGTATTATTCCAACTAGAAACCTTTTATTTATTTATAGCGGTGGAAAAGAAACGCAACATTGTACCGCATCTTAATCATTGAAGCATAAAATAGCATAATCAAGACTGTTTACCGAATTTTAAACGCGTTCTGCAAAGACAAATATATATATATACATATATATTGCATCAAATACTTTAGAATTTCAAATAGAAGCTTAGTGTCGAATCAAATTATCTCCTATATATACAATTTTTTCTCGAAGCACAGGAGCGTAACGATTGATGTAGACTTGAAATTTTTGTACTCTCGAAGTATGTGAACCAAGATGTCGGACGGCTGTGAACCGGAACGTATTGTATGTACCAGGTTAGCGTTAGGCCATACTTTTATTCCAATTTTCCTTATTTAGTTCTATTACGAGTTCAAGGACTAGTCAAGTGACTCCCGTAGTATTTGTACCTGAAATTATAGCCTACCCTTACTTGGTACACATACTACGTTCCGGTGTCCGCCATATTGGTTCACATACTTTGGAAGAACCGAAATTTCTACTCCAGTTTAAGTGGCGTACAGGAAAAGGCATATGTGGGCAGATTTTATTTGCTATTTGATTTCTTACCTAGTTGGCTCTACTAGGTGTATAGGCAATCAGTTCCACGCAGAAAATTAGTTACTCAAGAAATTGGCTTGACCCCTCCATAACCTGGGCTTTCGGATTCAGTTGTGGACTACCAATTGAAGATATTTGTAGTTTTTGTACTACATGTCTCGTGATAAACTACTGTGACAATTCTTTACTGCCGTTTTACAGCAGTCGGCTAAGAATTTGCCAAAAAAATTCGAAATGAGAAAACATAAATAAGATTCAAGACTTGCAAGCGTGTTTAAAAAAGAAAACACGTAGCAGTCAATCTGCATGTTGTTTTGAATGAAATTTATTTTATGCGCGAACTTCCTTATAAACTTCAATGCAAGATCTCTTTTCCGGCTAGCGCTTTTGGTATTGAATCATATTGTGCTCGATTCATAACATGTCTTTCACTATTACGTAATTGAAGTTGCAGGATTTTGGTTGACACAGATATTCAAAAAAGTTGCGAAACACATTCAATGAAGAGCATTTCTCAATTGAAGGAATTGCGCTTCAAATACAGACTGAATATTCTTTAGAAATTTTCTGTATTGAAATTTCCATAGAATAAATTGTATAGGTAGTCGAACCTCATTATCGAAAATTCAACTGATGGACTCAAGTATATTGGAAGTAACTTTGTCGTTACTTTAACATAAAAGCAGGAAAAAGTTTGCAATTGGCGGGAATCGAAAAAAACATACCTATTCATCGGAATTTGTATATATTCGTATAATAAATGCTGTTGCATTCAGATTTGATCGAGACTCTAAAAGTTTACATAAAACTAACATTCTTTCGATGAATTGGTGAGATTCGTTAGATATTGTTTATAGTGTTTAGTAGTGTAGTTGATTATAAAACCGTGGAGCTGCAAATGAGTTCCATTTGACTCTGACTTTATTAGAAACCCCCCTTCAGACTTTGCAGAGTAAAAAAATAAAAATTTCGACTTCTTTTCCAGGGCATATTTCATTTAACGGTACTCAAAAATGAGTGCTAAAGTGAAGGCAAGACAAACCCATGTCATCAGTCAGACGAGGAATTTAGTGAACCACTCATTCAAATACATTGAGGCTTTGCAGGATAATTAAACCTTAATTCAAACGCATAAAATAAGTCAATTTCAAAACCCAGATACGTCTGATACATAATATCTTCTCGACCAGTCAGAATCAAAGAGCATTAAATGAAACGTATTATCACACCGTTGCAAATGTTCAAGTCGAAAAGTTCGAACTATCTGCATTAGCCCGATAATGATTTACAGCTCATGTGAGAGCCTTAATTGGAGTGTGTAAAATGCTGAGAACAGAATTAACAGGGAATATCTAATTTCTACTTTTAAAATACCAATACCAGTATACGTTACGATAATGTTAATTTCAAGCAATATTAACCACCCTGATGAGTTGTCTCCCTTAGACTGCAAATCAATCGTTGTTTTCGCGGTTGTTCTCCTATGCTAAAAATGATCAATTCAAAACTAGGAAGACTGTTTGACATATGTTTATTGAAATTGTCAGTGATTTTAACACCTTCTTCTTGTACGTGTTTATATAACGGTACTGGACTTTAAACTGTGTCACAGTGCATACATTCGATGCACAGGTCGGATCAAATCAGAGAAAGATTTATCATTAACTATCCAACAGAATACCACGCGCACAGAATACTTAATTTCACGACCCAATGAGCGAGTAGAAAACAACATAATACTTTATCTGGCAATATGAATTAAATAGACAGTTATATATCAAAGGTCATTTGAGTGAAAAAATAAATCGTAATGTAAGATTAAAGCGTACTATAGCGTTGTAATCGACACTAGTACAGCTATTATGTACGAATTGTGCTGTATATACCTGGGCTCATGGCATACACGTTTTATGTAAGATTTCTATTTAGCTCTTGGGTCTTCCACAGTTACTTTTGCTATTGGAAGCATTACCTAATAATATTCTGCCATGTCCAACAGGTTTAACTAACCATTTTCGTGAGACGAGGGGTTGAAGACAGATAGGACGAGTTTTTCATGTGGTCAAGTCGTATTATCAGCTGTTCTCTCCTGCAGGAAGAGCAAGCTTTTGTGTCCTGGGCAACCTTGCATAGAAGACATTTAATTAATGATATAAACTTTTGCGTTTTCAAATAATAAGTATCAATTTCTTCAAAGGATTATTTTTTAAACGAAACAGGTTAAAATGAGTCAACTCGTTACTTTATTTCTAATTTCTGTGATATGTGCAACGGTCGCAGAATGTCAAGTAGGCCTGCTACCTGTGCCTGGTGGATTATCGAAAAGAAGAAGGGTAAAGCCAGGCGATGAAATCATGACGATTGCCAAAGACGTGAGTTTCTATGTTCAGTATGAGCCACAACAACAAAAAATAATTTTTTGACAATTTTGTTCACAAATGTAGAAATATAGGAACCATTGGCAGACTGTTGGTGTTACGTTAATATTGGCGTGATACAATATTTCTCTTTCTGTTTTAGCTTAAAGAGGAAACAGAGAAAATGACTGGTGAAACATACCCAAAGTTTGTACCCAAGTCTTACAAAACCCAAGTCGTCAGTGGATATATGTATTACGTCAAGGTACAGTAAAATCACGATTTTCACTTTGCTTATCAATAGCAAAATGACAGCTTACAGCTTATTAAATCAATATAAACCCCACTTTCAAATATAAGATCAACATGAATTTTATACCCCTTTATTTATATAATATATTTTCTTCGGAAACTCATAATAATTAATTGCCGAATTCTCAATAAAACAGATTTGTTTCATATTTTTTTTTACCGTGCTTGACTTACAAACTTGCTGAAAGAAGATTCAAGTTCACTTCCTTAAAATCAAAGTATCAATGCTAGTTCTCTAAATACTCATTTTCTATAATATTTTTATTTAGGTAAGAGTCGGAAGAGGAAAAGATAAATTCATCCATATCAAAATTCATCACCAACCATGGATTCGGGGACCGCAGTTAGCAGATGTTGAAGAAGGCCAAACCAACGAATCTCCCATTGAGTCTTTCTAATATTCTTCAGTCTTAATTGAAATTATTATTGGCTATCATATCAAAATTATTAGTATATCAAAGACTAATTAATTTTACATGAATAATTATTATAATTTGTCACCTTATTTTTCTTACAACTGATAGTATTATATCACTCATGCTCAAATATCATGATAGCGTCTTGAAGAAAACTTTTAATTATACCAGAATAAACTTATTACGTGTTCAATGATGTCACAAATGTCTTGTCTGCTTTATAAAGTGTTTAGGACAGCGGTTCCCAAACTATGGGTCGCGACCCACTGGTGGGTCGCAAAAGGAATCTTAGTGGGTCGTGAAAAGATGTAGAAAGCTTTGGTTAATTATACTGGTTATTAGGATCGATGGGGACTCGCATACGTAAATCTTCAAAAAAAAAAAAATTTAAATCGAATTTGAATTTTGATCTGTGAAAGTTTTCTTTTTATGATCTTCTCAAAGGAACAAAAATTTGCTACACAAAGAATATCCATGTGGCTTTTTTACGCATAAGAGTTTTGTACACTGTACAGCACTTCTTACCACGTCTCCCCCAAAATTTAGACAGAATTTAGATTTATTTTCTTTTGGAGAATAACACTTTTTTTTTTTTTTTTTGAGTTCTTTTGTTTTCCTTAATCAAAAATGAAATTACATTGTAGAAAATCACAAGATTTTTTACTAAACATTATATAAAAACCGACATCCATTGTTTTTATTTGTATTTCTTATACAAAAATCAAGTGACAAATATCATAATTGTGATATCAAACAATCTTGAATAGTGGTGTGATCTTCACCTTACCTCAGGCCAATGAACCTTTCCTCTCCCACACATTTTAAATTTATTTTAAGGGTAGGGTTTAGTTAAAATCATTTCGAAAATTCGAATTAATATCTTATTTTCAGGCCAGGTCTTATTTTCGAGGAAACACGGTAGTTTTGCGATGATTAGCCATTGCCGTGTTCTGTCTTATGTCATAAAAAAAAACAAAAGAAAAATAAATTAAAGGTAAGTGGGTCGCCATAAGCTGTGGTAATAAATAGTGGGTCCCAAGCCAACTCTAAAAAGTTTGGGGACCACTGGGTTAGGTATCTCAATTACTGTTGAGGTGCTTTCCTTGGAAATGTTTTCCCGACGTCTACTTTACATCTTTCACGGCTCTATCATGCGTCAAGATCCTTCAATTGTGAGGTGTTACGTTGTCGGGTTTCAAAGTGCCGACAGAGATCATTTTTAGCTTTGTTGTTTTACTCATTGGTGATATCTGTATTTGTTTAATATTCATATACATGTTTGTGTACTACAAGTAGCTATATTAGTATGATGCAATATAGCTTCGAATATTTGTGTGGCCATGTGAATTTACTTGCTTTCGAGGTAACGCAAACACATAACTCAGTACGCTCAAACTGGTATTGTACCTTCTAATATTCAGCCGCAAGCATCACAACATTTTATGCAACGAAGATTAAAGTATATCGGTCCGATGGTAAGCGTCTTCTTGGGAGTGTAACCTCAGTCGAAAATAGTATTTACCTTCCGTAAACCCTATGTGGGCAGAGCTTGGGCTTAATAAACAAGTACGCTCTGGTGGATACCTACATCGGTTTCTGATCGCTGTTGACTCATGTTAAAAAGCTTCGGTACTAGTATGGTCTACCGGTCTCAAGTATATACAATCCACGTTTCCGGGTAGTCTTCAATTTGTTACTTTATGTTTACTGTTTAAATAAGAATTTGCGCGAAAAAAACAATTAAGTCATTGAATTTTCGTCAAGTACAAGTCGAGTCCGCCACATTGAAGTATTCTGGTTCTCCGTACTTTGGAGTAGAATCTTCAGGATCATAACCAAGTTCGCTTAACATAGGTGCAATAAGTTTCATGTCTCTTTCCACATCTCGAGGAATATGTCCAAACCAACTTGTGAGAGAATCAAGGTGCAATGGCTGCATCACTTGGTTAGTAGAAAATTCATTTCTGCAATAGAAGCGTAATAATTTTAATTTAATTGTGAAGGAGAAACAAATGATGGCGAGTATACAATCAAAAAGAAATTTGAGCATGGAAAGTGTAAATCCATGTTAATATTTGACTAATTCACAGCTCTTCAATCATAGAAAAACCACCAAAAATCTTGCAAAAACAGTAAACCATCACCAAAATAATCACCAACTATCTGTCTTATATGTCCCCCCCCCCCATTTATGTTACCTTGTGTCTTCAAATAAAGCAGTGAGGGATAGCACAAATGAGCACTTTTAATATATATCACGAATTGAGGTTCCATCAAAATTCAGAGTTTATTGTTTATTCAAAATCACTCCTTCGTAGTCAGGATCGTACATATTCATACTCTCCTAAAAAAAATACTCAGCTGCAAAAATGTTGCATTATCGGGCTAAATTTCTTACTTGAAAAGTCTCGTTTTGTTTGGATGTTTCTCATGATGTAAAATATTTTTTCTCCGAGGTATATCCAAAAATTTAAAAATTTGTTTCGTTGTGTTGATGGGCTGTAATAACAGTTGTTCGTAGTAGACTGGCAAGCATATATTTTCACCAAGTTCTTTACATTGGTCGTTCATAACTTTGATGAGTGCATTCCAAAATTGAAGACCTTTTCTAAGGAAAATAAATTAGGTAATTTCACTAATCAATTTTCATTTTTCAAAATTTTATTTTCCAACGACCATCAGCGGCTCAAAACCACGATAAAGTTGTAGCATAGTAATAACTAATAACTGCTCCCAACAGTGTTCCAATTTTTAACAAAATATCCCATCGTGTTTTTGGAGAGTTTGTGTAAAAAGTTATCATATTATATGGTTTTTGTACCTAAATTATATTTACCAAATACGCAGATCTAAATTAGAGTTATGTTGTTTTTAAATCCACATAAATCGAATGAAGAAATAGCTCTATAGAGTCAGTAAAGTGAATGTATATTATTATTCACAGACACAAAAAGAATGTCAACCTGTAGCTACTTATGTCAAGATTTTCAATTTTGATATTTCTTGTTACAATTGAATGAGCCACCGCTCTACCATCTCGAATCATAAATATAAACTTTGCATGAGGGAATAGCTTATGCATATACCTGAAAAATATATTTTATCATGAAAGTATCGTAAAAATGAACATTTAATAAACTAATATCTATAATAAAATATGTTCAAAAATAGCCATCGTTGGCCCCAGGTCCATTATGCGAAGAGAGAGAGACGACCCGATTTTCGTGTCTAAAAAATTACCTGAATAAAGCGCTGGTAAGGTGGTGAAACTATAAGTACCAATATATGTAATATAATACCAATATATTGGTCCAATATATTCAAAATTTACAAAGTTATTAATTCTTATATTGAACACTAAACATGCGCCAGTGAACAATGGTAATGACACTGCTGTTTACATGTTTCTACATTTACAATGATTACGAGGTTTGCTTGCTGGACACGAAATGTACATTTTATTCACCCTGAAAACTCGGTGTACCAGGCCTTGCCGTACAAGTACTGATGTGTATATATTTGAGCATAGCTCTCTTGCGTCCTAGGTGTGTAATATATATATTATATGCTAGAAGTGATATATCAGCTGGAAAATACCATACTTACTTCATGTATTGAAGCACTACCGGCTCTTTATTGCAATAATAGACTGCTGAAGGCCCGTGTCCTTTAATTATTTCGAGAATAAACTTTGCCATTGCTATATCCAACGCTTCAGGGTAAGCTCCAGCCTCTTGTAATGTTTTAATATTATCTTTCGGTCTGTACAATGGAATACTATTTATATATAAAATAGTGAATTATACAATTTATATTGGAGGTAACGATTTTATGTGAATCTATTCCAGGGGTCGGCAAACTACGGCCCGCGGGCCAGATCCGGACCGCGGAACAATATAATCCGGCCCGCAACGCTTCACTGAATTATATTAACAAAACAATTGTATTGACGATTATATTCTTTACGTAACAGAATTTATTTTGAGACTCTAAATCATATTATAACCTAACAAGTATATGATAATTCACAATCACTCGTGTAATGAGCCTATAAATTGATTATAATTAGACAAATGGTTTGATGGCGGATAAAATATTCAAATAATCAGTCTTCGCGCGTTGCTTGAAATTTAACTGAAATCTGTGTGAAAAAATCTGATTCATTGGCCATTCTCTCGGTTTTTAACTTTCTAAAAATATGTGCGCCCGCCAATGACTTGCAACTTGCTTTAATTTTGACCTGCGAACGAAAAAAGTTTGCCGACCCCTGATCTATTCTAATTGTATGTTGTTTGGGAGGTTTAAAAATAAAAGAAGTTTGGAATTTCAGCGTTAAATTTCAAATGTTGTGGGGTTTCCTGTGAGCCCCGGCCTGTTGCCTCGTCGTTAAGTTTGCTCATTGCAAAAATTGTTTGCTCTCGTCTAATTAGCATCAGAAATATTTGAAACTAACTATTCGAACCAAGTTTCGCATTCAAGAGTTTGGGCTTCATTTTTTGCCATTCGTAAAAGATAAGTCTGAAGTCCCATTAAAATTATTTGATAATGTTTTCGTGTTTTTACCTAACTTCGATGTACAGAGTGCATCACACAGATCTTTTTGGGGTATTTCCGTTTGATGTGTACCAGGTTAAGGTTAGGCCATAATTTCATTTCAACTTTCCCCTATTTTAGTTCTATTACGAGTTCGGGGACTGTCTGTGTTAGCCAAGTGAATATACCCCCTGTCCATAGACTTCGGTCTATTTACACAACTTGATGAAAAGTAGGCGAACAAAATTAATTCCCTCCATATTGGTTCACATACTTCTGAAGCGCCTTATTTTGTTCGAGCTTATAAGCAGTTTGGCATGAAATTCTTCCAAAAAGAACATGCATGAGCACTGTCTAGGCCAGGGATGGCGAACCTTTTTCAATGAATGGGTCAAAAATTATAATTTTATCGCGGAACAGAAGAGAGTGGGTCACAGATATTTAATTCACGTTTGTATCTATAAGAAACTTCTGAAACAAATCTTATAAGCTGGTGTTGGTGTAGTTTTGGGCTTTACTTATGCAGCACTTCTATCAAGGACTTTTTATGGCACTCGGTTTTATGATATTAGAGTACGAAAAAAACGCATATGAATTACCAAAAACGTTTAGGATGATGCCTTAAATTATTTTACGGTTCTAGTGTTTGGAGGTAATTCCGCTTTGATAGTGTTAAAATTTTGGATCAGCTTTCAACCACATTAAGGCACTTTTACACTGCCCCATTGTTATATCAGATTTCTAGATTTTTATCTCAAGTCTGAAAGATTTTGTTTTCTCAGCGGCATTGTAGGCGAGAAACTAATAAAATGCAAAGTAGCATCTAGTTCTCGTATAACCCCTAAAACAGTGTGCAGATGCACTTCCGAAAGAGACAGGCGTTGCGAGAAATGAACAGATCAATTGTAATGTTATGTCATAAACGATGTCAGGCCCAATAGCTGAATAACGGTATGCAACAGTGCATACATGCGTCCAAGATTAGGGGTTTTGAATATTACCATACCGGCCCGAAAATCAACATTTTGAATTTGAGCTATCGCAGCCCTGACTGTCCAACTGACGGTACATTATAATAGTTTAGTTATTGTTAGATTAATTTAAGGCCGGTTTTATCAATTTTTATCACTGATATGTTAGCATTTTTCTTTATTTTACACGTCCCTTCGCTTGGCGGGTCACAAATAAAACGCGGTGGGTCACTTTGTGACCCGCGGGTCAGTGGTTCGCCATCCCTGGTCTAGGCGTATGTGACTGTTTTACCAATCGTTCGTTATTTGAAAATGTATGAAATTTACATCAATTATATTTATGTAATGTTGGGCATAAACCAATTCTTATAGATGCGAGGAAATTTAAAAATTCTCACCCTAGCCATCTATCTCTTTCCATTAAAATTTTTGTTATGACGTGCGTTTCAGGGACGCATCTTATATCTGGATGTGACTCCACTATCGTTTGCATTAAAGTCGTTCCACTGCGATACACTCCTCCTATGAATATTAATGGTAGGTCGGTTTCATTTTCGGGGTGAATCTAAAACACGAATTGGAGTATAAAATTATGATTCAATGCGTACACTTCGACTCGTTTTTAACGATTATTTGCCATCGTGAAGCGCAACTAAGTTCCCCTGTTCTGTTATAATATAATATCATACCTTCATGTACAATTCTTCTTCTGGATATTCTTTTATCGTCATTGTATTTATATTCTCATTGAAAAGGATGATGCAGGAGCATGCGACGATACTTAAAAAGACTAAACTCAATATCAACCTAACTATCTGTTTTGGTGACATCATGTTGAGCATAAGATAGCCCAGCACGATAGTACAGAGTTTTTTGATGCTTTCGCTGAACCACTTGAACGAAGATCGATACCGTAAGCATAGCAACAGCAATCGTAAGTATGTTATAAACAGTGGGCATACAGTTTATCGCGTTCAGATCTTCAACACAAAACAGATTACCTTCTACTACCTTACCTTCTTGGACGTGTTGTCGATCGCTTTGCATTTTTTGATGTTGCTCATTCTTTGGTACTGGTGGAAACAATATTACCCGCAGCACCTTAAAGTGGAAGTAGTTGCCGGCAGTCGATTTCTTTTATATTTTGCCCCAAAATTCCTCTGAGCTCCAATATATCTTTTTCATTTTACTTCTCGGAAACATTGCAAACTCGTTTCTTAGCCACGTTTGCGCATAGCCACGAGTCGTATATGCTATCGATACTGAAATTAGTAATTGTATCTTGTCGATATATTTGAGCATTGCTTTCTTATTGGATACATAGTGAACGTATGGATCGTTTTGTTATTATGACGTTGTTGTTCATCATTATGGAATCCTATCGTTATGACCAAAATCGCTTTTTTCTACAACTGCAGGAACAAACAATTGCTTTGGAATTTTCAGTGGTTAAAGATTGAATTTTCCTCTAGCTATGGACCTTTCCCCGAGCATCGACTTCCTTGTTTACTTCGTGACATTGGCCAATCAGCAAGATGCAGAAAGTGACGTAACAATGCCCCCTTTTCGCATCCGCTCAGACACTTTTCTCACTCAGACAGATTTTCAAGCGTGGTTGTAAACATTACCTCGTTTTCGCGTTTTTAAACTCTATTCGTTAGTTTTCAGTTGTGTTTCGGAAACTTAAATAAAAATCAGATAATTCAATGATCACTCTGTCTTCCTAGGAGTTTTAATTTAATTGCAGTAATAAAAATTAGCGTAGAAATAGCCGTGATAGACTAGTCTGAAATTCTTTACCGGTACTTTTAAAAAACAGATTGTTGTGTGCGATGAATCATAAAGATGGTTTGAAACACATACCCCATTCTACAGGCGCCAACTCGCAAAAGCACTCTTAAAATAGCACTGAAAATTTTGCAATGGTAAAGTATAGGAAGAATTTTCCGGGGGTTAAAGGTCAGGGAAAGGTCCATTACTTATTACTTTTATTTATTTCGTATATTTCTGTGAGCTCGATGAGATCATGATGAACATCATCGTCACAGGACCCGTAAAAGCTATGAGAGTTTCCATATCGTCACGGTACCCCGATACAGCTACCAATGCATTTTATTTTCGGGGAGTTGGTGATGAAATATTTCGTTTGTCACTTTGGTAATGCATATATCAGACTAGGTGTTCCATATTCCAAAACTACGTAGTCTCAGTGAACTAATGAACGTACTCTGTACGTTCATTAAACTGTCATGTTCTAATAGGTGACCGTACATTTGAACCCATGTGTATATCCGCGAGTTCAATCTATATGCGGGTGCTAAAACCCATGGGTTCAAATATCCGCAAAACCAAAAAAACAATTCCTTAGGTGCAATATACCCAGGTGCACTTGTCGTGGGTTCAATTGTACGTGGGTTCAAATGTACGAAAACCGTCCTAATATATTCTGATACTGGAAAGTCAGTGTATTCTAATCACAAAATTACCAACTTCCAATGTATGTTTTCAAAGAGACAACTTGAAGTATAAATACCTTCCGTTTATCAGCTCACTGAGACAAAAACTTCGATGAGATTTGGTGGAAAAAGTTGTTACTGTACAATGTATTTGAACATTGCTGACTTGTTTCTCTGGAAAATTATAGCATTGTATCAAACATGGTCTAAATAACAGACCCCCCTGACGCTATCTCTCCACGAATATGTTTTACATAATGTAGCGTAATCCTGCTTGTTTACTTTGGTATCCTGATTCCAGTCATCTAGCGATAACTTGGTCCGAACGTACCATTGCTATTTATTTGACTACTGAGCAAACCATTATTTTACGACGAACGGCTCTACTCAATAAAAATATCCCGAATCGTTTATGCGACATTTTGAAGGGATCAATATTTACCTAGGAATGTGAAATCACAAAAAAGAATTGTTCGAAATCATAAATTACTTAGACTGAAGCGCAGTACGATTCGGGCATCTCGGACGAACGCTTCGTCAAAACACACTTTTGTGCGGAAAGTCATATAGTATGGAATTACGCAAGTTTCGTAACGCGGTGCATGTCGGGTGTGTTAAATTATGATCTATAAACAACCAATTATAATATCATAGGATCAGAAATATGCAGTCGATGCTGCATATGCTGTTTAAAACGCGAAGACATTGTACGGAAGTTTGTATCTTTCTTGTGTATCATAAAGTTTGCTCATATATAATTGTATGTAGACAAATGCCTTGTTAACGTGACTTTGGTCTAGTTTTTAAATACACGTTGATATACTGGATAGCAGAAGGTTGATAGGTAGTTGCCAGATTTAGAGTGGACATTCTTCAGGGTTAATACTGAATGTTGGTTTAATGTATATATTGTTTATACAAAAGCTTATCAGTATTTGGACAAAAATATATCAATCCTATATATAAATTAAGTTCGAAGTTAAGAAAATTTATAATAAAATATGGCTTCGGAAGATGGAATTAAAGAATACATTTTGGGACAAGATTTATTGAGCTCACACAACATGAAACCATGGTGGGAAACACTGCATGGATATTTGCTGGCAACTACAATAACTACTTCATTATTCATGTTGTATATTGTCGGACCAGGATTATTTGTAAATTGTTTGCCTACAGTATTTGAGAATGGTACGACCGGAAGTAGTTTCACTGAACCACAAACCGACCTGACGAATGGTTATTGCTCTGGACAAATCCCTTGGTATACTAGCTACGCAGGGGTTGTGAGTTTTGTATCTTCAAGTATTATTTTGGTAGTTTCAAACGTTTGGTTAAACCACCCCGAAGTGATAGACTCTTTTAGAAGCTTTTCCAAAGCGGAACGGATTATTACTAATTTACATTCTCGTTCTCAGCATCTGAACTTAATGGCTGTCACACCGGTATTTTCGTCACAAGGGGAAGCATTCGAATTACGAAAGGCTTGTTTATTACTCTGGAATCATAAGAACGAAATCAGGTCACATTATAGAATACGAAACACAATTGTTATTATCATGACCTTGATTGTAACGGCGGCGTCAGTTGTAATTGCTGGTTTCACAGGTACGCTGGTTGACAAGCCCTATTTTCATTGTACGTTGGGGAACGATGTGACGCAAGAATTGGTGTTATCGTTAGATGGGTATACGGATTTCTTCTGTTCATATAACTATTCAAGGTTCATATTTCCATTCTTGATTTTATGTGCTCTCACTCTCATAGGTCAAATACTTGCTTTAACATTTGGGTCTTTTAAACTAAGAAAAAGAAAAAACGACAAGGAAGATAATGCTATATTTTCAAACAATCTGATTAGAGCTAAGGAATTTGCCAGTTTTATGAAATTGTTCTGGATAAACGCTCAACCTGTTGATTCAGAAAGCTTCGACGAATTAGTAACTTTTATTTTCTCTGAAGAAGCTTTGAACACAATGTTGAGATCTATCAGCAATGCTGTCACTCACGTTGTTACCCAGAAAGAGGAAAATGATTTACCTCCAAATTTTCAAGGTAGAAAATACCATTATACATCTGTTTTAACCCCGGATCATATCTTCATTGAAATGTTTGCAATGATGCATCGACAGGGTGGAAATAAAGTTCTATCAAAGCTGTTTAAAATATTTGAAGATAGAAAAAGAGGATGGCGATATAACGACATTTATGAAGCTTTATTGCACTTCAAGTTTTCAGAATGGGATAATGACGCTAAAGAATTTGCTAAAGCAGCGGCCGAAAAAAAGTACTGGCAACTTTTTGTAGCAATACTCAATGCTGCAGAAGACCCGACCAAGGACACGCCGCGATTGCACAAATTGGATTGCGGTGTTTACGATTTTAAACTTGACGAAATAGAAGAAGAGCGTAAATCGGGATGTTCAATTTTATATTTCGCACTTCATAAGGAAACAAAATATGGTGAATTTTCGTGTACAGCTGCAAAGCACATACTCGCATGTACAAAGTCAACAGACGAAAAACCAGTATTTACAGAGAAAGGTAGCGTTTCGGCAATTGAATTTGTTAACTCCCAATTTAAAGATGACCCGACTTTCTCTGATGTCTTGAGAGATTCTCTCATAAATATGATACAAGAGAGTCAAAATCCGGACTGGAAATTTTCTGGAGTAGTGAACCCCCCTGGGAAAGAGTTAAAAATGCAAAGTGATCGTGAATGATGCATGATAATAGATTGGAACTTCTAGTCGATTTGCAGTTCACCAGACATATACGCAAACTATCCCCTCCAAGTTGTTGAATTCTAACTGAGATGTCAAGGGAGTTCACTATTGGAGCAAATATGAAATAATTTTATATTCTTTATATTTACTAATAATAAATGTGTTCACTTTTATAGTTTAATTTCTTCGAATTTTAAGCTAAGGCCTAATAGGTGTACACGTAACTGATAGCTGTTTACGAACTTTTCCAACAGTTGCGCATAAGGTTGCAAAATTATAACAGAGCTGTGGTCTATTTGCAGTCTGAATAGATGAGGTTGTTTGTTATGTCCTTACAAAGCGGTAGCATATTCAAACACATATATTATCCTATTAAAACCAATTTATCCATTTGTATAATTTCTAATAGGATATAAGTGCAAATGTTGTAAATGCACGGTATTATTTCTATATTAAAATGATCTTCATCAATTCATATAAATAATATATACATATGTATCATTTTTACGACGCGAGATGTTAATTACGCTATCTTTCGCTCTTTCTATAAAACTCTGTAAATGAAGTTTGGTTCACACAATTTTGCTTGTTCGCGACAGCTTTCAACCCACTTCAGTTTCGGGAATAAACAAATTTTCTCTTTTTATTTTTGCGTGCATATGTACGAGCGCACGGGTAACTCTCAAAAGAGTAGTTAAATTGTAATCGTAATGAACATTTCACGGCAAATTAAAAATTAATAACATCTCGGAAATCTGTCGAATTTAACATTTGGTGAAAGTGAATTGAGCCGATCAATAATCACGAACAATTGAGGATTTATTAAAAAAGAAACAGTAATTTCAAGAGAATTTTTACGCAACATGGGACATGGGACAGATAATCCATAATGTAAATAACATTCACTCTTCAACTATGTGCCGTAACTGATATCGCAACGAATTGTTAATGTAATGACTTCTAAGAGCCAGTTGTTTTTACTTGTCGTTTTGTACAGTATAACACATAAAGGACACTCAGAATACCAAGTACATCCTTATATCAGAGCGAGCATTTTCATTTGTCAGCTAGTCACCATTATTTTCGAAAAATATTCAAAATGAAATTTTTACTGTATTTCTTGAAATTAGTGAGGAAAAATATTTTTTCACGAGCAGTTATTATTTTGGTCGGAGTCGTTGTGTTCTTATTGTTTATTTTGGAATTTTCAAAATACTCAAGCAGTGTCAAGAAAGCAAGATATACTAAGGTATGTAAGCATATATATGAAACTTTTTCCAATTTCCTCATTTTAGTTTTATTACGAGTTCGGGAACTAGTCAAGTCACCCCCGTAGTATTTGTATCTGAAATTATGGCCTAACCCTTACATGGTACACATACTACGTTCCGGTGTCCGCCATCTTGGTTCACATACTACGGGTAAGGTGAGTCGCCGTGTCTCAGTCTGTAACTTTGAATTTGATTATCACCCATAAATTTTCCAAAAAATTTCATAATTCTGTATTTTAATATTGATAAGAAAAGACCCGACGAGGATCTGGAACAATATTTAATATTTGTCGGGGGAATTCCAAGAAGCGGAACAACTCTTATGAGAAAGATGTTGGAGTCACATCCGGATATTCGATGCGGACCCGAGACCCATGTAATTCCTTGGTTACTGAAGGACCACTATGAATGGACAACGTAAGTATCCTTAAAGTAAACAATATAACAGAAAGAGAATTTATGTAATAGAAACCGTATTATCTAATACATTGCATTGCTGGTATCTAAATTCAGTTTCGTGTATCACCGATTGATGTAGTTTTAAATTTAGTGTTACACTTTGGTTATTTTTTTTAAAAAGGTCTATTTCTTCCAACATATAGTTTGTTTTATTTCTTCAGCTCTACTAAAGAATTTGTCCGGTTAGTGGAAGCTGGTGTTGCTCCTCACGCACTGGATAATGCAATGGCAAAATTTATATTGAGCATTATTGTACACCATGGTCCTCCAGCAAAATATTTATGCAACAAGGATCCTTACTCTTTACAGGCAACCACGTAAGAAAGATGTAACATTCAAGACTTTTTTCTCTTTTTTTTCACGTGAATACGAGGTGCTAATGCATGCCCCTTTTTATTCGTGAATAATCCTGTTTTACTACGTATTTTGTAACATTAATGAATTGCAAGTTATTATGAATACTTTCAAGTCACTTGAACATTTATTCACATTTGTAAATTACTAATTCAACATTAAGCATGTCTGTGATGAAATTAAAATAGCGCCACCTAATGTGTCCAACCTGGCACCATCCTCAAGCGATCTAAAGATTTCAATAATCGCGTGACAACTTGGGGTATTATTTGGTTAGCCTGCGTCGACATTGTTACTTGTGATTTTTTATTTTATTATAGAAGTAATGTTTGAGTTATTAAAAGCCTAGAAAAGAGTCTAAATGTGTTTTCATCGAATGGTTTCACTACTATGTCCATCCAGCAAGGCACGTGCTCTCTACAAAATTAGTCTTGTTGCAGTGTTACCGGACAAGGACTCACAGCTGCTGAATTTAAAACCCCAATGTATATCCGTACATTCGGGGTAATTCGACACCAATGCAATTTTTTTTCTAAATCGTCGATAATTATTGTACTAATATGTTTCCTGATATTTTTCATTGTGCATTAGATATCTCCATGGTTTATTTCCCAACTCTAAGTTTATTCTAATGTTACGTGATGGCCGGGCGTCCGCACATTCTGTTATTTCCAAGGGAATTACAGTAGGAAATTGGAATATAAAGAGTTATAGGTGAGTATTCCTAAAAAATAAATAATTCGATCACGAAAGCTTTTGATGTCAATGGCGTATAGGAGAAGAATAGTATGGTATATAGAACAATAAAATATTTTTATTTTTCATTTCAGGGATGTCCTAATGCATTGGAACGATGAAATTAATAATATGTATAAAGAATGTCTCACATCCGGACCTAAAGTTTGCCTGCCTGTTCATTATGAAAAACTTGTGCTTCAACCGGTTGCTACCACGAAAAAGATTTTCAATTTCTTGGGAATACCGTGGTGTAAGGAAGTGCTGCATCATGAGGATCATGCGAACGAAACGAAACTTTCTGCGTGAGTATAATAGCCCCTAAAGAGGTTATAAAGTCCTGAAGAATCTCGAATCACGATAGCTTTATACATTACAGCGCAGTGACAAAGAAATGTGAAACAGCACTTATGACACATTTTCGATCAGTCACGATTGATTGATTTTAAAATTGCAAAATTAGACCCAATGGATAGGTTACATAGATTGATCAGCAACGGTGCTGTATCAATTAAAATTTATACTTTCGCTCAGAAACTTCATTCACCCGACCCGATTGTTGGGCATGGTGGCAAACATTAGTTCATTTTCTTGGTACTGCCGACCAGACCCTTTGTCAGTTTTGAGTTGTGTTACCCAAATTTAGATTTGAAACAAATAATTTGTCTTCACATGAGTTCAATCAAAGTAAGTAGCAGAAAGCAAAATCATACCCGAATAGCTCTAAATATACAGGTTAAAGTTTGCCATCAGTACTTTCAAATGGCAAGAGCTTAAAAGAAAAATGATGATCAATAGGAACACGCGAACCAGCTTTTTGGGTGTCAACTCGAGAGGGGCGTTCTCAAAATTAGTATCCAAAATTTTGAAATGGTAAATTGTTGATATTATCCCATTACCGCCGATTGAAGTCATTTTAAAATAAAAACTCAATAAGCACAACTAACTTAGAAACTGTTCTCATGAAAGGACGATTAAAAGGACTATAGTCTAAAGTCGCTTCTTAAACTATTATTTAAACATTAGGCTATATTATATTCTAATATCTGACAATTAGTATTAGCTAATTATGCTAATTAGCCACCTTTTTAAACTGGGATATCTGACAATGACTAAACAATTTGACGCGAAAATTTGTTTATGCCCAAGACAGGCTATAAAAGTACTTCAATGAAAATTATTTTAAAATTGAATGAATAATGGCGGTAACTATATTTATACTTTGGAAAAGGATGATAAATAGCTTTGATCTGTGACAATCATCAGTGAACTGCATATCTGTTCATTAAGTATGATCTTGCACTATTTCTTTCAATTTTTCAGGTATGAGCTGTCTACCGATCAGGTTAAGAAACCAATATACCTGGAAGGATTGACCAAATGGTTTGGAAAGATTCCACCAGACGTTGAGAGAGATATGGCATTCATTGCACCTATGTTAAAAATACTTGGATATAATCCAGAAGAACGCAGGCCAAAATATGGAGAACCAGATGATTTCGTGCTGAAAAAATTAAACATTTGATGTCTAATTTTATTTTCATTTTGGAGAAATACCAATGTGATATACATTATCAAAACTAATATTACATCAGTCATGTCAATAAGTTCTAAAAGCAAAGTTGTTTTATAAAACGCTCGTGAATGACTGGGTTGGAGATTGTAGATTTTACAGAAATTAGTGTTAGAGTGAAAATAATTCTTATAGAATACATGTTTTTTTTTACAAAATTATACTTCTTTGACGAATAAAATGCTAGACCAGAATAAGGATTTACACACACAACCACTCAACCTTTGTCAGCTATTGGGTCCAACAGGTTCAGTATCTTTTCAGATCTACATACCCTACCAAATTTCCAACACTGAGTAAATTGGTAGGCTTGGTTGGTCAACGGCTTAGCCTTAACTGACTTGAGCTTATTTTTGAGATAATAGACATGCATGTCTTCGCCACACCATTAAAAAGCTTTTTATAATTTCTTGCTAACAATAAGTCATCCGAGACACAGCTGACTTATCTCTGTAAAATAATGAAAATCTTTTTGATCGACACGCATACGTCGGAACCATCCTAAATTTGACTCAGCTTCGTCACACTGACGTCAATTTGAATTAAGTGTTTATTATTTCCAATTAGTAAACTTTAAAAACATATTATCATAATTTTTATTGAAATTAGACCGATGTCCGTTTCTCTGACGTGTACAAACGTCTGATATCCTATTTTCGCCTAAGTTGTCAGCTGATTGTAAAGCTTGATAATGTTCATTGTTGAAGCTGATCAACTGCTTTTCCGTCGCTTAGCTTTATGTGTCATCCGCATGCTCGTTCACATTTTCAAATCTGTCTATTGTCACACTTTTGTTGTTTCATGCATATTTTGTTGTTAATGGCATAATTGCTTTCTATTTTCTCACCGTGTGAACATGTTTTCACGAACGATATTTCAGCGCCACATCTGTCTTTACCTTCGATAAATGCAAGGTTTAATTTACATTTTCCGCGTAATTTCTCCGACGTTTTCGGTTGCACTTATCAGTCGATAATATCCCCAATTACGTGTGTGTCAAGGTCATATGTATATCCAAACTTTTCAAAATCGTCACGGTATAGTGACATAAGTTTCGCTGTTGTTTCTTTGGGAATATTTTCAAAAAATTGCTTAATGGTATCCCGTTCTTTTTCCCACGGAGTTAACTCTCTTTCCGGTGGCTTCTCGTCTGATTCTTGTGATTTCGCAGTAACTGAATGTTTATTGAATCCTTCCATCGTAGTATTTACTCGATCAAGTACGTACCATAAGTCTTCTAATACGGTTTCCGCTCGCACGATGTGGCTATAAGGAAACTGACATGGACTACAAAGTTGTTCTATGGATTTGAAATGTACATCCACGTCATCGAGACCATTATCTGCCAAATATTGTGCCAGGTCTTGAAAAGCGAGGACGTGGTCTTTCTCAGGAATGTGTCGTCCTGCATAATCACCAACTTTTGTCAAAAATACATCACGCATAGGAAAATCTCTGAAAAAAAAATTAAAAAGTGTTATATATGCTGTCGTCAATATGAAAGTTGAGTTATTCAAGTAACCTTATGCATTTATTCGAGAGGTTGTATATTGCAAATAATAAAATAGTACACACAATTTTTGGTACTCCTGAAGTATGCGAACCAAGATGTCGCATAACCTGAACCCTAACCTGGTACACACCCTGAGTTCAGGTTGTGCGCCATCTTGGTGCGCATATTTCGGGAGGTCCCAATTTTTATTTCGTTCTTGAGATTATAAGAGCACGAAGGTTGAAAAGCTGAAAAATAATAGCTCTGAAATAAAAAAAAAACGATTTTCAGCCCCGATACGACACTAGAACTTTTAATCAGAACATAAAAAAATAATTCCCTTTCATTTAGGTTTTGAAAATTAAGTTCGTCAACTCTCATCTGAAACAAAATACATTACTTATATGAAACTGACAACTCTAGGTTTCTTCCACGAGATTTAACTGATTCCTTGCCTCATTTTGATGATGGTTCACAAACACCTAAAATCTAAATAATTTGAAGATGCAGAAACATTTAACTTACTTATGAAATTTATTGTGCCACCCTGATATAAGTCGTGAGAATGGATGCCGAACAGTGATAATTCTTGTCACAAAACGAGATCTCATCAAATGATGTTTTGTTCTTTGTGGTAATTCATCAGCTGCAATTTTATTTAATGTGTGACCAGCTTTCTCCCAAGGATTCCCATTCATGCGAAGCTTATATACCAGCTTGTGCCTGTAAAATAGTTGCGTAAAACATTACATTATATGTGAACAAAGAGAAACGATTTTGAATTAAACGTTATTAAACAAATTGATAAAGCATGATGTGAATTTAATCTTCTTTTTTTAATTTTAGCATAACTGGACATGTCAGCCTATAGTTTTGCGTACAAAAGTTTGCGGAGTCAGAACAATGGTTTGAACTGATATATATATATTTCCCCATGAGTCAGATTCGACTCTTCTTGATTGACTCCGAGCACCTCTGCACACGTCACCCCGTTTTTTTAAATGTCGCTCATTCTGTCTGACTACTGTCGAGGCGCGTTTTCGTAACCCTGTATTTTATCTGTTTAATTGAGGCGTTTTAGTGGCGTAATCAGACTATCAAACATACTGTGTGGCTTTGCACCACACGGAAACATATGACTGTTTTACTGATTTGGTCAGCACATTCATTTTTGAAACGACAGCGCTTTTTTTTGCACAGTATGTCACAAACATTCTCATGTAACTGAGCTCATGTAACTGAGTAACTTGTTGGGAGTAAATGACCTATTTAACACACTTAATAAAGAGTTTGTAACTGCGGCATGAATTTTACTTTGCTTGTATTTGTATTAAACGTTGCCCTGATGGATTACGGCAACGTAATAATAAGCATGGTAAAATTATACACCTAATTAACCAACTAGTTCCAGGACACTACCATACCAAGCGGCATTTCCACACAACGAGATACGAATATGATTAAATCTTATCCAGTGTCCTACATTACACTAGATAGCGTCCGTATGCGTAATTTACTGTGCGCTTTATTGGAGTAGCACCTACCTGACTACCGCTGCTAAAGTCATGTTTTAACCATTATTTTAATTGCGTATTAACTGACGTATATATTGAGTGTCTTGATTATTTTTTCTCAAATGTAAAAAAATATTAAAGCTTACCAGCTTGTGCTTCCAGCTTTTTGAACAACACATACTGTAAAGTTTCTTTCTGGAACAGCGATCAGTTGCATCGTTTCATTCCACGTGTTTGTTTGATTGTTGCCACATTTCTGAAATATATAGTTGCATATTTGCGAAATGATAGTGAGAAAACAGCGAAACTTCATTTTGTAGTAAAAGTGTTGCATTTACCTCCAATAATAATTTCTTTCTGTCTTCATATCTTCTCTTCATCTGCATTTTTGCCAGTTTCTTGTCTTTTTCTGAAGGACTGTAAATTTCTATTTTTGCAAGTCCTGGACCTATTAGACAGATATATTTTCAATGTTTATTAAATGGACAATTTTTAAATAATTCAGAAAAAAACTATCTTTATTGATATTATGTATATATGTTAATTTTATTACGATGTGTTTTCAATTAACAGCAGCGTTGTCTTGACCATTTCACGAACAATTTATACAGTAATTACATTAGTTTAATTTCAACTTACTTTTTTTTGTTATTTTTGCATTTGTCAAATATTTGTACTTCTGGAGGTCGGCATTCGTATCATCACTATTCATTGTATCTGCAGCCAGGCCTGTTATAAAGTTAGAGTTAAGTTACGATTAAATCCACCTTAGTCATCATTCCGTCAGTGCTTTGGAAAAATTAATGAGAGGGATTGAAAAAGCACGTACTCTATTTACGGTGTCGAAATATGAAGTAAATTGAGGCTAAATTATTAATCACAATGCAGGCTCATGTAGTAAGCAGTAGCAGTAGCATTTTTATTGCAGTTATAGACAAGTAGTAGAATAGAAATCATATAGAAAATTACCGTTTTTGATTTTCATTTCGTACATCCCTCTTAATCTTGCCGGTATTTCTGGTGTTTCGATGCGTTCTGTAGAATTCATAAATCAAAAGTCATAAAACTAAAATTGTCAGCCTACATATGGTAATACAAATTTTTCTTATAATAAATGATATGAATGTTCAATTATTAAGAATCATATGTTTAAAAACAAGATTATTATTACCTGGCATTTCTTCAGGAAGTTGCCTCCGGAAATGATGCAACATGACGACTTCCGAGTCATGCATTGACAAAAGATAATTTCTATATCCAACCAAACCAACAAAAACGAATAGTCCGCACACTGGAGCTATATTTTGAGCAAATCCGTTTGCCGAATTCTTAGATTTTCGTTTCTTTTTGTGAAGTTTTTTTCTAGAAAAGAATATTTACATAAACTATATGATAAAATAGCGATATTTCAGAGTTTCCGCCTTGCTGATTACTAATCACGGGTGTCGCTGCTCGTTAACCAGGATTGTTTTTTAACGCCTCTCTTCAGCCTGAAATGACATTTTTGCGTTGTTTTTTTCCTTGTTCATACAAAGCTTATTTTCAGTTTAGTAGAAAAATAAAATACTGATTTCTGATTACCGCATATTGACCACTACCAGATATTGATCACACGCTTACGCAGAAGTAATGTACAAGGAAAAAAAGATACAGAAGTCGTATTTTTACCGTTACACTTTTTTAACAACCAAGCTCTAATGCTATTGCATTTCTAATTGATATAATAAAGTTTATATATTTTTATGAATGTGCTATATCAACAATGCCGTACGTGACAATTCTAACTAAATTTTATAAAAAGCATCATATATTTACAAAAAAGGCTAGAGGAATCTACCAATGTATTGTATTCTTATACTGAAGGCTTTTCGAAACTGTATTTATTGATTCCAAACTAACATGGATTATATCGTCTATATACTTACTTAACAATTGTTGACACAACTCTTTTTATTGAAGGTTTCGCTGCCCCTGTCATGTTGGTTATCTTAAAAAATAAACTTGTTTCTATAAAAATTTTCAATTTATATATCTCATTGAGTTTTTATAATTGGGCGCCATGGGCATTATGATTAACAACCACGTTAATAACTTTGATGATTAGCCTTTAATTGGTAAAACACCGCATGTAATTAATTTTTGGAAAATATTAGGCCGAGGAAATTGGAATTAGCGACAAATGATGGTAATTTGATAAATACGATGTTCTTTTGCGACATATTCAGACGTAATATGACGTTTTTCGATGTTATTGACGCCTCTCTTCCCATGAAGGTCCATTGATTAGTTCGTGGCCACGGTTTTGTCATGGGAAGTCCTAATCGTATTTGGTAACCATGACTTCTGGTTGGCCAAGCTGAAATCACCTGAAGTATATGCAAATGCGTGAGATTAAAACCTTAAACCAGTAATATGTTATTTTGGAAGGATAGCATTCAATTGAGAAGTTGAATACGCAAACTCTAACCTGTCGATTGAAACAATACCATATGAAACAAACCCAAACTTTCCCTGTTGAATTATATCTTCATACCTAAACTATTTCATATTTTCGTTATTTTGTAGAAATAGAAATTTGTCTGCCATAACCGAAACATTAAATATGCCAGGTGTTATTACTACCTTGTTTGGTTTGTCCTGTTGTCCACGCAATAAACTCGATTTGAAAGAGGTAGTGATGAGATTCCCCATTGGGTTGATCCATAGCATGTTTCATTTTTACGCAAATCGAAAACTCAAAAATATTGCAATAACACATATTTTATTGTGTACCACATGTATACCAAAAAGAATAGATAGTTTGAAGGCGACTGGCGCAACATCATTGTTATAAGCGATCAATAGTTTTTAACTTGCATTATATTGTCTGGATATCTGTCGTCGTTTTATTAGGAGTGTTTATAATGCACACGAGGGATATTGTTACAGATCTAACCTTGAATGACCTAGTCAAGGTATGTAGTGGGATTTATAGAGGCAAAAGTAAAAACATAGGCGTAAATTAGTAAAACAGAATTGATTATGGACTCGGTAAAAATGACGTGGACTCGAAATTGAATCCGAGTCCAAAAAATGCCTGGATTCGACTCGAATCCGAGTCCGGATCCGAATCCCGGCCCATCCCTACTTGATTTTGAGTTATAAATTTACGAAACCTGATTTATAAGATTCAGGAAGGGTTACTATGAATTTGTATCCTATTTTAAGGTTTCGATCAATAATTGTCAGGGTTCGGAATTTAAGTAAGACTTCGGGTCGGATTGAGTAAGAAAACGCGAGAACAGAATTGCTGTCAGAAGTTTTTGTAATTTGTATATATATATGTTATTTGAACAGGTTCACTGTCGAATTAATTAATATGAATGATAAAGTATTAACAAAGCTTCAGAAATTCAAATGAATAATCGTAATTCATGTAACAAAATGACAGTAATATTAATTTCATATATGTGATCGGCATGGTATATCGATTTTAAGGCTTAATTTTATTTCCATCAACAAAAACACACCTATTTGGCGATTTAATAATTGGTAAATGACGTTCGTACTTTTCGTAATAGTATTCTATAGAATTAAAAAAGAAAAAAATTCGACACATTCTCCTAAAAATAGAAGCGATTGTAAGGTATCGGTTATGGATTTACCAGAACCATACTTGAAGTAAATGTGTGTTATATCTCATTGAATATGAAACATATTTCTACTGTGGTAATGTAATTCATAAAAGTAATTTACTAATTAACATAATCTACACTTTATATACACTATGAGTGGCATTCTATGACAGAATTATAATTTTGGAAATTACCATATTTTTAAAGGATAGTATTTGCCTACTTTGGAGTGGCTGAAAAGTGGTATTTCTATTTTTAAAAGAAATAAAATTCATTGCGCGCAAGTAGTACGTTGCAAACTCTCATAAAAGCAGTCTCTCACGGCGCTTCGAGTTGATATAACGCATCATGAACGTAGATTAAACCACTGATTTCTTTAATCTCACAAGCTCCTTCGAAGTGTAATAATGAGCTCGTTATTCCTGACAAAATTGTTCTCGGCACAAATGAAATACAGTTTCCTATGGCCAAACAAACGCCTACCGGTATAACTGGGACAAAACTGTAAGCTTTCAAATCGTTAAAAAGTGAGTACTCACTTCGAATATTCTAAATTGTACGTCAGCTGCTGCAAAAATTATTCTTATAAGGTTATGACTCTAGGTTTTAAAAATGCGTTTTCCATATATATCAAAAATGAATAATCTTATCTCTATTTCTACAAAACCATATATAAACCAGCAATATACACACAACAATATTTTATCGCCTTTTTTATTTTCACATGAATGAAGTAGACACACATTAGACATAACATTATGTCTCTAAAAAAGCAATTTAAATAAATATATAAAACAAGGCGCACTTGAAATAAAAGCAGCTATAGCTGATTTGCGGTGACATCGAACACGAACAATGAATTAAAAAATGCTGGTGGAGGAATGTGAAATTCTTGTAATAGTAAAGTCCTTATATATAAGTTTTTATACAATTCTAAATGGCTAAAGTATTATTGTTTCATAATGAAGATTCAACAGAGAATAACTGTATTCCTCGTGATGAAAAATTGCGCTAATCTTTCCAACCGTATGACATTGGGTCACGCAAGGTTTTCCAGTATCAATTATAGTGATAAAACATTACGAATATTCTAAATAAAAAATCTAAATATTCGTATTTCAATTAGAGAAGCGGATAATGCAAATAAACATGCTTACAAATATAACCCTAATAGGTTTATATTAATAATCAGTATTGGAAGCATAGCCCACGGTATTCGCAACTTATTAAAAACAATTTGATCAAACCACTTCCGTAAAAATGTCATATATAAATACAAAGCAGCAATACAACGAATAGACCTGATTTATTTGGAATTTTGCACGCGTTTGCTCACCACTGCGGTATTGCTATGTCTATATCAGGAGTCGGCAAACTTTTTTCGCTCGCGGGCCAAAATTAAAGGTTGCAAGTCATTGGTGGCCGCCCATATTTTTAAAAAGTTGAAAACCAAACAGATGATACTTTTTATATTAAAAATCAAGCAGTGATACATCTCTCGAATAGAATATAGATTAATTTTTCATTGCATTGCATCTCGAGAAATTCCATTCGAACATTTTCGGCGCCTTCGAACCACTTGCATTTAGCATCAACTTGTCTGCGTTTTGTTGCTATTTGTCTAATTATAATTAAATTATAGGCTCATTAAATGAGTAATTGTGAATTATATACTTGTAAGAGATAATATAATTTAGTCTACTAGTGTCTCACAATAAATTCTGTTACGTAAAGTATATAATCGTCAAAACAGCTGTTTTGTTAATATAATTCAGTGAAGCGTCGCGGGCCGGATTATAGTACTCCGCGGGCCGGATCCGGCCTGCGGGCCGTAGTTTGCAGACCCCTAGTCTATATGGTTGTTCATGGTGTTGTATGCATAAAATAAAATAAAAATCACTGCGTTTAAATATAATGCTGCCCGGGAAAATATTTCAATGGAATGTGCCATGATCAACAAAACAGAAGCGTAATAAATTCAAATTTCGATTGAATATCCTTCTAACAAGGTGTGATTTATTTAATAGATGGTTATATTCGGCCGGACATGGTGCGTAGAAAAGTTCTCAAATAAGTAGAAAATTTCACTAATAGGCAGTATTGTGTTACACCTTCTTTCCCGGAATCATTCCCCCAAAATTAAAATTACCCTCTGGAAATTGAAATACGAGTTCAGGAAATCCCGGAGCACCTGCAATAAAAAATTATAAAATGTTAATGCAATGTGTCAGGTTTGTTTACTTCAAACAAATAATCAACAAATTTTCTGCTGGTATGTCGGAAATGTTCATTGTAGCTTTTATGCGAACTTTCCGGATGACTTGATTGATATACGTTGGTAGATTTTACTATTCTACCAATGTATTGGAACTGTTCTGTGGTAGCCAACGACCAGTAATTTGAAATTGTAAAAGTAGAAGAATATATATTTTTCACTTATTCGAGAGAACGTGTTTGTAGTAACATTGTGCGCTTCCGAATTGGTTAGCGCACTGTTCTAACAATGTAAGCATCGCAGTTTGGATATTTGATTTCCTTCATATCACATTACACAACCCAAGAATAGAATAATACGTGCTGCGTTAAAATGAATAAGACTATACCAGACAGGAAATAATTTGTTGAAAGTGTCTTCTAAAACCTGTTTACCTATGTCTATAAATGACTTCTTGTACGGATGTCTCAAAAATGTCAATTGTGCCATTCTCGCACATATCTCGCTTGTACAACACTTACCCCACTTGTACAACTTTTCCATGGGACCCATTTTTTTCATTTCCCCCAAGTTTTATATTTATTCTAACCCAGAACATACCATGAATTTCGACAGGTGCGGTACAAGCGGGTAAACGAAAGACAGGCGTGGGACAAGTTGGGCACAACATTTCTGAGACACCGCAACTTGTGCTAAGCCTTATTTGCATAGACAATGCATAAAACCCCTTAAATACGCTTCTATGCATCCTTGTAAGATGGAACTTGTATCTCCAAATTAATAAATGTGTTTTTACCGTTTCCAACTACTTGAAGAACACTATCATGACGTTTTATTCCTCTTGATAGTCGATCAGTTAACACTGTCTGTGTCCATGATGATAAAGCGGCTCCTAGGTATAATGTTGATTCTGAAAAAATGAAGAGTTTAGCATTGAATGGTGAAGGATTAAAGATTGCATGAATAAAAAACAAACTTTGAAACGATTGAGAGGAAGGTAAACGGTGCTTATTATACTGGATCATGAATTCATGATTCAAAATAATAGATAAAAATTTCACTCAACAAAAACTTTATAAAATTCACTGTACTTACTAAAACATATTTCTTGTTCTACAAATGATGCTTTGTAATTGTTATCAAGGAATGCTTTCCCTTGTTTTTTCTCAGCATATTTCAACACGTCTTCGGCGTAATAAAAGTTTCCGGGAAAACTTGCGTTCAGCAATCGAATTAACTCAATGTTCTGTAATTTTAAAAAGAAGGTAAAAGGTGTTTGCATAGATAGAATGAACTGAAAATTGCGTTCACGTGTCACTTTATGATTTATAGGAGCATTAGAAAATCTAGCTCTGCTAGAAGAGAAATAATGAAATGAAATATAACATTCAGAATAGTTTTGTATCTCCATTATTGGACACGAAGTACCCATATGAGTTGTTATTATGTTGTTGTTGACCATTTTGTTGAGCTTTTTTTTTTTTTTTTTCCGTTTTTATGACAAAATCGCTTTTCGTTTCCACTACTGGACCAATTGTGTTGTTGTTGTCGCTAGAGGGCTATTTATATGCTTCTGAATTTCCTATGAAGCCTATGAGATCTGATATTCCATCTGAAATTCCGCTGTTTTATTATTATTGATGGGAACATGTTTTTATGACAGCGTGACTGCTGTCTTCTGTTTTGATTTTGCGAACTCATGCTACGCGAGCATTTGAAGCTATTTGATACCGGTAACGAACTGTAGACTAGATTCAGTCAGTTATTGTGAAAGGTAAAGTACACGAAGACAAAAGTTTTTTTTTGTTGAGATTAAGATAGGCTACGGATAATGTAAAAGATTTGTTTTGGCTTTCGTGTCCATATATTTGAACATTGCTCTTTTGTTTGTACAACGATTCAGACATATATTAATATTATCAGAGATTCTAGGTATCCAGCGACAACTTCTAGAGACAACATTACAACTAGAAAATAGATAACACGAAGAACAAAAACTTACATTTGGAGGACTTGCTAAATATATTTTCTGTAAGTTATAATCTGCCATTTTGTCTTTTAACCTCTGAACAAAATCTTTGCGAATATCTTCATCGAAGTCTAATCCCATCACCATCTTACAAATTGCTTTGTTTCTTTCTCGAGCACCTTTTGGTCTTGATGGTTTACACCTGAATATAAACAAAAGAAATTTCGTTTGATATCTGTATTGATCTCGTCTGTGCGCCAAGTCCTATTATAGACACATTCAATACACATTATACACATTCAATTAGCATCGAAGTACATCTGATCAGAGAAGCAATTATGTAACAAATGACTTACATGTCCAGCCAATCGCTTTCGTATCTCCAGTGAACCGCCATAAACTGTTTATTTCCCATTTTTGTTTCCATAAAATCTTGAGCGAACTGTCGTATTGCCATCGGCCTGAAAACATGAAGCGTGATTTCATGTGGAACATCATTAGGAGCGGAGGGAACTGGTCAAATTGTTTCAATACCGAATCGCATCATAAAAACAATCTATTCTGACAAAAACTTTAGGTTCGATTGTGATTTTAATCTTTGTCTAATATTTCACTGCTTATTCAAATCCTTACAAATTTTCTGAATTGTTGCGAATTGTCATTTAGTTTACTTCAGAACATCACATGCAAATAAATTCATGAACAATGTTTACCGTTTAAAAGATTTTGATATACGAGAAAATGTTGCAAGCCATCGATCTTGATCTGGAAGACACTTTTTACCATAAACAACGCCAAGACATCTGTGTTCATCAGGTCCGACAACTCCTGCACTCAAATCATTGGGAACCAATTCTTCGTACGTTTTTACCTCTATGATTTTGTCGAACTAAACAAAGTGTAGTTTGTTGATAGTAGTAGTCATTAAGATGCTATATTTCTCAAAAATATCACGAAAGAGAATAAGAAAAAAGAACGAAAAAGTGACAATAGCTTGTTGTCAGGTTGGACAGGTAAATGAACATAATGCATATTAACTAGAAGAAGAAAGAGTGGGGAGACATAAGTAGAAAAAGAAAGCATGATGATTTTTAAATGAGAAGAACAAAAAGGCGTGAATAAAAATGAAATAATTTTTTTTTGCGAAATGAGGATAGAAGGGTTCACCTTGAGATTTGCTGCACGTCTAAAATGTTTTATGCCGTCGTCTCGTTTTTGATCGAATATTCCACATTTGACAATAGCGTCAAGTTTGCTTTTGCAGACTTTCTGAAATTCTCTCATACCAATAGTTGGAACAACCTGTATGGAATATAATTTTGATAATTGTATAAAATACTTTGAAATTGTTCAAATCATAATTTCAAGTATAAAAATGTTATTAATGAAGTAATTCCTACCTTTTTTAATACCCCTATGTCGATTGTGTCCATAGGCGGCCATACAAGATCAACCGTATAGTTTGTATCAAAAATAGGTAAAACAAACGGATTCTTTGCTTTGTCTCCCATACGAGGATGCCTTGAATAATAAAATAATTGATGATTCCAAATACAGTAAAAAAATACAGAGGTAATATCACTTGTAAAGAACAGCAATGTATGTATTTTTGCATGGGTAATGCGTTCCATAATACATCTACCACTCGGGACCGGGATAGCTTGATGTGAAAACAAAATAAATGTAATAATTGTCCCTTCCCTTTTAATTTTTCAGTTTCACCACTCCATAATAATTTACCTTTTAGCAATCTTTTCTGTGGTGCGCGAACCTTGTTACAATTAGGGCTGGGCATTTTCGAATATCTTGTGATTTCAGAATCGAATCGAATAATTTTTTTCGAATCGAATCGAATCTCGAATACTTGGAAATATATAATTGTAAGCGACTTTTTTTTTATAGTAATTGGTCTTCTAACAAATAAATTACTGCAGACATAGAATACATCACTCAGATAGATTGTGAGCGTTCACACACAAAAACAAAAACGCTTTAACAATAACTTACTACAGAAAATAGTCATATGTTAGAATTGCGTTGAAAAAATATGACTTCAATGAAAAAAAAATTGGGGAATTCACCTCGATCATTGGCGGAAACAAAAAAACAAGATGGCGGCGATTCGAAATTTAGCTTTGAACCGATTCGAATAATTTACTATTCGATTCGAATATTCGATTCGAAATGCCCAGCCCTAGTTACAATGTTTTGAAAACCACTATGGAAATGTCAATCCAATTCTTGTAAAATGAAAATAAATCAGAGCTTAATATTCACCTGTGGAATACTGGAACAACAGAACTTCTCCCCATCTCGTACGCGGTAACAACACCTTGACGAAATAATCGAAATAAGTTGTTTGGTCCCATATCAAAATATAACATAGGCAATACGTATCCACTTGATTTAAGCTTCGGCATTGGCTGTAAAAAAAGATTTCTCCATCAGAGGTATACAAACAACTACTTGAAATCAAAGATCTACTGGATTTGCAAGCTCAGAGTATTCTTGATTCGGCAAATATTACCGGATTTGCTGCACCCTCGCGAAGGCGAAGACACAATAAAATTAGACATATCAATTATTGCTTGGCCAAAAAAGTTTAACATGTGTTGCCAGCAACTAGGAATACGCGATAAAATTACCTATTTTGACATGAAGTTATTGACTACTGAATCTAATTTTTAATTTAGAATAAACTTAGGAAAAGAGGTGTGCATGCTGTATTTGAACAAAAATCTCTTACAATATCTTGATTTGTAAAATCGGTTCTGACACCGAGATCTGGTCCCGCTTTTCCCTTCCCCTTGCCTGCTCCACCAGCAGGTGGTCCCTTTGGTTCTGCAAAAATATAATGATTCAAAGTTGAATGGGTAATCCTTCATTTGAAAAACTCCCTCATATATGGTTTGAATATTTTCGAGTATCGCATTTACGACAAAACTATCCCGTGACACAAAATAAAATAATTTATGCAATTGGACTTGTGGATCTTGCTTCCTCGTACCAACTGAAATTATAGTTTTATTATTTTATATTTGTGATTTGGATAATAGTGGGTGTAACGAAAACAAGCAAACCCCGATTATGTTTATGTTTACTTGATTAAATTTTATGTTTACCTTTAGGTGGTGGCTTTTTAACTACTTTTGCTGGTTTAACTATTACTCGAGGTGATTCAGGTTTTTCTTTCTTTTTCGGCGATGCTGGAAGTACAGGTTCAGGTTTCTTTTCCTAGAAAAAAACGAAGTCATTAATTTTCTAGGTTGTAATTATGAATATAACGATATACTTCTTTACTTTTTCTAGCAAAGCAAGATCTCAGTCGATTTTGAATTTACCTTGGTCGGATACAAAATTCATGCACATATTAGGCTTGTGTACTGTAGTTCCTTGTAATTTAAATATATTGTAATTCAAAACCTACAGACTCTATAGTACTGTATAGAGGATTTCTAATGGAATAAATATGACGAAACTGTCAATAAATTGAGCGATTGAATTTTAAAAAGAGTTGCAGAATAACCGAATCAAAAAACATAGTGCACTGTGTTTTTATTCGCAATACGTCTGCTAAACCTTTCTCAGAAATGTGACACTGCTATAGGCAGTGGCAATGTTTAAATTCTTTATCATTTTTTATTAAATATTTAGAATTGTTTTTACCTTTTCCACTGGTTTAGGAGGAGGTGGTGGCGGGGCTTTATCTTCAACAGGTGATTGTCGTTTAATTTCTTCAACCTGGAAGACAAATTAATAATAGAATAACTTGACGAGTGATAACTTGAGCAGCAACCTGCGTTAAAAGTAAGTAGGCTATGCAAAGATGGACAAGTACTTGCCATCTTCATCTTGTTGGCCTCCTACCTCCATTTGCCTCAATTATTATAGTTTGATTAGCAATATGTGAACGAGAAAAGGAAAATAAGATCGCAAAATTGAAGTGGCGTTTTCCTCTCAATGATACAACAAAAGACAAAAGCGAAACATCGTATAACAATCTTTGATGACCCAATTTACCAAAATTAATGACAGATGTTAAATCCGTAATTAATTCGCCTTGCAGCTATTTTGTCGTATGTCAGTTTATCATTCATTTGTCCTTTTTTATTGTGACGTTTATGAAAGAAATGAATTGCCATGAGCAAATACTAACCAATGCGTTTATAGAAATCATACCTATACAATTTGCACATCATACCTTTATCTTTTCGACAACATTTTGTTGCTGTTCTTGTCTACTTTCTTCGGGAGTAACCATTCTTTGAACGTTCTGTGCAATAATACAAAAATGGTGACCGTGTCTGAGAAAAATACTTATGTTTTGGCAAAGGTACTTAGTCCTGCCGAAAAGTTGTTCACTAATCTACATACTCAAGAAAATATCAAGCCATACATATGAGCAATTTCCAGAATTTTATCGAACTATTCATAATACATCGAAAGTTTTGATAGGGACGAGGTTGAAAAACAGATCATAAAAAACGATACAACTTATTATTTAGATATCTCTGTACTGGCCCAATGCGTTTATATTATCAATTGCTAATAAACATAATAACACGCCTCTCGTCCGGTTTCCGGTCCTGTCGGTTATGTGATCAGTTGGCCTGTTATTTGTTTCAGATGCATTGACTTAGAAATTAATTTTTAGTGTCTAAATACATACTTTAATATAAGTTTTTAATACTAATCATATTACCCTGTCTTTTTCCGGGCGCTGCATCGTTTGAGCTTCCAAAATTTCTAACATCAGGTAGACCATCGCAACAGCTCCAACTAATTCAAGCGTTCGCTTTATAAGTTTTTTCCGGAACATTTTCCCAAGCTAAAAAAGGTTTAAAAAATATAGTTAGAAGGTTTAAGGTACTACACATTCATTTCATGTTATAACACATAAACTACCTTACTTCACCTAACTTTAATTAACTTCAAAAAGAATTCAAGGAATAAACAAATTATAGATGTTTTTATATATAAACATGAAAAAATTCGGGTTCAAATAGAAGGGAAATGTTTGTATCATTGCGTGATTACCAGACGAAAAGGGCAGTAAGCCATTGCTGCTTCACGATCATTACAGCCAGTATATCCTCCAGCTTTTCATTTTTAGGGGTTCAAGTTAGGGAATGTTAGATATTTTGTTAGCAAACTATTTGACTGATCATCTGCACCGGCATATTACCCACTTTCTGGATATTCAAATACAGATTTATTCACGCTGAGAATTGAAGTGTGGTGCTTTCCTTCATAATTTCATTCTCCCTGCATCGAGTGGCATTGAGGTTCAAAGGGCTATATAGATTACGATAATATTACGAGAGAAGTTTTAGATAGTATGTTAAACATAACTTTTTTCGTAACTAATGGACCATCCGATTTTGAATTTTCAGTCTGGAATAAGTCTATTATTTGTAATGTTGTTTCAGATAAAGTTTTGCAGTTTTATTTTAATTGTGGGAACACTATATATAACGCGTGGGAACACTTATATTACGCGTGGGAACGATTTATTCTACCACCCTTGTCTGCTAATTTTCTCACCAAATTCGGTTTTCTGTGACGACCCACCGTACCGGTACCTATGCGCGTCCTTCGTTTTCATATATTTGAATACTGCTCTCTCGTTTGTCAACAGAACTGCCATTTTAAAAATATGCCAAAATACTTAAGTATTATTGAAATATTTTAAAGCTACCTATTTATCTAATTAACTTGGATCTTATGATATAAAAAGCCCTCGCTACTTGTCGAAATAAACAAATTAGTAATTATCCAGTTAGAGTTAGAGCTAGGAATGCAGATTGCACTATAAATTCGAATTTTCAAATCCTATCTGAATGATTAATAATTTTTTATTTTAAAACGTGGCGGGGTAATTTTCTTGAATCTCACATTTTTGCATTAGTTTCCTTTCACAAAAGATCCTATTACTTACCGGAACTCGGCACCTTCTAGGTCCTCGTGGCATTCCCAAGCTTATTGGTAATTTGAAGAAATATTGAAGTGGATTAAATCTCCTCAGGGACACATTTAGAATTACTAACGTTGACTTCTACGTTCTAATTAATCTTAAAACAAATTGTATGGATATATATCTCAGCTAATGTTAGAAATGGGTATTCGAATTGCCGGTTTTTATGTAACATGTACAAGCCAGTAAACAACATAGATATTTGAATAACCAGTAGTCCGCAATCATTAGTTTATGGTTCGCCACAGTAAATATACACACAAAAAACTAATGAAAAAAGGCATTTCAGGGTTCAGGAAATTGTACACAACTCGTTTTCGAGCAGCGTCACCGGGAGCTAAACTCAGGTCACAATACTGTATTGTTAGCATTGTGATTTCTTGACCATAATGAATCTCGTAGGAAGAAATAGAAAACTATTGAATTTATTAACGTTTGACAAAAACTGCAAGCCTTATTCTCAATTCATATCGTTTATGCTTGATGCAATTTCACTTTCAGAATCTAAGCTTTGACAAACTGCTTTTCTGTCTGTCTATCTTGCTGAAATTTTGGGTATTTTTCATCTCATATTTCACATGTCGCGACTAGGTATTGCTGAAGAACGTGACGTCACGAAACCAAAAAATATCAATAGTGTAAAGTGCGGCAACAGGTGACCGGCTTACTGTTTAGACGAAAATGCCTTGGGGGTCTTTAACTCAAATGTAATTTCAGTGCGAAAGTGCAATAGGGATGATAAAGCAAATTGAAATGGATAATTACGTTTAGACAATACGTGTCCTGGCATTCGCGGAACAAACAAAAGAAAGTGGAATGTGTTTGGCTCCAGGCGATTTTGGAAATCATTGGAGCGGAACGAATTAAAATTGCAAGCGTAAATTAGTTTGTTAATCGGCACGCCCAGCAATGTGATAAAATATTGTGATATTTAATTACAAGAAGACTCCTCCCAAGCGTTTATACAATCACCTCAAAGATAACGGCGTGAAGGTTAAAAAATTAAGTCGGCTGCTTGATTTAGTCTGGCTTGATCAGAAAAACTAACTTCTACTGACAATACTCAAGATTATCTCACAAAACTGTTGTCATTACTTCGCAGTAGGTATTGGACCTGCAGAATAATTTAACGTATAAACAGAGATTTTCACTGCTTGCCTCAAAACTTTACTTCAAGACGTCATTAATGCACAAATCATAACTCTGTACAGTTGCAGAAACCTGATCCATGGTGCCGGTTCAAACCCATTGACACAGATATACCAATCTCAGATAACAAATACCTATTTTGAAGTTTATTTTCGACCAATAAATGGAGATATACATAAAAAAATATCTCGGTAATTGGGCCAGTCTGTTTTTTTCTCAGCACACATGTATGCCTATGAACATTATTTTTTCTACCAACTTATGTACTCAAAAATTATCTATACGCTATTCATTTCCAATCAATCCTAATGAATTTGATCTAGCCTTCAAATATCATCGTAATAGTAATTATATAAAAATCTAAATTCTCGAAATATTGTCGACAGCGACGCGTGAACTAACTGGTTTGCGCAATATAGAATTTAAGCCCCCAGGCAATTTGAAATCCGGCAAATTCGTGAAATTACTCTTTGCGTCTAAAGAGCACGTTTTAGGCTAGTACAGACTGACGTAATAAGCTGCCGAACGTGGGAGCAAAAATAGGGTATTAGGAGAATTTACTTTATAAATTAGATACTGATTAGTAACAATGGTATGTGGTATGGTATAACAATTATTACACGTATGGTGCTACGCGAAAGTTGTAAGTTGTTTGACCGAACCGTACAGCAGACAAGGTAAGGTGCTGTATGAGGTCATTACTGCTTCTTTTTGGCCTTTGTGATCATATTTTTGAGCATCGTTCTCTCATTTGTTTTAAGATTCATGGACTTGATGGTGGAGGGAGCCGTAACCGACCTACGGGTACGTGAACCACGACGATGAGGAGCAATCCTCTCACATAATTATTATCCATCACCGGATTCAACCAGCGAATCTGCGCCGGGAAATCAGATGTGCAATCGCAACGATGCGGCAACTGCCGATTCATATTGAATTCAGTTACTCGTTTTAATACGCCCTTTCCTCAAAATATATTTCCACACATTGTGCAGTTCAGAAAGTAACTTTATTTCAATATATTTGTCACACAATTGGTCTGTCTTATCCACTATTAACAATCGATGTTCGTTAATTAAAAGACACAATTGCATGGTTTGTCCGGTTCAAACAAAGATTGTATATGACATCCAGTCTTGCAAGCAATGTATCTCATGTCTCGAAGCAATTTTTGTTTATTTTCTTCTGTAAGTGAAAAATTGTGCTATTGAAAGGTATTGAATAAATAATATTCCCTCGGCCGTGTTCAAAAGTTGATATAATTTATATAGCAATAATATAGACTTGAATAATAAAAAAAGTAATGAAGTAAAATTGCATTTAGCGTGTTAGGGCACGTTATTATTAATATGGATTTTCGGTCTACCTACCTTCAGGATCAATTGAAGTTCCTGTAATGGTCTTATCGGTAGTTTCATCTTCTACGGGAGCCTATTAACAAAGCAGAAAAAGCTGTTCAACGTGTTTTTTTATTATTATTAAGATTTGGCCAATACTTGAACATTCAACAAAACCCCCCCTGGCTTGAAGCATGAGTGGAAAACTCACAACGGCCATGAATTACAGACGGATACAAAATCTTAATTAAATGTACAACTGACAAATTTATTTTCAATACATTAGAATTTTTTTGTATATATATTTATGCTTGTGCAAATTATTTTATTTTTTTTCAAATTAGTTAATTTTAAAAGCACATGCTAATACCAGCTTCTAATTTTTATGCTGTATCAGTAACATCAGTTCTAACAAACCTTAGCGGAAAAATTATTAGAACAAATATCGTTTGTACATCAATGGCGTCTGAAGTTTAAAACAAATTGTGATTGTGTTTGTTTCCCTTCTATTTTCAATAATATGGATCAAATCATATTTGACACTAGGTTGAACGAGCACGCACATGAGATGTGTATCGACATGAGCAAATTTCGAACATGATCAAACTCAAATTCGTTTTAAACAATAAATCAATACACAAAACAATGGCAATATGAGGTAATGGTACTGAAACTATGTTTCCCCGACTCTTGACTCCAGGAAACTTCTTCGTGCACTTTAACATTGAGCTGATTCAAAGTTTTAAACCACCTTCCATTTAAAAAGTACTGAAAGTTTATTTTAGACTTGTCTAACGAAGTTTGAGTGGCTCTTAAAACTTTCGATTGCTGCGTCGCCATAGAAATTTTACGGAACAGAAGAAAACAACGTTGTCAATGCTCGGGGAAGCATCCACCATGTTGTGTAGAATACGCTAAAATTGTATTAGGTCACATACAATATACAGACGTGATTTGCGGTAAAACTTATTCATACTCATTTAGGCTATGGCTTAAATTTCAACAAAAGGAAATATTCATAAAAACAACAGATTTCAAACCACATTACTGTTAAAACGCATTCATACCTCAAGGGCACTTGTGGGTCGAGGCTTCAGTTTTTCCCAGTCTTTATCCAGAGTACCGTGCAGTGTCAATACAATCGGACTTCTAATGGCTTTTGATACAAATAAAAACAAGAAATAAGAAAATGGGAAAACTCAAAACATGTGACGTTTAAAATATTGAAGACATGAAATGAAGTATATCAAAGCAGAGCATCAATGACTACATAGTATACCCTAGTGTTTCAATGTTCTAATACATTCATTCACTACAGCGATATTTTTTGCTATCAATTGAAAAAATTTTTTGATCAAATTGCAAATTACTTTCAAAAGAATAATAATTTCGCAAATAGTTATATGTATAAAAAACATACCAGTTCTCTAGATAAAAATTGAAGCATCCTAGATATTTTCATAAAATAACTTTGTGAAAATTCCAATAACCAATTTTTCGAATCCTAGACTTGACTAATTTGAAGTGAAAGCAGTACAGTAGTAGTTATCTTTTATTGAATTGTATTTTTATATTGGCTCACCGACGTAATTCTTCCGTTCAAAAATCACAACCCAGTCACCCACTGGATTTTCATCCCAAAATTGAACTGAAGTGAAATTCCAGTTCAAAAAACCTCTGTATCGATTATCAATTTTTGTTCTAAAATGTAAATTAAACTGGCATAAAATCGTAAATTACCATTTTCATTCGTAAACACTGCGAATATTGAGCCTCGTATATATGATTCAAAATGTGGAACAAATAGGAATAATAGACTCCTAGATCATTTATGGTAGAAGGCAATGCTCAGAAAAACAGCGAATCAAAGCAAAGTTATCAAGTGTATGATTTTTACTTGCCATACGGTATAAAAAATAGTTTGAAATTCAAAATCTGAAATAGGCTCAGAAAAACTTAAAAAATCACAGCATACTAATGATAATACATCGTTAAAAAGGTGTCAGAATTCGTTCATTAATATTCGATTGTTCAAACGAAATTTAATTTCACCTTTCTCCGACTATTGTTGATCGTGTATGTGAAGGTGACTCCAGATGAATCGACAGCAATCCAAGTTGATAGATTTTGTGAGTGTTTATTTTCAGAACAACATGTTCAAGTCTATCGGGAAGTATGCCTCCATCTTCGCAAGGAAATGTCTGGTGAATTTTAATGAGAAATGTTGAAAGACTTTTAACATTGAAGCCATCTTTGCAATAAAATTTTGTGATTACTTTTCGTGAGGCGTCCTACAGCACTTCACTCCGACAAGAGTCTGTATGATCAGTCGATGATACGCAAGCGGCTACTCTTTATTGTGGAAGGATTGGATCTTTTCTGTTTCCCTACTACACCCGGATAATAAAATAGGCATGGAGTTTTTTCTAAGTCAGACTTACTATACCAAAGTAGCTAGATTAGTATTAAGAAGCCCTTAAAAAAAGTTGCAGTGTACTAACCGGAATCTGTACACTTGTAGGACGATTGTTGTTGACATACCATTCTGACCCTTGAACTGTTACTCTACAGGACACTTGTTTGGGTACGTGGGTCCAATTCCTTGCTTTGGTCACCATTGCATCAGCGTCCATCAATCCATATCCAAATGTACGGCTAACTGCATCGCATTAGAGTAAAAGAAAGTGAAGAACTATGAGACGCCATTAAAAATACTACGAGATGATTGATTTTAGTTAACAAAACACCCAATATGGAAAGCCGATCAAGACACTAGTTTGGTTGTTTTAATTTAATGGAAAAAGTGTGCTGATTTCTGCTTGGCAGAAGGGTTCGCATATAGCACACGCACAAGTTACCTCTTTTTCCACTATGAGTGGATGATTTTTTACAAAAATGCTAATTGCTGATTATCATTTATATTGGTTTGCACAGTTTCATAATCAAATATTACACGACATAACCGCGATTTAGGGCCGTCAAAATAATAAAAAGGGGAAATGTGTTTACCAGAAATTAATGAAAGAAAACTGGTAAGAAGCATGATGCTCTTATGCTGGGGTAGATATAAAAATTGGAGCAAATGGTTGAAGTACATTAAACTCGTGAAATAGGATTAGTACTACTTTTAACGTTCAGGAAAAAAGGAAGGTGTCTAACAATTAAGAGCCCAACAAGAAGTCATAAATGTATATAGAAAACCTTTTCTCCCTACTGCATTGGTTATCCAGTCATCTACCTTCAAGCCATATGGGTTTGCGGTTTGTACAATCAAATGTTGCATATCTCTCCACGTTAAATATGGGCTACAAATTGGAAAAAACGTTATAGTTTATTTTACACGCCATTTATTCAAGTACAAATTTGTTCTTCTTACTTTGCTTCCAAGGCAAGCGCGCACATTCCAGCAGCAATCGATACCGATGGACTATTGCCAGTGTGTTTAGTGGTGCAACGGCTATTCAAATCTGTTGTTGTCTGAAATATTCCAAAAATGTTTTGTTAATTCATAGACGGATGAAATTGGAGCTAATCATGACGATTTTAATTGGATCGTTACTTAGAGAATGTTAGTAGTCAATGGTACAAAGCAAGAATACGATGTTTATACCTTTTTGATAATAAACATAAGTGCTAATAGATTCCCGATTAAACTACCGAAATGACACGGTTGCTATGACAACTATATACGCGTAGTTTCATTAGACCTTGGTAACACAATGATAGCCAGTGACTTTGCTCATGGATTAGTTTTATTTACTCCTGAGTGAGTGCACGTTTCCGCGTTTCCTTGCTTTGAGCATTTTTTTTATCAGAAAAAAAAAATTAATATAATTTGCAACTTGGCCAAATGTTAAATGAGATATATAATATACTGTATCCATCTAACCATTTCCTTGTGCCTCGTTCCACCTGAACTGTATGTTGCCGCCAACATTGATGAACATTTTTCTCCGTACCAAGGCTGTGTTGAGTTACTCGTTATGCTTCCTACTCCAATTGTGTAGATACTATTCGAATAGCCATCACAGTTACAATCATCAAAATATCTTCCTCCGTTTCCAGTTGAGGAAACGATTATGCTTCCTTTTCCATTTCTACCCTAAATTCATTGGACACGAAATGTGTAATAGGATCGTTTTACGAAATTGTTGTTGTTCTTGTTGTCGTAAAATATTGATGTATATTGCAACTAATGAACCAATCGATTACAAATTTTAGTATTAAAAATAAATAAAACGCCAGTAGGCTCTTTTCAAATTATTTATTATTGATAGTCTTGTAAGGCACGCTATTTCAACCAAATTTTTCAATTTTAGCGCATATCGCGCCACCATGTGTTATCACGTCAGACTAGCCTGCGATCTTTTTGGCAAACCCAGTTCTCAACTACTCTAGCGTATGTGGATTACTACGGCGATGGGACTCAATTTGCAGTTTTAATTGGAGCGATTGAATGATTAGATAACATCGGATAACATATTCGGATAATATATTCAAATAACATATTAGCACCTAACTCAGTTGTGTATTTGTAGCTTGTAAATAATTTTTGCTATGAGATACAAATCTTTGATGATAAAAGATATTGACCAAACAAGAATCACACCATTTTGATAGCTCTTTCTATTGCTTCCATTGCTTTTGGCCCCGGTCCATCAACTGTTTTTCCGTCATCATCAGGTCCAAATGCAATTGCATAAATATCGATATGATCATTAGCAAAACTAAAAGCAACAGCTTCTGCATCGTCATCGACGTTGCCATCAAGTAGGCGAATGCCTGTATAAGTATATAATACCGAGTCTAATATAAAATTGCAAAAGATTTTAAAACGAAAGATGGTAAAGCGCGTGTTGATTTTTGACATCAATTTATGTTAGGATTTTGCAGTGATATTGTCAATTACTCAATACTCAGGTATGTTTATATTCCTGTTTAAAAAACTGTCCCCGATGCTGCTGAAACTAATAATATACTTACCCCCGATGGTCGACTTCGGAGCAACTCCCACTGAACAAACTTCATTGTTAGCGGTCGCTGATATAATTCCTGCCATCCGAGTTCCATGCCTGTTTTCATTAGTATAAGTGGGACGAGGCGTAGGATCAGAATCACCATCGTTTATATCGTACGAAGCTGCTGGGTCCTGATTAAGATATAAACAAAGTCATGAAACAATTCTATCAACAAAGACACTGATACAATTTTAAACATCACAACTCCAAAGCTTGAATACATTACAGATTGGCTTTACCTATGGCTTGGACACAGTAATAAAGTTGCACCGGCAGTTGTCAGTTGTGTCATGTTGCAGTACTAGTTTTTTATTAATATTTGTCCAATTATAAAACTGATGCAGCGTGATGATAGTGAAATTGGTGATCAAACAAGCAAACAAGCCTGCTTCTACTTTTCTGCGTAATAACTCTTGCAATTCGAAGCAAAATTTGAAAATATCCGTTAGCGAAGTAACAAAAAATAGTATTATAATCAGTGACCTATAAATTTGAAAACAAAAGAGCAATGCTCAGATTGTGTACACGAATGTTAAAACGGAGTAGTCTAAAATCTTTCACAGCACCAGTATAGCCTGGCCACCAGATCGCGGAACAGCCCCACAGTGCGCAATTTTAAATTTTGATGACGTCATCACACAAAACTCCAAAGTGAAAAACGAATCCCATAGAGCCCACAGAAATTTTCAAAAAAAATAAAAGTAATAGCCTTCTAGCAACAACAACAATATTCAACCACTAGGAATTTCTAAGCAATTGATTCAGTAGTTAGAGAAAGAAGCAATTTTTTTTTACAACAACAACAAGGATACCAACAACAACATAATAAAAACATAATGTGTCCTAAAACATAATGTGGGACAGGAATATTCAATTAGCGGCTCCACTTGATATAAAATGAATGGCAGAATAGTACAACAAGTGCAAGAATAGTAGAACAACAATTTTGAATACAATTTTCAAAACTGTTTATTTTGCAGTCCGTTCTCGCAAATCTACGTTTACGTAGAAGTTTATTCTCGCAAAAGATTTTCTTGTGAGTTGAGCGTATCCACAGAATTCACCCATGAAAAATTGATATAATTGTGTGTATGTTTATAACATACTTATTTGTAATGCCTTTGAATGAATATGATTCGTAGTGTTGCAATATATTTTTCTTACGTAATTATTGATTAAATCTGGATGTCGGTAATCAAGTCCGTCGTCGACCACAGTCACCACAACGCCTTTGCCTGTGAAGCCTTTATCCCACGCTTCGATGATTTTCATGCTTGGCGGAGTTTCGTTTAGCTGAAGTAAAAAAATTACAGTGATAATGTTGTGATAACAAGGTATCGTTATAAAGTAAATAAAAATAAATAATTACCAAATGCCAAGAATCCTTCCAATAAGGGTCATTGAGTTTACGGACATTGCAATTACATGGTCCATCAAGCTGAAAATATATTTATAATTCAACTCGCAGGCCTATAATTGGACACGAAGTGGACATAACAATCGTTTCAAAATTTTGTTGTTATTGTTATTGTTATTTGTCTCCGTCTCCATTTTAAAAAAATCGATTTTCTCTTCGAATACTGGACCAATTGCTTTGAAATTTTCAGTGGTTAAAGATAAAATTTTTCTCCAGAAGGCTATTACTTTTTTTTTCGCTATGACGTCATCAAAATTATTGCCATTGGGTGGCGCTACGTGTCCATATATTTGAGCATAGCTCTCTTGTTGAAAATGGAATAATAAAGGAGGGGTGAGCCGACCAGTAAAATCAGCCACGCACGGTATCTCAATGTACTCTGAGCTACCACAATTTCGCGTTAATGACAATAAAACGCTAGTTCAATATTTGTAACCTACTTGATCTTGTTCTACAAACTCCAATAGTCTTCTCACTCCATTTGTGGGCGCAAATGCTAGAATTGCCATCACAATTAACACACTTGGAAAAACTCGTCTCATTTTAGCTTTTTATGCACGAGGATTGGGAAGTAACACTAAGCGAACTCATACGCTACGCAGACCTGATAACAAGAATACCATGCTACAGTCAGAATCATAAGTTTCTGGAAAGCCACACAACAGCATAATATTTTTTGACAATTTAAAAAAAATGTCCAACCCTAAGTTCTTTTCTACATAAAATAAAATGATATTGCGTTCAATTATTCTTGGCCCGTGATTGAAGCAGAAGATATGTTTGGTATAATTCTATAGGCACCGTCTATAACATTGCTTGGGCTCTAACAATAATTTAGCCTTCGGCGTTCACATTATATCTTAAATTACAATTTACAATTTTAAAACAAATTAAAGTGTTGCATTTTTTTTGAATTGTCAAGCGCACACCTAGTTCGTGTTGTTGTGAGGCAGACAGTATGATCAGATTTACGGACGTCGTGGTGTTCGATTTAAAAATAAAATAGCCCAGACAATCACAAAATTTAATTAAATTTGTTTAAATCATAGGCCCTCGATGTACATACAGACTGTTTAACAAAGTATATATGATTGTATCTCTACAGAGCATTTAAAAAAGTTGAGGAAAAACGTAGCCCCAACAAAATTAGTTCGCGTTCCGTGTTATTCCCGACTTAGTAGAACCGCACGTTCACTGATGAAGAGTCCAACACGGCAGTCTTAATTGAGCTACGCTTCACAAAATAGTCTTATTCAACTTCTAGCAGCGCGTAATGCTTTTGTACAAACTTCATCACGACACAGCTTCATCTTACACTGCGAAATGTTGTTTAGAGTTTCATCGTTTAGCAGTCAGGCTCAATTGAATTGAATGTTAAAATTAAGTCCAAAATGGTACCGATACTCGTAATCTGTTTCAAAATATACTCCTACGTGAACGACAAACCAAAAGGTATTTTCCAGTCATAAACAAGACAAAATTTCTCCCCTGCAGTTATTTGGTCCTTTCAATGCGACAAACTGAAGTAACCTTTTGGGGCAATAACAATTTGATAAAACTGCACAGTTTGGCCCAGTTTTGGAGTGTTGTCGGAAATTGTTTGAACGTAAATGGTCAATCAATTCCAATGACGAGCACATTCTATTTGCAATTATGCAAAAAAATCAGAAGAATTAATTGCCGCCGACAATAGGGTGTTTCCACGCGATTTCAATTGTAGTTGAGAAAATACGTAGTTAGCTCGAAAAATGTAAAATATCCCCTTCGATTTTTGTTCATTTTATTGACCCAAATTACTAGTTTAAAAAAACTGCAACGAATTTGGAATTTAGCCTGAAAACTGGGGCTTTCCAGATTTTACCAGTTTCATGTAATCTACTTCATCAATGATAAAATTCAAAATAATAACAACGTGCACATTTAGCACATTTCCGACATCAATTTTATTTTGGTCAAGGTTTCGAATCAATTTTTAAAAAAATGATCAGTCATCAGGATCAGTTATCATTTAAAATGAACAAACTAAATACATACACATCACTACAACTCGCTAATATCAAGTTCGGAACTTTGGACACACTTCTGTCTAATATCTCCTGGTTTCTGTAATTCGAAGCGTTCTGGTTTGCAAAGGTGTCCTTCGTCTGTCGTACAAACGTTCGATATTTTGTACAACGCCCCCGCATGAAAAATACATCCCAGCCACCGCTCAAAATAACAAAATTAGTAATTATCCAGTTGGGGGGAGGGCTAGGAATGCAGATTGCGCTGGAAATTTAAATTTTCAAATTATTCCTAAACGAACCCTAAGTGGATAATTACTAATTTGCTATTTTAAACGCGACAGGGGTGGAATTCTCAAATCTCACATTTTTTGCATTAGTGTCGGGGTTTTGTATAAAAGATCCCAAACGTTTTATCGCTGATATTCAACTCTCGTCAAGCTAACCATTCCAGAAAATTTTGTCATGGTTTTGACAAGGCGTGATTCATGGCTGTTTGAAATCAATTCTATTCTCCGTATGGATGCAAATACTGTCGAATTAGCCGCACATAAGTTGTGATCACGAACTACTTCACACGGCCTGTTCAATTTTAAAGTAGGCTATATTATTTAAATACAATCATAGCTCACAAGACCGATTTGACTCGTGATGAACCGCTACAACCTTTACACTTTTACAGATTACAAAAACTTTACAGTGTGTGTGTGTGAGTGAAAAATTAAATATAAGTGAAACAAACTATCGTTTATAAAAACAAGAAGAACTGTTGTTAGCATAATGTGCTTTCTTTCTTCATATATATACAGGGTGACCCAAAAGTAGGTATACAGTTATTTTATTTATTTTTTTATTACCTCCCAAGCAGCTAGAAAACTAATGTAAAATTCACACTAGATTTATTATCTAAAAAAATAAGCAATTTTTGTGGTACTTAACAAGTAACATAAAGTGAACTGCAAGTAGCTTCAAAGCATATAAAATAGTTTATCAACTGTATACCTACTTTTGGGCCAACCTGTATATCTGAGTGGAGGTACTGAATAACAAAAAAGTGATACTAATTCTGCAGGTTTAGAAAAATTGGTTAGCACACATTTTGAATACCTGGTTTAAGTATTTTATATTTGGAAACTAATAATATCTTCCATAAACTGCACTTACTTCAACAATATCATGAAAATAAATAAATTATCTAATATTACAACACTGAAACGCAAGAAACGTTTAGTTTGCTAAATTGAACCGGCATTACACCGAGGTACTTTCCGTGACGGATATTTGACACGATCGTCCGGAGATTTTGCGAGATATCAACCTAAAATCGAATACCTGTGTTTACCTCAAAGTGTTGCAAGTATGCGGACCAATTCAAATCATATATGCTGAGAATATTGTGCTTTTTTCGTAATATTGCAAGTGACACTCTTTATTATGTTAATCATTTTGAAGTGAAGTTAACAATATTTCCTTGTTTTGCCAGAGGCAAAAAAGTGTAGGCTATATAAGATAACTTCGTTCTATAAATATAGTAATGTTGTAACAAAGTCTTCTTTCGGATATGGCCTGCAAAATAATTTAGCTGGATTGCAAAACTAATGTACTTGCTGTTTATTGTTTGAACTGCGATGCGTGAGTGAGTTTGCAACAGTCCCATTTCCCCAACTATTTGTAACTATTGCAGAACAACTTCCGAATAGTATTTTCAAGAATTGCATTGATTTGTTGTAGAAATCTGAAGTGAAATAATTTTAAATCAGTAGAGCAGAGTCACAGATTATACATACGATGTGTGTCGACAGAATAAACGCAGTCTAGTATAAAGACAGACAGACAGTACAATATAAAAACAACTAGATTCAAGATTAAGCATTATTATCAGCATCATATGGTGATCGTACGTTTCAATTTCTATCAAATTTTGTGAAAAGATTTATGCAATCAGTCATACCCAAATTATATCAACATATTCATTTCCTATTTCTATTAACAATTCTTCATGTTAATTATAACGCAGTTAGATAATCTGTATTCATGAAATGAAGAAGCGATTAATTTTCATTCTGTGTGTCATCGTGAGCACTAATGCATATCATCATTATAATGATGCTCGAAGGATGCCTATGGAAGACGCGATAGAACAACAGGTACATAGTTCCTCATTACGTTCACTATACAGGTATTTCAAGGTCAGAGCAACGAAAAGATTGTGCCGCTTTGTTACCCAATCTCAGCGGCTGTGTGATCTCAGTGAATTTTGTATTAATCTAACCTTAGTACAACGATGACAGGGATAGAGTTAGGAACTGAATTCTGTGAGAATGTATTTATGAGATTAAACGATTGGCGACACTTTGGTATGCAATTGAGATCACGTTAAGCAAGTGGGATCATGTACCAAAGTAGGTTATGAATGTGAGATCGAATACCAAAGTGTCGCCGAATGGATAATTGAAAAGAGCAGGCTTAATGTCTTAATTTGGCTCAGATTTTTATTTTGAGCTATGATTCGTCCAATGTGTTGAATGCTGCTAATTGTAAGATGATATAGCCATAAAAGTATTCCCTAATCGTATATTGTTTTATTATGCTTCAGGTGGATCGATATTGTGATTGCAATGTAGCAAAATACAACGACCCTCTTTGGAAGGATACATGGTATTTGGTAAGTAATATTGAAAATTTTGATATGAAAATTCAAATATGAATTATAACCATACTTTTTACGTTATTAAATTTATTCAAAACTTACATGACCGATAAATTTCTAAAATCTGAAGTCATAAAATTTGTATTTGTAGTTCTCTTGTAAAAAACCGTGATTCTTGCCAAAATTTACTTCATAGCAAACAAAAACAAGCTTGAGCATGAGAATAAATGAAGCATGGGAACGAGATTTAACTGGGAAAGGCGTAGTTATCTCTGTACTTAACGACGGTATCGAGCAGAGCCACCCGGACTTATCACTCAACTATGTAAGTTTAATTTTTCTAGTTTTGGAAAATACAATAGCATTCTACGTAAAGTATTTTCTCTGTGTATTAGGATCCGATGGCTTCATACGATTTCATCGACGGCAAAGCTGAACCAACGCCACGGGTAACTTCAGATAATGCAAATAGACTGGGAACTCGAATGGCGGGTTTAATTTCTGGAAATTTGAATGACAGCGTCTGCTCAGTCGGAGTCGCTCACAAATCGAGCATTGGAGGTTTGAAATGAATCTTATTCTTAAATTTACAAAAGTATCCAATGAAAATAATATGAATGTTACAAATTTAAGGTATTAGACTCCATGTGGATAAACAAGATGACAAAATGGAAGCCCAAGCATTTGGTTTTGCAAACAATCATATCGATATATATGCGGGTGCATTTGGTCCACAAGACGACGGACTCGCCATTGCTGGGCCTGGACCGGAAGCGCAAAAAGCAATTGAAAGGGCAGTGAAGGAGGTAGCCATACATACCTATTGAAAAGTCCATTTTAATGGTTGGCCAAGGATGTAAGACATATAAATATTAAAAAAAAGTTGTACCCCGTTTGCAACACGGATTGAAGTTTGATTTATAAATTTACGTTATATGCTAAATTTACTGATGGAGATGTGATAAATATGCGCTTTTCTCACGAAAGAGTGATTGTCCCAAAATGACATAATTTGCAGCATTTCGCCCATTCTATAAGCAGGGGTTTTGACTTACACCAAACTACCAAACATTTTTTGAAATTTATTCCAGGGTAGAAATGGCAAAGGAAATATTTTTGTCTGGTCGACTGGAAATGGAAATAATACCGATGATTGTAATTCTGACGGATATGCAAATAGTATATATACAATCGCAGTTGGAAGTATTTCTAGTGATGGAAAAAAAGCTTGGTTTGGAGAGAAATGTTCATCAATGTTAGCTGTAACATACGGTGGAGGAACTAGTCTACATAAAAACATGGTATTACATTCGGTTCTTGACTAGTTAATGCTAACCTAAAGTTATATATATATGGTTATATACATTTTAATATATATGTCTTAAAACGGAATTTCAATATCGTCTTCAAAACATTCTCCGAAGAATGTACTGCAAAAATCTTATGCAAATGCGACAGATTCCTAATATTCAACAAACTGGAAACCCATCAGTTACCTACTTTTTTAGAGTTGCGATAGCATTCAATAAAAAAAATTTTCATCAGCAATATTAACCTTCAAATGTATTGTAAAATCACATACAGATAACATTATTAATATGGGATGTTTTAAACAGTTCATGTTTTACTATAAATTCTAGGCAACAACAAGCCTTGGCAGTGGTTGCACTACAAAACAAACAGGGAGCAGTGCGTCAGTTTCTATGGCAGCAGGAATTTGCGCGCTCGCGTTGGAAGCTAAGTATGAGTGATTTTATTTTTATTTGTAGGCGTGAATATACTAATACACATCCTAAGCAGGATTTTGATGATGCGGCACGTCATGTCGTCTTTCGAACTCAAACATTAATACAGTTGAGAAAAAGGATGGATATATGGTACGAATTGCAATTCGAATACATCTTCGGCACTACCGCCTGTTAAAAGTCCATTTTTCCTCGAGACTTTGTTTGAACAACGATGATAAGCTGGATATTGAAAGATGATTTCATTTTGCATTATTGAAATTTGTCCTTTCTTGGATCAAATGTTTGTGAAGAGTAGCTACATATAACACACATACCTCCATTATATTAGCTTCTCAATGTCAGTGATCATTTATCAACGATGCTTGAGGTATTTGTAATTATTGTTACGGATGAACGTGTCTCATACGCTCCTTAACATTGGTAGATTCGATAGAGAATGCAAAGAGTGAAAAAAAAATACTGAACTTTGCTTCATGTCTTTCTATCGATGTGTAATAATTTTTAATTAGTTCCTTATTTTGAATTTCTCAGTCCCAATTTAACTTGGAGAGATATGCAGCATTTGATTGTTAATACGGCAAATCCTTCGGGTTTGGAGTCAGATGACTGGATAACTAACGCAGCTGACAGAACAGGTCAATTTTATTAATAAAATATCAGTTTGCATGAAACTTTCTATAAACCAACAAATTGGAAATATCAATATACTTTCAATTCTCATAAACAGTATTTTGGAGTAGTGGGCATTTTACCAGGCAAATATGTTTGAAAATTAAGGAGCGTGTTGTTTTATTTTAGTTGTGTATTTTAAGTCTGCGTCTACTTTCATTAATTAAAATAGCAAAATATTGAATACTAAAATAACGAAATACTTCACTTTCAATAATTTAACGAAATAAGTAATTGCGAGCCGAAATGTCTGGTCCAAACCGACCGTGGCTCATAAACAGTATTTTGGAGAAGTAGGCATTTTACCAGGCAAACATGTTTAAAAACTAAGGATCGTGTTGTTTTATTTTAGTTGTGAATTTTAAGTTTGCGTCTACTTTCATTATTTAAAATAACAAAATGTTGAATACTAAAATAACGAAATACTTCGAGCCGAAATGTCTGGTCCAAACCGACCGTGGCCCGAAACGTCTGTATGGCTTTATACTCACATCATATACGTCTACATTAAATAATTTGGTACTCCCGTAGTATGTGAACCAAGATGGCGTACATCGAAACGTAGTATGTATACCATGTTAGAATTAGGCAATAACTTCAGGTACAAATACTACGGGAGTCACTTGGCTAGTCCCCGAACTCGTAATAGAACTAAAATAAGGAAAAATCTACCGGAGCGCCTCTTCCGTTAATATATTTCAAGTGTAAATGTACTAAAGGTAGATTTAACCAAATTTCGAAATGAGAATTTTTTATATTTTTTCTCGAACTCAAAACCCTTTTAGTCAGTCGTACATTTGGATTTGGAATGATGGATGCTAACGCAATGGTCACAAGAGCCAAAGATTGGATTCCTGTTCCGCGTCAAACATCTTGTAGAATAATAATTACAAATTCTAACAATTGGAACGTGAACAGGCGTCCTAGAAGCATACAGCTTCCGGTGAGCAAGAACTACTATTCAGTTTTATGTTTTTCTCACGCGAAAATTTTTCAAATAATATTTGGGTATTCTATGTTACAAACTGTTTCACTGTCAGCACATCAAAGAATTTGCTAGTATTTGTCGTCTCGGTCCGTTTGGGAGATTACATATATTGCGTGTATAGGTTAAGCAAGATGGGGTCTGTTTTGGGTCTGTTTTTGTTTCATAATGGGCAGGGTAAAAAAAATTGCTTTATATAAAACGCATAAAAATATTTTTCTGCTTATGGAGTATTTCAAACATGTCCGTTTTGGAGTCAAAGGTTGCTTTGTCAGCCTGCTAAAAAAAAGAAACTCATTAATAGCCATATTTGGGACCACGATATCCTCATCTCATTAGTCACAATGCTTGTATTGTACTAGGTTTATGGGTTTTACGAATATGAGCGATTGCGTCATCCAGCTGCAATTCTTTAGTTCCGATTCTGTACACTAATATTATATCTGCTGTTCAGGCGTATCCTTGTGAAGACGATGGAATAATCCCGGACCGACTTGAGCATGTTAGTCTGATGATATCCACATATAAGAGCCGAGACATCAGTCATTTTACATTTTACTTGGATTCGCCTTCTCGAACAAGATCTAAGTTGTTGGCGAATAGGTGAGTCCGGTTTATGGAATTGTTGTCTTGGGATTTAGTGTGCCCCTATGTACAATTTTAGGCGCTCCAGAAGTATTTGTATCAAAATGAAGGTAACTAATTTTGTTCGCCTAGTTTACATCAAGTTGTGTAAAAGCCTAAAAGGACTGAAGCCTATGGGCAGGTAGTATATACACTTGGCTAACACAGATGTCCCCGAACTCGTAATAGAACTGAAATAAGGAAAATCCGGAATAAAATTATGGCCTAACCCCAACCTGGTACACATACTACGGGATTACCCAATTTTATTTATTTTGAAATCAATTTTAAACAATCTGTTTGTGATAATTTTGATAAGTTCACCAAATTGAAATCGGGATTTCTCCAAGAAAAGCAAATTTAACATTACAAAGCATATTGTATTTAGTAGATAATTATCAAAATACTGTACCTTATTATTTAAAAATGTCGTAATTACTTTAGACTTAGAGACGATAGGTACAATGTTTATAAACGATGGAATTTCACCTCTGTTCAATTCTGGGATGAGAATCCTGTTGGAGATTGGGTTTTTACCATGGAACATGACGCTTATTCAAGTAATCCAAATTACTTATTTTGCTTCCCGTTCACAAACTGCTGCCTACTTACCCAATATAGCATCAAGAGTTATTTGCTCTATGTTAGATATCTCAACGTTGTGTGGTCGAGGGTTTTTTACCTATTACTGAATCAACTCTTTCGTAAATAAATATTTTAATACTTTCCCGTTACATGTTGATACAATCATTCTCGACTTGTCCTATTAGTATATGAATATACCCTAAATGAGTTGAGACCTTGTTCTCCAACCCTTGCATGGTTTGCTTGTACCCGGGTCGAAAATTGGTTCAGGTATCGGTACTGGGTTCAGGCATACATTTAAAATATTCAATTCATCAATGTATTACCGTCCTAATTAATTTTATATTTGAGAAAACGATGACCCTATTCGTTCTACAAGTTTTAATAATAAAGTCGGAACTTGTATTATAACTCGAGTATGAATACCCCATTATAGTTTGTTTTCTTTTTACTCAGTCATACACCAGTTTGTTTATATAAAAATAAAATGTACATAATTCTATGGTAATATGTCTGATAACCTCACATGTGAAGCCATAAACAATTTACTCACTGATAAGTCTAATTTAATGAAAATTTCAACTTGTAACCTACTTTACTTGTTTATGTTCGTTTATTTTTCATTCAGCTGTTATTTCGCCGATGGTCCTCACCCTGTATGGAACTTTAGAAAAAGATTGGGAAACTACTTTGACACGCGAGCCAATTCAGTATGAGGTATAGTTAGTTCATAGTTCAATTCCTAAATATCAAACAAATATTCAGATTCGATTCAGTCGTCGACTCCAGGTTACTATATTTTCATGAAACATACAATTTCAGTCAATCTCGATCTAAAATATAGTTTAAACACAACTATGTTGGATGTGTTGTCAATAACAATATGATCTTACATACTGCACTTTTATTATAGGAACCAGCAGAGGAATCAAACACGAACCAGGTAAATGTCGAATTTAAAAATATATTTTCACATTCATTAAATTTTGTAATTTATTGAGACTCAACAAATAATAAACTACTGAGATTTCATAAATTACTTATTGTATTGTAGAATGTTTTACAAGTTACAAATTTCTAATTCCCAAATTCTTTTTGACTTGTTTGGATCCTCAAAAGGTTACCATTGCCATTTTTCTGGATAATATAGAAAAGTTGCATGCTTGATACAATTAGGTCAAAATCTTGATAAATCGATTACCGGTAAATTGAAACATTCACACTATAAATATATCGATTCTATATATTCTGAATTATTTGATATTAATTTTGATATTTCATTATTTAAATAAATGTTGTCAAACTGACCGATATTCCTGATTTAAATAACGTATATCATTATTTAACTTTTTACATAACTTCCTTTCAGATACAGCAATCTTGTGACTGTGATATTCAAGACTTTAATGATCCGTTTTGGAAAGATGCCTGGCATTTAGTAAGACATTTTGTATTTTTTCCAATTCTGGTATTTTTCCAATTAATAATTATTAATCAATTATGTTCAATTAATAAAGGGCACTCCAGAAGTGTGTGTACCAATACGGAGGTAACTAATTTTGTTCGCCTACTTGGGAAGGCCATTGGTATCAGCGGATAAGCGTGACGGACGCACGCCATGGTGACGAAATAAATTGATTCCATTTTTGTACGACGGTCTTCCCATAAATTTAAATAAAACAGCAAAATTCCCAAAAGTCACAAAATAAATGTTATAAGCGCTGTTTAGCGCTTCAACCATCTTCAAGTACTGAATAAATTTGAAATTGGTAATCCCATTTTTCAATAATGATAAGAAAGACCCCAACAACAAAAACAACAGCAAATCTATCCATAGGTCCATTTCGTGTCCAAAAATTAGTTTTCGTTTGTTGAATGCAGAAAAGCCAATACCGAACCGTTCTCTATTTTTTTTTTAGCGCGATCAGACTAATCCAAGCATGAATATAAAAGAAGCATGGAATGAAGGTTTCACGGGAGAAGGAGTGGTTGTGTCAGTCATTTCTGATGGACTTGACCACGCCCACCCGGACATTATTGAAAATTATGTAAGTTCAAACTAAATGAAAATCGCATTCACAAAAACTGTCTGTACTTCAACTGTCAAACCAATATTGCCCAAAATGAAATTAAAAAATTATACCTAGGTATGTAGGAATAAGCTTACTTGTTCTTGTTCGTGCAGATATGATTTCCGTCACTAACAGATTAATAGTCTTGAAATCGCATACATTCGCTGCAGCTTTAGCATGCTAAAGTCTCAACTTACTACATCATTTTTAATATTATCTATCTAAAAAGGATCCAGCAGCATCTTACGACTTCAACAATGATGATTCTGATCCAACACCCCGACCCGTACCAGGAGACGCAAACAATGTAGGCACACAACTTGCTGGTCTCATATCAGCAACGGCGAACAATGGCGTTTGTTCTGTTGGGGTCGCTCCTAAAGCAAGAATCGGAGGTTTCATTTTTAACACTTTTCAGTATGCGTTTGCGCTATTAGATTGTTTGGCATATCTTCTAACATCTATGTATTTACCCTGTGCTTTGTATGTATTTACCCGGAATGTGTACACATATCACGGAAGCAGTTTTTTGTTTTCATCAAATTTTAGGAGACAAAAAACATTTCTGCAGCCTTTTATTGTCATCTTCGAGGGAACTTAAACCTCGATATATGATGATTTCATCACATGTATAGTTGCTTGTACCAACATTTGTCATAACTTTAATGCCTAATTGTACGATGCTTACTAGATTTAATTTTGTTCGTTCTTATTATTCGCCAGGAATTCGCCTTCTCGATGGTGAAGTGAGTGATAATCTGGAATCACGTGCATTTGGTTTTGCAAACAATCATGTTGACATTTATATGGGAGCTTATGGGCCTGTTGATGATGGTTTTGCAATAGGCGGCCCGGGACCAGAAACGCAGATGGCAATTGAAAAAGCAATACGTGAGGTATGTCACTGTGAAAAATAAACAAAATTCTAGACATAGCAAAATTTCAATTGCTTTCATTTCAGACGCTTTGAAAAAGGTTGTTTGTCATTTAACTGATCAGAATCCAATAATTAATCCATCAATTCCATTGTATTATATGTTATTTATCATATTATCTCTCAAAAAGCTGTTATAACTAATAAAGATTATACTTATGAATAACTAGAGCTGCATACAAAACAAGTTGATCGCGTTCATATGTACTTAACAAAATTTGAGAGAATTTGACCGGATTTAAGAGAGTTAATAAAAGGAGAGAATTTGACTGGATCCGAGAGAGAAAATTCTAGGAGGAGAAAAAAGAGAGAGAGACATCCACGTGCTCGAGATTAATTACCATAATGGGATTCTCTCATTTCCTCCCGCTCATGAAAAGATGTGTAAGGTAATAAAAACAAACTGGACACGGTGTGGAACACCGGAAATTACTAATAATTATTTTCAGGGAAGAGACGGAAAAGGAAATATATTCGTGTGGTCTACCGGAAATGGCGGAAAAAACAATGACGATTGTAACTGCGACGGATACTCCAACAGTATTTATACAATAGGAATTGGAAGTATTTCAAGTGATTCGGAAAAGGCGTGGTACGGAGAAAGGTGCTCGTCCATGATGGCAGTTACCTACAGCAGCGGAACTCCACTTCATTGGTCAATGGTCAGTTGTATTTTATAGTTCAATACTATATAACTTAACTGGTTTTCAGTCTGGTTATCAACTCATTGAACCAGTCAAAATTTTTATAATTAATGATTTTTTTTCAGATTTAAAAGCAACACCTAAATATCTAAATCATGTTTTAATATAAACTGTGATTAGATCGATTTGAAACTTTCGGGTTTAGGAAGTACTCTAGTTCGAATGCTTTGTAGCATACCAATAAATATGCATTTATTGGAAATTATTTCTTTATTCTTTGTACAGGCAACAACCAAACCAAATGGTGAATGCACTTCTGAATTTAAAGGAAATGGTGGATCAGTTGCTGTTGCTGCGGGAATATGTGCACTAGCGTTAGAGGCCAAGTACAATATACAATGAATAAAATTCTCAAACCATTTCAATTAGTATGGGGCGCTCCAGACTTCGAACACGGGATCTGAAACAGTCAACGGTCACTTCTATTTACAGCACCGCAGTTAAAACGATCGAACATAAAAAAAATTCGTTCTGAATTTTTAAGTTATTGTCTGAGAAGGTCGAAAAAAAAATTCGGCCGAAGACTGTAGGACGATCAAAATTGTTTTTAGTCGAGATAATTAATTGGTTTATGGCCCAAGTGAAAAATAAAAGACTTGATTACAGTAGTCGTATGCCTATAATATTTTATATTTCAGCCCGGACTTAACCTGGAGAGACATGCAGCATCTGATTGTTGAAACTGCCAGTCGACGAGGATTGATTTCAGATGATTGGAGGATTAATGCTGCTGGAAGAAATAGTTAGTTTCATTCTTACCTGTTTAAAATATGTAGAGAACTTAACAAGTGCATTATAATATATTTTCTTTCTTTATTAGAAGACTGTCATTTGTTTCTCCGTTCAAAAAGTTCCTATTTTCTAATACAATAAGTTATTTTTAACTATTTTTATGCCATTGTTTCAACAAGGCTCGAGCAGTCGGTTAGTTGTAGAAAGTCGCTAAGTTTTCCAATTATTGAGATGTTGCCGGCACAGCAATTCCATCAAAATTTCTTGCACCCCGAATAGGGTAGCGGATTTGAATCTCTGGCTAACGATACGATTATTTTGAAACATCCAATCGGGTACATGTAACTCATAATTTGGTGGTTGCGACTTGAATAATTGAGTGGACAGAAAGTTCGTCGGTTCCATTCCAGCTTAAACTCGAAACATTCACATAGTCCGCCAGAAAAAAGGACCATCTGTAAATGAAATGTTTTCAATTTTTTTTTTAGTAAGTCGCACTTTTGGATTTGGTTTAATGGATGCTCATGCAATGGTCAAGAAAGCACGCGACTGGGTGTTGGTACCCCGACAAGTGTCATGCAGAATCACATTGAGACGAGATGGAGGATGGAGCATGAATGTTCGTTGGCCAAAGATTGTGCAAATACCAGTAAGCTAATATAATCAGTTGTAATTTTTGACTAAACTAAAATTTTCATAAATTTAACATAATCAACATAAAATAAAACAAAAAATCGTACTGTGGTTACAGTATGACAGTTTCTAACGAAACAGTTTTCAAAATGGAGCTAAAATTGTATCAAATATCACCTTTCATCAGAACTTTATTCACTTGGATCTAAATCATTTGTACGTGGCTGTGAACAGTTTGAATATACTAAAAGTGGATAAAATAGTGGTTATACTAATTTGTACGTTGCCCCTTGCTTCCAACATGATAGTATATGAAGGTTTAATTCTTACATATTCTAAAAATTGGAAAGTGCAGAAAAGAACCGAATATGTTTTTAACTTGCATTGCGAGGATATATATACTTGAAATGGACCTTTGTTTTGGGGAATTCTAGTATTTTCATTTTTGTTCATTTTGACTTATTTTTTCTTATATTCTTTCAGACATCGGTTTGTGAAAATGGTGGTAGGATTCCAGATAGACTCGAACATGTTACGATCATGATATCAACATATATCACGCAAAATCTCGGTGATATTAAAATGTATTTGGAATCACCATCTCGTACAAAATTTCCTATACTTGCTCAGAGGTAAAATCATCAAAATTCACAATATTTTATTTAAATATTTACATATTCGAGAGATACTCATGTGGTATGCGAACCAAGATGGCGAACACCGGAACGTAGAATGTGTACCAGGTTAGGGTTAGGCCATAATTTCATTCCAATTTTCCTTATTTAGTTCTATTACGAGTTCGGGGACTAGTCAAATGACTCCCGTAGTATATGTACCTGAAATTATGGCCTAACCCTAACCTGGTACACATAATACGTTTCGATGTTTGTCATCTTGGTTCACATACTACGGGAGTACCATTCGAGAAATTTAACGTAAAACGAGGCATTGTTCAAATTTTCAGTTGACGGTCTATCAGTGCTGGAGCTAAATACATTGTCTGCAAAATTCCCGTTTTCCTATGCCTACAATGTAATTGTTATTTCAAATTTCAGGGTTTGGGGAAGTTCTCGAATATCTTATGGCTACAAAAATTGGGTCTTTACTTCAATTCTATTTTGGGATGAAAATCCGGTTGGAGATTGGATTGCACGATTTGAACGGGATAGTTACGCCAGTATGTTTAATGAATAATAAAATGAAATCTGGGCAGTATATGCGAAATGTTTTTAAGTTTCATTATGTGCTAACTATTCAGTTTTTTCATCATTGCTCAGCTGAAATAAAGTTACGACATGTAGTTATCCAGTTATCATGTGTTAAATATTTGTCATCGTCTACCGCAAAATTTCTATCTATGATCATTTGCTAGTTCTAAGATGAATTCAATGCTCAACTCACAGATATCATCATCAAGTATACAAATGTACACACAATAAGATTTTTCATAGCATTCATGTAAATTATGACGCTTGTATTTTCAAAATGTATTGCAAACGTTGGGATAGGAAGTGTAATCAATTTGAGCCAAAATAAAACCAAAATTGCATATTTCGTCTCGAACAATTTTTATTATTTAACATCATTCACAATAATAAAAATGCTTTTGTTTCCACAATGGGCACTCCAATCAACAATAGCCTGCTTCAGTCAACAATAATTATTCAAATATAGAACATCATCCAAAATTAATTTTTCATTTTGATAGCTATCCGGTCACCAATGGTACTTACTTTATACGGAACTCTTGAGGAAGATTGGGAGAAACTGCAAAAGGAAGACACCACAGAAGTATCGTCTTCATATATGCTTCTTTTTTTTCATGTCATCTGCTCACAACTACATTGTTTATACCTTGTTAAAACGGACCATACTGTATAGGCATGAAACACTATCCAATAAAAGCCATCGGATGGAAATTCCAATTAAAATATGGGCACTGATAGGTAATCTTCGATTAGTATTTGTCTTCTTATTAGTTTTTTATCTTCTTATCTGTATTTTCTACCAGGCCCCGGTTGTAGAATCTACTACAACTGAAGAAACAAAGCCTGTAACTAACACCAATCCAGAAGGTAAATTTCCTAATATGCAAACTCAAATAAATTAATTCTTGATCGAAGATTTTTTAACGTCAATTGATATATTACCCCAGCATGTTTACACAATTTAATACGGTTGATGAATGGTTTTATTATATTTACATCCACATAAAACAATTCAATCCTACATTACTGCATGAGATTTTCCACTCCGTCTTCATTTACCAATTCAGAACTATTTTTTACAATGCCTACTTATTATTTTTAGATCTGAAGCAGGAGCAGAGACAAAAATTGTTTCGAGACTTCCGGTACCTAGCCTGTAAAACTAGCTGCAACATTCAGGCCTTGGTGGATTCGGACTATTTTTGTTCTTGCACCTACTAAACTGATGGAATGCTGATCATATTACGGGCGAGTTTGACTGTAGCCAAAGATTCAAATATCGACACGTGTTAAATAAGAAATTCATTGGAAAACCTTCTTGATTTTAGTTAAATTGCAAAATTGTGACATTTCAATAAAATTTCGTAGGCAAATACATGATTTTAAATGTTTATCTTGAGGAAGGAAGGCCGATAGTACGGCTTGATCATGTGGTCTTAAGCTCTTTGTTCGTCGTCGCGTTAACCTTACAACAGTGGTTCTCAACCTTGGTTCGATCGAACCCCTGGGGTTCGGTGGCTTTTCATCATCTTGCCTACTAATTAGGCAAAAATAACTATAGTTCATCTCACATATTCAAACTCACACGTTCAACAACTAATAAACGAGAATATCGGTCGGAGACCGAAGACTTATCGATCGAAACTGCGGTTTCGATTCATGACTCGTTAGTGACACCGCATGTCCCATCACTAATTAATTAATAACTCGCTAATTAATAACTCGCTATACGACATAATTCATCCAAAATCAATAGGCTTCTGGTCCGAAATATGATAAATGCACACGCAAAATTTGGAACAGATTCAACCTCGCTTTCGTGAGATATCGCAGGCATCTAACAGACAAACATACAGACAAATACCTATCAACATACTTATCGATATCGATAAATAACAATCAGCAAAACGATCTATCTATATATCCTCTTTGCATGCATTGCCTCTTTGCAGCACAAAATTTAGGATTTTGTGGTTGAAATTGGCGGACAGATGATGTTAAAGCTTGCTCATTAGTTTTTCTTTCGCGCAAATGTAGAATTCATCGGTCGGAGACCGAAGACTTATCGATCGAAGGTTAGGGGATCCCCAAAACAGCACTCTTACTCCATAGTGACACCGTGTGTCTTATCACTAATTAATAACTCGCTAATTATACGATATAATTCATCGAAAATCAATAGGCTTCTGATCCGAGCTATGATGAATGCACATGCAAAATTGCAAACATGCTTTCGTGAGATATCGCGTGCATCAAACAGACAAATACCTATCAACATACTTACCGATACCACAGCGTGTGTCCCAACACTGAATCGTCACAAGGTTTGATATTATAAATATTTATATCAGTAGGCTTACCATACGTCCCGATTTAGGCGTGACAGTCCCGCTTTTTAGCGTCTTGTCCCGCCGTCACGACAAGTCAGCCAAAAGTCCCGCTTTGGCGTTCAGCCATCCAGCATAATACACGAACATGCTGTGTAGCAACAACAACGTACTTACAATTACAAACAACGTGCAACTACAAGCAACGCTAGCGTACTTACCGACGGTGAATGCGTTATTTTGTTTGTTTCGTTTTTTCCCGCTAACATTGTTAGCGAACGTATCACATGTAAAATCCATTATAGGTGGTCCTGTTCGGACGTTCACGTGAATGTAACATTGAACAACGTTTTTTGAAGGTGTAATCTACAGAAAAGCATGCTTGGGCGAATAAGTAAATTCTTAATGCTTGAAAACAACAGACTATTTCAATATTCTCTATTTCTTTTGCTGTACATAAAAAAATCTAAATTTGGATCATTTGTATCGTTAGCGTCTATTCTCCTTTCTATTTTTCGAACTGAACCCGATATTTAGACAGAGAATATGCGCATGAATTCCCGATGACAATATGGTTAATGAAGACAGTCGGGATGGCTTTAAATGCAGGCCTACGTAGTAAAATCGGAAACTATAATTTACAGGATCACAGCTAAGGGCTCAAGAAAATATGGTAACCCTATTTATATGTAAAACTGCTTCAAGATTAATAAAACATTTGTGTTTTTATATATATATTTTTTAATTCTCATTAAAATATAAACTTAAAAGGTAAAAGATATATATATATTTGCGAAGTCATGATGTTGATATCTTTGTATCCGGTTTCTGTTTTAATTTTTTCTTTGCCATACACCACAGATAATTTGCTAACATAAGTATTTTGCTTCCACAAATAGTCATGTATGCTTTTTCAGAAAGCTCGATCGACCCAGTATTGCACCTTGCCGTGAAACGTCATGTTTTGTGATGTTATGTTGTTCCAAGGCGAAAAGTAACTGTCTTATTTGGTCTTGTCTGTTGTCTGAAAATTGAATTGTATGTAAGTTCTTTTTAATTATACTTTATAAATCAGCGAGACTGGATTTTGCAATTTCAAAAATGTTGAATTTATGAGCCAAGCGCAATAGCTGAAATGTAAAAATGTGAGATGTAAGCAGCTAGAGCCCATACCTGTTGCGAAAAAGTACACTTCTTGTATCAGCAATAATTAGATTTTTTACAGACATCATTGTGCTCGCGATGCAGAGTAGGGTTTATATTATACAAATATCCACTCAAATGTGTAAAGCTGCTTGCTTAGATCAACAGTTGTATTCCTACTTCCGTACCACCATTTTATCACACTGTAGGCTACTTCAAGCGACGAGCGTGAGTTTTACAATACATTGCCAACATGATTGTGTGGACAAGCTAACTAATGAAATTATCCGTTTTTTTGGGTGTGATTATATACCGCAAAGCCTCTCTGAAACTGAAAATTCAGTCCAAGCTATCATTTGCTGAGAAATATGATACCAGTACTTACCTTACATAATAACCCTCACTTGCTGCCCAGATTGGATTGAATGCTTCAGCTACCCAAGGCGAACCACTTCCTTTCCCTCTGTTCTGAAGTGGAGACAATTGAATAATTCTGCAATATATGAGTTTTTATAGTGAAAAATATTTTACAATTTTTAAAAAGCAAACACATAGTGGATGGGCAATGGTAACATCACACATGTGTATAAATTCATTAATCGACGCAAAATATGCTGTTATGTCAGCCACTACAGTAATTTTTTAGGTGAAAAACACTACTCCCGTAGTGTGTGTACCAAGTTAGGGTTAGGCCATACTTTTATTACGATTTCCCTTATTTTAGTTCTATTACGAGTTCGGGGACTGTCTGTGTTAGCCAAGTAAATAAACCACTTGCCCATAAGTTTCAATCCCTTTACACAACTTGATGTAAAGTAGGCGAGCAAAATTAGTTACCTCCATAATGCTACACACACTTCTGAAGCGCAGTAAAAAAAAGTTCAAGCACATATAAACAAAATATCTTACCCATCAGAATTGAGATATTTTATTCCGCCTGTGAGAGTAATATGTTTGGCTGCGCCATCCGCCACACCATTTATTGTGGATGTAACCTTCATATCAATAGGTGGTATGGGCTGTACACGGCCCATGACATGTTTATTCGTGGTTGGACTAGTTGGTATTTTATTTTCTTGCGATCGCCCATTAGCAAACGAAATTTTAGTTACATGATTTGTCAGGGGATATGTGCTACTCTTTGGTGTTTTCGTATCGGGATCTGGCATCGGTTTTCCATTGTTGTTGTTGTGATCGGTGCCGTGCGTCTGTATCTTGTCACTAGTTGTCTCTACAGAGTTGATCTTTCGTGGTGTTTTTGATTCGCGAGTTTTAATCTTCCCTAGCGTTTTGGGAGATTCCATCTTTTTTGGGAAAACCGAATTTTGATAAAGTTTTGAAGCTGCATTTAAGCTATTTTCTAAAACACGCCTGTTGTTCCAAGTTCTCCATCCTCGGCTTAGGCTAACTCTATTTTGTGATCCTCTGAATTTTGAATGCCTCTGATATGCACTGGATTGAACGTTTAACATTTCTTCGCCTGCAGTTTGGGGTCTGACTGCATTAAATGGAAGTACTTGAACGTCTTGATAGGGATCTTTTATTTGGTCTTTCCCTGAATTAATAAGAAGGCCATAGTGAATCATTGATAAGTAAAAGAGTCCCTGTCTGTAAACAATAAGAAAATTCTACTTTTAACCAGATAATGATATGTTATGGGTCAATGAAATCACTTTACTCACTTGCTTGTGATGGTGCTGGCCAAGATGAAGACGATATTCTGCGGTTAGATGGTGGTGGTGAGGACGCAGAATTTGACGTTAACGTTAGTCCGCTTTTTGTGTTTGACGATGATAAACGACGCATTGAGCTTTCTCCTGCCTCAGCAGATCCCATGGTATCTCTGCGATATCATAAATTGCGTAAAATTGAGTACAAAATGGTCCAAATAAACGATAAATACTAGACATTCACTACTGATTTACCTCGACGGCTCCGTTCTTGTTCTGTTACGAAGCCTCGAAAGTTTTACAGGTCTCCCTGGAGCAAAATATGATGTCATCACCGCGTCATGGGTCAATGGTGAGCCATTTGCAGCATGGTTTACGTATATATGTCCAGAGTTGTTGCTTTTTACTGCTTTGGCGCTATGTGTGGTGCGACTCTCCTTTTGTGGCGTTGTTTTAATGCCATTGGTCGCCTCGTACGCGCTTCTCAAGCGATTTTCTGGAGAGTTCTGATTTTGTTTGGATGTTTTTTTGTTGTTTGAATTATCTTGATTTGAATTTAATTTCCCTCCAGCTGAAACTGCTTCTCGCGTTCGAGGTCTTATCAAATATGGACTTGTTGCATCGGAATTTGACCTGCAAAGGTACAAAACCAATTTGTGACTTTTTCTGACAAAAATTGAACATAAATATACTCAATAACACTTTGTGACCCGTACAACATTTCAACCTCGAGAGCCTGCAAATAGACATGTGCTAACTGCCTATTTTAAATGATAATGATAGTTTCACATAACCGGTTGAATTTCTCTAAATTATTCTCCTAATTTTTGTATACCTATGTAAAACTTGTGCGTTCTGTCGTTGTACATCTTCAAAAAATCTCCGCCGTCTTCCGTACACCGAAACAGCTTTTTTCTTAAAAATACCATTAAATATTTTAGTATTTCTTGTCTGGGATGGCAGCAATGGCTGAGAAATTCTTCATATACTCCCACCTTTCTCAAATTCAATTCTTCTTCATTCACTTGATTCTTTCCCTTTCCGGATAGGTCCTCGGTATCGTCCTCTCGACCAGCTGATGGTATCAATATTTCAATCGGTGTTCTCCATTTTCTATGTTCAATTTCTGCTTCATCAATGTTGTCTCCACTGGGAACTTCTCTAAATGTGTTCAGTAAAATTTCGTATCTAATTGTCTAATCAACGATACGCTTGTTTACAGAATATTTAGCATGCTGAATAGTATCCATAAACAGTTCAAACCTAGATGTGAGCTTCATTTACTTTCCTGTTCAACAAAATAAATCAAAATGTTGGCCAAATTTACTGCTGCTTTTTGCTTAGGTTGCATTGTTTAACATATAATTGATACTACGAATTTTAATCAAAAATTATTCACTTTTTTGTTTCGAATATTATTTGTAAGACAAATAATTTAATGCTAGTCAAGGACAAATTGTTGAAGTTGATTAGGTATCGATTCGGGTATACGTTATAAATCCCTAAAATAAAGTAACACTTTATATAAAGTTCAAAGTTTCTCTCACTTCCTCCATGTCTCTATTTCCAAAAATTTTAGAGGTGATAGAAATCTGCAGAGTTCATCTTTTGAAATAGTGTTTTTCAGAATTGCTTCGTTAGCCTGAAATATGTAAAAGCACGTTCAATACAATGACAGATCGCTAATGAATTACACAAAAATGAAAGACCAACCTCAGCATCTTCCATGTACGACATTTCTTCATGTTTGTTAAGTTGTTCAAGCTTCATGTTAGATATCGTGTGCCTTTTTATCAGCTTTGAACCTGAAACATAATGTTGCGTGGTAATAAGTCAAATTTTATTATGTAAGCAGATTTGCGCCCTCGGATGATACAAAAGAGTTTTTTTTTTTTAAACAGCCACCTTGACGTCTTGGTAGCATATAGTCACTACACCACATCGATACAATTAAAACGAACAAGCCAGAATTTTTTTTTTTTTTTCAGTTTGTGAATCGATTCGCTTTTTGACTCCCGAAAAACAAGCTAAGCTAGATTAAAAATAAATTATAAAATAATCAGTCTATCAAGACCGCACTGATCATTTTCAATGGATATCGGATCTACATCTGACTACCGATTTTTATCAATGCACTATTTTGGGAAGTCAATCCAATGTGATATAATTCTAGAACAAAGAAAAAGGTTCCGTGCTACCCCACTTTCGGAATAAAAAAAAGGAATTAATTTTTGAACTATTTATATTGTGCCATTCTTTTTAAAAAAAAATTATTCTGATAAATGAGTAATTCACGCACGTTTTTCATTCATTTATTTATCCAATCTTAACATCTAATTCTTGATCTGCATCGATTTATATCCACATCACCTTAACAATCTCACTTGCACTTGCCCTTTCACAAATCCCAACATTGTAATAGCATGGTGCATGGCAACGCTTAGTTGGGAACAAACGAAAATGGTAACTATATCTGTAAATCAAACTGCCCGCCACAATCATTCCTAAATTAACATTGTGTCATTATCCGACCGATATTCTCGCGAGTTAACATGGCCGTGTTGCAAAAATAAGATATTATCTGCATATCAAACTTGACAGCATAATAAAAAAAACATCAACAAAATTCAATATTTGACATTAAATAGAAGGAAAGGTAATACCGCAAACATCAGTTATATAGGCAGTAAAGTGAAGTACATTTCTCAGTTACACAAATTATTTAAAATCGTTTAGAAGTAAAACTAACATGATATGCCTGATAAACATTAAGTTCTACAAAAAGTACTTGTGTGATACTACTGAAAATCGCCAATGTGGAACGCAGTTTAGTGAAAAGGGCAATTATTTTACTGTTTTTTTCGAATGTGTGCTTTAATCGCGACACATCTCAAGACACAATGGCGATATATCATATGCTATTATGTTCAATTGTAATACAATACTTCTGAGCGTCAAAATTTGGTTAACAGGATACTACGACTACTGATTCCAAATCCAACCTTTCAACGAATATTTTACATAGTTCCTTGTTCATTTATACTGCTGTGTGTTGTGACGGAAATGTAAGAAAAATCGAAATATAAATGGGTTCAAATTTAATTGCATTCAAATATATATTATAATCTTTTTTAATATAACATAATCTGGGAATTACTTTTGATCTAATGAACCGAGATTGATTCGATCGTCTAAACTCTAATCATCGTTCTATTAGACAAAAAGTTACACGCGAGAAATATAAATGTTTTAATGGCAACATTATGTCGTTAAATTGAACTGATGAAGTTTTTTTTATTGAATCAATTCAATTTTTGCCTTTACTTCAGGCATTGAAAAGTAATTGTTCTATTTTGGGTCAAATGCGGTCAATTCACAAGTCGGCTCGGATAAATAAAGCGCGATTAAGTACATAGTGAAATAGAGAAACCAATTTTATATCGTTTATAATCTTAGGGGCGCATGTAATATATCTACAAAAAGATAGCTTACAATCACTTTTCAAACAAACTTTTTGTTTACTGATTTAAAAATCCAAAGCCACGAACCATCCTAAAAGTCCAGTCCGACTCTGATTAATATAATTCACTTACTAGGTAAGATGACGACGATAATGTAACGCCCTTGCCTATCACGGACATAAAGAAATCAGAGGCCGAATTCGGGTTTGAATTTAAGGCTTACAACTATTTACTTAGAAGAGGCAAAGAAAAAGTAAATTCAACAAAGACTTAGTCAGATTTACTAAAAATAGAGAACAACCTATAACAACAAGTTGTTTAGTAGCTAAAATGATAAATTCCCTTAAATATTTATTACTTCAATATTACTTGATGCCAATCTTGTATGTACAGATCACTATAATAAAATTGTCTAATTTTACTACATAAATTTTGCAAATACTTTTTTTATAACTCATGTATAATAATACAATTATATATCTTGAATGAGTAACTTCTTTACTTCGAATTGAACACAATATGTTATTCTGAAAATGTTTTTTACTTTCTTTGTTCATGGATAAACCACACTTGGCGTCTTGCTTTATCTGTGGTTCAAGTAAGATCGCTTGAAGAAGATAAACATTTTAGCTGGGAAGCGCAGTAAACAAAACATTCGATAATGTTACAAATATTATCTTACCTCGAAATCGTTGCCTGTGAAGCATGTTTATCATCAACGTTTTATGACAATATAAACAAGGAATATGGAAAACCTATTTGTTTTTCAAAATGTGATTATTAAGAAGCATAATATGTTGCTGACAACACAATGAAGATGTCTAAAATTCTCAAGACCTTTCACGTGACAAATATCGAACCATAAGGTAAAACTATATTGTCGCTTTTATAGTGATACAAATATGAGATGCAAACCTAGCTAATGTGTCCTAATAAACTGTTTTGTCATTCGTACTAATAATCACTATAGCCAAGTTTCATAAGCAGACTTATGATAATAATCTACTATAGCTTTTAATGCTTTTTGTTAGCTGCGTACTAGACTAAAATATAACCTTTAATTCATCAATTAAATAGTCTATCTCTTTTTGTTCAGATGCTTGGTTATAATCGAACAATAAAACGTTTAATAATTCAATATTCAGTAATCCATTTATCCATATTTTATTTTTTAAACTAACTTTAAACTTCACAAAAAATATGATTTCTTATACGTTATAATCACATAATGTCGTCTAGGCAGATATCCCTTTATATTCATAACTTGGCTTTATGCCAAACTGACCGAATATGCTTCATGTTGTCGCCTTATCTATGTGTCGTGAAGATGACACTCGAATTGACTCCAGAATTAACATTATGTTTTAGACGCGGTTCATCTGTGATCAAGTAGGGCGAGCGAGTGCTTCAAATCCAAGATGATGGCACTCAGCAATACGCTAACACACGCTCATTGTCTTTACATATGGACAGTATTTTTTAAGTGGATGTACATGAAGCCATACTATAACTGGACAACTCGTGGACAACAAAACAAATACATTTTACTTTCGAGGTTCTTGAGGGCTATTCCCTGTCATGTACGCTCCCGTAAACAAAAGCGAGTTGCTTTGACTAAATTGAACTTCTCAACTTTCATACTTTTTGAATGGAATATTCGTTTAAAGTGATTTTCAAAATTAACGTTAAAATCTTGCCAAATGTAATACAAATTTTACTTCAATTCAAAATATCTGAACTAGAAAAAGCCATCATTTACATATCGTCAACAAAACATTGACAATTTAAATATTCATGAAACTGCTAAACAACATTGTTGGTGTCGTTATTCATGAGCTTGTTTAAATGAACTTTAAAAGCAAGGGAAGCTCCTTCAACATAGTTGGCATAGCATTCCAATCTTCAGTATGTTTCAAAAATTAATATCACGAAAGAAACCTTTTCTCTTTTTTTTTTTTCTTTCTTTATCAAAAAGAAAACTTCCTTTATACACAAGATTGTACTCTATTCAATTTCTCTAAGACAAATTTATATTTTTCTCTAGGTAACAGTAGCGTTTTCTGAAACTAATCCTTTTCGTTCCAGCCACCGATTGCTTCAAGCGCTCTAAGAATGTGGAAGTCGATATTTGAAATTCGAATCGACAGTTCAAATTTACCCCGTTGGTATTTTATTTTGGTTTCGATTCGTAAACACTCGGGTGATATTCTGAAACACAGATATACCATAACACAAAATCGTGTACAAACAGTGAACACAAATATTTTCCAATTTGGAGAGTACCTATTCTCGCATGGGTGTATTTTCCGTCCCGTTAAAGATGCAAAGTATTACTTCTATGAAATAATAACTTTCTAGTGAAGAATTTAAACTTTATTCGCTGAAAATTCTAAAGAAATTGGTCCAATAGTTAATGAGAAAAGCGATTTTTTCATACCGATGGGAAGAGAAACAATAAGAACAACAACAACATAATAACAAAACGGTCCATATGTCCATTTCGTGTCCAAAAATCAAAGAATTAGCAGTTTTTACACGATTTCTTACCTTTCCCGCCAATGTTAGGTCTTTTTGTCTTGGGAGCTGATGTAACTTGCCTTACTATCGGCGTAGCTTTTATGGTAACGGTATTACGATCGGTCGTAATTTCTTCATCGCGATGATAAAGTTCCTCTATTTTCATAGTTTACATTAATATGATAACCTGCTCTAAAAGTAAGCTAATTCACTGAAGATAGATAATCCCAGAGCTGAATGGAAGCCTTTCGATCGCCTATTTAAATTACAATAACGAAATCAAAAATGGACTTATCATAAGTTCATAACAAACGTATAGAAGATTTGTAAACTTGTTACCCTAACCACTTTCGTAAACTTTAAGCCCGTAACCGAATGAACATTTATATTTCCTCAGGGCTTCGATACTAAATCTACCTCCTTAGATCCAGATTGCAAAATAAAATTTAGAATGCCAGCACAAGGATTTATATATTATGACTGTAAAATAATTATGCCATAAAAGATAAACACCAATACTTGATCATTTTGAAACCATCAAACTGAAGAATTGCTTATTTTCTTTTATCTGGCGACCAAATTAAGAACCTATGTCTTAATAAAATCATATTATTGATCAATTTTGATTTGAAAATCAAGCCCTTCGTATAAACCTAAATGCTTGGCTCACTAACCGCTATGTCTCTATTGCCCGTAATTCCTTGAATGTAATCGTTCAGCAATATATTTCTCATTACGACATATTTACACACGGTTACGCAAACATTCACATCAGTAGCCATTACTATCCATAACGCAAATCAAACAAACGACGCCTTAACTGTTGTATATTCTTGCATTAAAAATAACTTAATATATTCGAAACAGTAATCATGCTGAAAAGTAGCACATTCCACCTGAATCATAAAAGTTTGATTCTGGAAGCTTTTCTAAGCTTTGTGAATATTTCATAACGAAATACTATTAAATAATGAATCAAAATTCAATATCCGCCAACGTTTGAAGTATAAAGATAGGCGGGCAACCGATCAAGATGTTATTTAACCCTCTGTGCTACGACAAACACCAAAAATATGGGTCATCCGAACAGCGGTTATAAAATCGATATCACATATACAGAATTTTGGAGGTTGCTCTTAAAATGAATCTATTTCCTTATTAATAAATATTATGTGCTTATATTGAAGTGAATAACTATATCTAAAACAAGTCGAAAGCCAATTGTTTCCTTTGTACATTTACATACTTAATAAACGATATTCTAAATTTATTGTTGAAAATTTGTACCCCTAATATCTCTTTTCCGATGCTACTCATCACGGCCGTAGTCATAAATAGTTATTGAAGATAAAGTGAACTTATATATCGTTTTATTATTATGTTGTTCTTCTTGTTCTTGTTAGTCATTATTCTTTTCTTCTTCCTGTTTTTTCTTTAGCCACTGGACCAATCACAATACTTTGAAACATTCAGTGGCTAAAGATTGTTGTTGTCTCTTGGAGCTCATTACATTTATTTATTTCAAAAATATTTGTAGGCTGAATGGGATTCGTTTTTTATGTGCGATTATATCATCGAAAAAAAAATTGCGCATCTAGTGGCGGTTCCGCGTTCGCTGCCATCGGAGGTTCAGGCGAATTTGCGTAGGCTGCGATACCGGTAGTCTAGGGTGACAGATTGCATACCCGTACTATCTGTACTTCGTTTTGGTCTGCGTGTCCATATATTTTAACATCGCTCTCCTGTTTCTATTTCCTGACTTCTGAATCATTGGCTATATGATATGAAGTAAAATTAAAATTTGAAGAACAATTGTTTTTATTTACCGCATTACAAACGTGATCAGTTTAAATAAAACAAACAATATAAACAATATCTCTTAATAAAGCCGACTGGAAAATATCACTATTGTTGTCTGCCTTTTGGTCTGAATGGTGTCAAAATCACCAACCATATGCTTGGGCGGTGTGTGATCTTATGTCTTGTTTTGTAACATGATGTTTGAGCATCAACATGTTATCGAGGTCAAGGTGTGAAAATAGTTAACATAAAGGAATATTACTTTTCAAAATCTATTATTTTTGGTCTTTTGTGATGGCTTGGTAATCCTGAAATGTTTTTCTTTCGCTTTGCTTTGTGTACTGAATTTAGAAATACAATTATGCAAGGCCGTGTATGAAACACTGTATTATAATATATATAAATATCAATATAGTGAAATGTACAAGATGGTATTGTAAATTTTCTGGTTTTGAACTTGTGGGTGAGCCATAAACACCGTCAAATTTTCGGGTAGTTGTATGCGTTTTCTGGAATTATACAAATTCCTGCATTTTATGAATGAAGAATCGACTATGGAGAAAATATATTTGCTAAGAGATTATTGGAAAAACTCAAATCACAGAATTGTTACAATAGATGAATAAGGTATAACGCAAATACAGTAGATCGGTTGAAAACATTTCCCACGATCGAACACTGAAAATTCGCATTACCAAGGAATTCATAAAATTATCGTGATAACAAAAGAAATCACCAGTCGCCCGTTTTTCCTTATAAAATTACTGTAAAAATACCATTTTGTATCGTCATCGCCAGATGTATTCTGGTAGGCTATATCACGTGCAATTGCTTGACAACAAGTTAGCTATTGCTTCTACAAGACAGCGATGGTATTTACTGTATGTAATTACATTCGAATACCATGACCACATTTCACCAAATTTGTTTGCATAACTGAGATGTTACACTTTGGAAAATTCTGTCAATCCACCCCAACTTTTATCAGTCAGATTCATTTCCGAATTTTGAAAGGATGGTCCCAGGCTCTGTATGGATTACGGGGTAATTGTAGAAGTATTCCTAATGCCGCAGTTGGTCTATTACAATGCGTAGGTATCCGCACACGTCGTTTTTATATTTTCCATATATATATTCTAGACAAGATTCATTAATATTTTACAAACTGGCTGTTCGAAATTGTGTGTCATGATAATTTGTCGATTACATATTGTTTTTCTTCCGATATTAATTCGTAAATTTAATACATTTTTAGCTTTGTGTTTAATGAGCAAATAGCAACGACATAACAAGTCAATAGACGTGCCTAATTAAAGCTGTTAACTTTGACATACAATTTGAGGTATGTAGTAAAGAAGAGATTCTGAAATATATGGAAACGGAGTCTAAAATGATGTGGAATGCAATCTTTAACAGTACACTACCGGTATCACAATCCTCACGACTAACACGAACGCGAAACCGCAACAAGGTGCGCAATTTTTGATGACATCATGGCCCAAAAAAACGAATCTCATAGAGCCCGCAGAAAGTTTTAAGATAAATAAAAAGAATAGTCTTGTAGCAAAGAATACAATCTTTACCCAGTGAAAATTCCTAATTTGTCTTAATTGGTTCAGTTGACGTTGTATATTTGGATACTATGATATTTGTGAGGGGAGTTTTGATATAGAATCCAAATGCCTTGATTCGTGAAATTCAGACATCCCCCTTGAGTTACAGATCGCACACACACTAAAGGTTGATAATCGTAATTTGTTCTAATTGTGAGCTTTTATGTTTGCGGTTGGTCTTTCTATCACTCACCACTACTATTATTCTAATCCTTTGGATATCGTACTATCAAAACCCGATGAAACTCAAACGGAAGCGTAAAATGATCATGCAATAGAAGGTAACTTGATATGTAGGGTCATTATCAAATTTCACGCCCTATTTAATGTTATTCCACATTCCGACAAATGTCATATTTTCTTACGCAGATATTATTTATGTATAGTTCTTGAATTCGCTTAAATACGGAATACCAAAACGTATTTTGAAAAGCATATACATCTAAATAATACGATTTCTGCTCAAAAGTACTCTACCATCCTGTTTACTCTATAGACATCTCTTAGCTCTATACTCGACAAAGGGTTTACATGTATAACAAAGCCACATACGTATAAACAGGACTAGCCATTACAATATGTGATGATAGTTACATTTGACAGATGTGCGTGACGTCGCGAAGACCCGAACAATAAATACACTCGCATGGCGAGTTTGTTTAGGAGTTGCGTTCATATTGAATTCTGACTACGAAATTTTCATTCGATAAAATAATGTCAAATTATTTCATACCGAGCAATGAAAATTAAACAAATTAATTTGTGACTTGTATTTTCCTCATGGAAATTGTGTTAGATATTTCAAGCACAATAAATCAAGTATTTATGTTCATTTATGATAGAGTTTACATATATATATATCGGATGAGAGGAGGGTCGATAGGACGGCTCAATCACATGACAAACCACGGCATTTCGTCCGGAGGATTATTCTGTTCTAGATAAATTATGGATTGTAACTAAGACGGGAACAAACAAATAGTTTCGCTCCTACAAAGTTTAGCACTATCACAATCTAGATATTTTGAACAAAGCTTCTGCCGCTAATGCAAAGATATGAGAGAAACATCCCGCCACGTTTTATAATAATAAAAAAAAATAGTGATTATCCAGTTAGCGTTAGAAATGATTTGAAATTTGAATTTTCAGCGCAATCTGCATTATTAACACCAACTAGATAATTACTAATTTTCCTATTTTGAGCTTTGGTAGGGGTGTATTTGGCGGGGATTTTGTAGAAAGATCACATAATCCGAACATGCCGGCTTTTGACTTCGTGTCATGTGTGCACGGAATTCGTGCTTTACATACGTTGAATAAAAATCTTACCTTGTAAATTTTGAACTTGCTTATTTTTTGACTTTTTATTGATATATGTTCACAATTCCCATTCCAGATTATCCAAAAATGAATATTTCATCAGCATCTGGGTCTAAAATATCCTAATTAATAAGTGATTTGTTTAGTCTAGGTAAAAAAAAAATGTAAAGTATTATACAATTAAAAATAAAATAAATCATGGGATACTTATGATCGTCGAATATTAATAATAACTCGATGGTCTGCAAATAGAAATTTTGAACAAAAGTAAATAAAACACATAATATTGCAATTAAATATATGTTTTTTTTTTTTTTTATAGATGATTTGTACTTTCACCTGATCAAATAGTGAAACTTGAAACTGATATAGATTGTAAAAAATATTTGTCCAACTTTGGTACTGTCTGACCACACTAGGCTGAACGTTAGTACCAGGATAAATCGATGCTACTATGACGTGAGATCTACCTCAATCTAGTACAACTGTGCAAGGTTTGCGGCTGCATTTTCTATCGCATGGCCAGGCTAGACTCAGACTGCACTTGGGTGATCGACACAATATGTCGATACACTTCACGCTATTGTAGCACTTATAAATTAAAGTACGGTAACTCATTTGGAGAGCTTTTCCGTGAGTTTCAATGCGGAAATTGGGATTCGCGAACGTGTACAGATCTGAAACTGCGGGCATTATAAATATTCCATAAGAGAATACTCACGAGCTAATTCACTCTATCATTTTCAACTGAGATATGGTTAGTGAGACCTGTGAGCACAATACCTTGAACGGACAAAAAATTCTCGATTACGTCATTCAATGTTGCTACCTCATTGTACTAATCCATACATAGTCTTTCCATGATTATCAGTAAATCATCTCTAGTCAAGCAAAAACTATCCCTTTCTCATAATAGTGATGTTTGTAACTATTGGTGAATGTGTGAATCATTTGTTGATAAGCTACACTAACTATATTATCTTGATAATGTTTGGATAACGATAATTTGCAAGTAAATTTACATTTTTTCGAATAAAACTCACGTAAGTCTAAAACTTGTCTCTCCAATACAGTGTGACAACCAAACAACCAATTTCTGACCAAATACGTCCGGGTAAAGTGTTATTTCATTTCTTTTCGGGGCACTCGGTCACTCTTGAGTGGTCCATGTAAAGTAGCTTCAAGTCTCTCGTGAATGAAAGCTATTATAATGTTATATACTTATCAATAGCGTTACTATATCCTTGGATGCGCTTCCCAAACACAATTCAGAAAGTTCACGAAGGTTGCTAGGCGTTTTTATCGCAAATTTCAAATCTTCAACTTCGCAATTCAAGGTATGAATATTCAATAAATTGGACGATGAAGGAGCATTTCATAAAACAAATTCTCGGTATTATAGAGTTCTAAATGTAATTAATAAACTTTAAGCTAAAACCTTGCGTTTTCACTGAAAAGTAAAGGAAACAAAATCTCGAGCGGTCCAATTTGAAGTCCTGAATACTTTCCTTGTCGCACTCTTTCATACCAAGACATGCACTAAGTGAAGTAAATTGATGATATTTCAGCCGTATTGTAAATCTCTGTGGCCTACTGTACTTATTGAAAGTAGACGTCTTGTTTAGCTGCCTCAAAAATAAAACATGCTATCTATATGGCAACCCAATATGCTATCCACAGAGGAGGTCATTCAAATACCCACAAAACCATCCCTACTCCTAACTTTGAAGTTTTATGACACTAAGTTTGACATTATTTATTTATCCAAACAGCAATATATACAAGCACTATCTTGAATGCAAAGGGTCAAGCTGAATTTTTCAGGTTAGCCCTACTCAATTTCTTGCACGCAGATTGAGACGGCGGACCTTGATTAATCAATGCCTGATCTGTTTTTATTGTTATTTCTCTGAATCTACAAAACATTCCCATCGTTCGACTGAAGTTTCACTCAATCGCACCGTTGAAGTGCAAAATCATGAACAAGTGTACACTTGTGTTGTGACATGATCTATTTACCCTTCTTTGAGTAGTAAAGTATCAACAGAAACGACAGCCTGGCCAGATTTAAATCTGGCAAATAACTCAAAAATAATTCACCAACAAGTATGGACAGGGCATTCTTCACCTTAGAACTCATGTAAACATTTTTTTTCTTTCAATTATTTGAAGACAACTTAACGTAACCATCAAAATGTTTGTACAAAGGGGGAGCTTTCAAGTATATTGTTGTGTACTTTTGTGATTGAAATTCGAATTTGTTCCAACTGAGTGGAAGATTTAATAATAGTCCGAAAATAAATAATAAAGTCGTTTTTAGCGATAAACAGTATTGCTTTTCTATTCATACAAAGATTTGTCTGTGAAGTCAACCAAACAATTTAAAGAAAAAAATTTGAACCTATTCCTGCCTTCCTGTTGAGTTATAATCTTTCCAAAATTCATACTCGTTTTTCTGTTCACTTCTTTCCTGATAGTCTAATTATATGGAACCACAAGTGGTGGTGAGAAAAATGTTCGTTGATAAATTTGTTACTTTATTGTTGCAAAAATTATCAACAGTGGAAGTACAGTGACAGAACAATGTGGCCATTACAATCAAGACGACGTGGTGGAAATAGGACAAGAGATTAGGAAATAATAAATTGCAAAAAATCATGCATTGTAATCTAAAATCCATAATCATGCTAGATTTCCTTGCTATGTAGAAATAGTATAAACAGCTTCACCTTTTGCAGCTACAACTTCAAGAACTTTAAACCCTTTTTTAAACGTATGCAAATCATATATAATCAATATTTACATTCCCAAATATACAGCCTATTAAGATATAACAACTTACGTTAGGCGACTCTTAATTTTTCTATCTTAGGCTGAATATAAACTTTATGCGCCACTGACAGAATAGAAATATTCGACGGGAGGTTAAGCGTGGTGTCTGTTTTGCCTCAGCCCGCCTATTTCTTGTTTTGGAACGCCTTTTATTGTAGCCATGCTATAGAAAAGTTGACCTTTCATAACTTGTGACGTAGCAACGGTGTTCATTTAAGGAATTTGATCTCCAAGCTCGAGAAAAAATTATTTTCGCTCAACCAAGCTTGGTCATTGAAAACGTAGTGTCAGTTATGTATGGATTACATATAGTTCGCTGAAATGGCTATTATCTCAAATTGTAGTGGGAATTTGTAGTGTCAAATTATAGGCAACAGAACATTTGACCAAATTGCTAATCTTTTGTAATGGATTCATTGAATAGCCAGCTGACAATAGAATAAACACGCGTCGGGAGTGATTTTACATTCCCATTTTTCTTTTGATTCTTAAAACGAAGAAAATAGGCGGTATCGGATTTCGTATGATATCCGTTGGGTTTTTGTCGGACCCGCTACTTACCCTTCTTCTATAATTCTGCAATTGTGGATGCATGTACCGCAAGAGCGTTACATCAAAATCGAATATAAGTGATACGTATGCTTGGTGTGCAGAAATACTCTTGCATCACTTAGATCTGCGGTTCCAAAAGAGAGCTCCCCGGCAACTTGCTAAATGCGCCAGAAAAATTAACAGAATTGCGTTAAACATATCTAATATATGAATGAATATTTTTCATAATATTGTATTTATTATAAATGTTTCATTGTTTTATATTTTAAATGCAGTGTATATAAATCAATAATTTCATTTTACCTTTCTTGTCGTTTACTTCCTGCTATGTTGTGTCTACCTATATTGTTACGTAATAATAGAGTTTTCAATCAAACCGCGGGTTTTTTAACCAAAGGTAGAGTCGAAATATAATGTGACAGTGATTTTAGTTGGGGTTAGGGGCTAGATTCAATGAGAACGTCTTCCTGAGATCAAACGCATACCAAAGTGGCAGGAACGGTGCGATTGAGATCATGTTAAGCAAGTGAGATCGCACATTAGAGTGGCACTAATTGATCCAAACAGGACCCCGATTATTTTTGTCGTTTCTTTTCTGAATTATTCCACAATCAGCTTGTTTTCTAGTCTAAATGAATTCTTGTGTGTAATGCAATCCCTCAGTCACGTAGAAAGAGACGAAACACGAAATAGATTGTATTATAGTTTTCTGAAAGCTATTTTAAGGAATTATCTTTTGCGATTTGCTATTTAAAAAAATAAAATAAAATGTGCTTTTTGTGTATACCAAAAATAACTTTTACATAGGGTGTGTAGAGTGTAGGCGACAGATAGATAAATGATGTCCATCATTCGCCTACCCTCAAAATCGTGTTATGTCGTCTGCTCCCTGGCGCTACCTTCTGATCCTAGCATATTTTCTTGGCTTAGGTCGAAAGGTCAAAAACGTACTTGAGTATTCAATCATGTAATAAGCCTCTCGCTAAATTGCTGTTCTCTTAGGCGTCGTTGGGGTTTTTATTGTTTTAAAAAAAATTGTAACTAATGGACCAATCGATCTCACATTGTCGGAACTTAAAGATGCAAGAAACAGTCAGCTTTTTCTGATATTTCACCCAAATTCAGCTTTGTTGATCAATCTTTCTGACAAACCCCGTGTTCATCCACGTTACCGGTACCGATGTTAATCGTTGCATTGCCCGAGCGGGGATCGCTGATTTTATGATCGCTCTGTATTACTTATTTGAACTACTGTTTATACATATTCGAGATTTTCTCTCTTAGTATGTGTTGAGAAAATTCATGTTTTGCTATATCGTATTTCAGTGTATTGCCATTTTGTATGTAAATATATTGCTTCTGAACCGGTCCTAGAACCTGAACGAGGTTGACTCTTGCTCTGACTTTCTCTGTCGCCCTCTCTATCAAATAAGAAGTGATTATCGAATCGTCTCCACTCTCCAGGCTAAATAAAGCTAGAAAAAATCTTAAAAAGCGACGATCATGCTTGATATTAATATAAAAGAAACATATTTATTTTTTTTGGTTTTTTCTCAAAAGTATATCAAATACAAAAAATACAAAAAGTAAAAATTTAAATTCCAGTATATATAAAAATATTCGTAAATGACCAATAAATACATCAACTTTAAATTCCAAGTTTTTATCACTGCTTCAAATTTATTGACAAATAACGAAACATTAAATAATTTATAAACATTGGGTAAATAATCAAATTTTCTTGAAGAGTGTTCCTGATTAAAATCACAATACTGCATACCGTAATTAACATTGATGAGTTTTGTTCAAGATAGAGTTAAAATAACAAATAAAAATTATACCAAACAAATAAAATGATAATATTCATTTAAATAGGAAAATGTGAAAACAGTAATCAGTAGTTAATTTTACACATGCTGAAAATACACATTACAGAAAAAAGAACGATAAAAAAATGCATTTCAGTGTGAAGAGAGACGCAATAAACTAGTAATGTTTATCGAGCAGCGTCACCTATGAGGGAGTATAACATTAAATTATACTAAAAGAAAAATCGAACATTCAAATGTTAAGAAGAGCCGGAAATAAAACACATACAGGCGACCCGATTTCCGAGTCTCGTTCATAACAATGAAAGCAAACGACTCCAGACACAACAGACGAAGTAACCATGGCAACCGCCTATTATTAGATAACAAATAGAAGGCAAACTTGCTCGTCTGCTAGGGTAGAGGACATTGTTTTTTGAGCAGTATTAAGAAGACATTACCAAAAAATAACATTAGATTCAGGATCCGCTAAGGGTTTTAAATCTACACTCGTGGTACTCTACAGTAACATGGTGACTGGGTGCTGAAGGCAAAACATCTTCACTTGTGTGCAACAAAAGCTTTGTAACTCGGCTCATTTTGAATCCTCACGCCGCCTTCTTCCTCGCTACTCCTACATTCGACTTTTAAACTTGGTTTCAAAATCACACGTTCATCAATGTGTAAGGACCTTCCTTCGTGGGAAAACAGATAAGAAGTTTGTTTTTCTTGCAATTCGCACGGTGCATGTGATTCCTCCCTCTCATTGTCAAAGTGTTGATCAGTTTCCTTCGACACATCATTGGTAAGTTGTTGTTCATCGTCACGAATATCTAGACGTTGAATCATGCTTCATTTAAAATTCTATTTCAGAAAATTATACTGTATTTTGGCTTGGCGATGGGAGTCTGTGTCACAATTATCTACTATCCAAATAAGATCTACTTATATACGTAAAAAGTGACATATTTCATTTTGGCCTAGCCGATTTAAAACACTTTGGGTGATTTGCAGAGCGTGGAGTTTGGGTACCACCCGGTTTATTGGGCCAACACTAATTCTGATATGTTTCGTTTGACTATATGTATTCTGGAATGGGTCAGGGTATGTTAGAAGGTGGGTTAATACCCCCAACCTAATCCGAGTTGAATATTGGGATAGCGCTGGAGTTTAAACTCTTCACACCTGACCTATTGTTAACCTGGTTTCATCTCACGCAATGACCGACCCACTGGGTACTTCCACGGCTTGTATATTGAGATTGTTATCAAAAATGCCAATGGATACTATTACCAAAATTATTATCAACTTGATCAAGTTCTACATAAGCTACAGTTGTCAAAACTCAGTACATGCTTGGTGTGAACATGAAAAGTGTTTTTTAGTATAACTCGTTGGTTCAAGAGACAGGTAGTAAGTTTTGTATGCCATTGTTACATACGCCACAACGCCGAAGATTAAAAAATTCTTTCATCGATTCATCGGTTTTACTCCTGCCAAAACCGACACAAGTTTTTGAAATGGTGCATGACCAAATAAAATGATTTCATTATCAAACCGATACATTCTACCAACCTTAAGGAATGTACAACACTTCTATTTTTATACAGTGGTGGCTCAGATCAAGAGGTTTTGGGTTTGAAGACCATTATTATTAATATTTGTTGAGACATATTATGCAGATTTTCACTTCATGTGAGATGCTGTGCTTGGATTGAACAATATAAGGCGCTCGGAAGTATTCGTACCATAATGACGCACAATCTGAACAACCCTAACCTGGTACACATACTATGTTCAGGTTGTGCGCCATCTTGTTACGAATACTTCGGGAGCACCCAATATAATGTACTCGTGGTTGGAAATTCTCCGAAACTATTGGACCAATAGGTTTTTTCCAAATTACAGACAGATCAACATTTTTACGACGCAGCCGTTACCCACTGGTCTACTGTGATCTGTCCGGTACCGATGTAAATTTCTCTGGCGATGGGACTTTATTTGCAATTTAGATCCGAAGCTTTCAATTGGTCGGATAACGCATTTTAGTGTAATTCGCATATTCTACCTGTACTGCGATAAGTCATTGGTTTTTTTTTTTTGAAATTGATCCTATTATGACGCTTATTATGAAAAAGTAGCAAATTAGTGAGACCAAATCAAACCTGTGTTTTCCGTAAAATGATCAGTCGAAGATGATTCATCGTCTGAATAATTGATTGACGTGGAGCTCTCAATTTCTTCAAGCCACTGAAATATAATTTCATATGTTGTATAAGCAAATTTAATCCTGAATATATTTATCAAAAAATTCAAATAAACACAAACAGAAACCTAAAATCATCTGGCTCTTAAATAGATTAACATAAACTATAAACAGATATGATATACATCTTCGCCATTAATCATAATTTTGATCTGATTTATTAGTTTCTAATGCTACTTTCAACAAATATTGCAGAGTGTTTCGCCGATTAAAGTATTTCTTTATACATACGCAACTACTGTATCAGAAGAGAAGTTTTTGGCATAGAATTATTATTTTTAAGTCATTTTTAGCCTACCGGATTTTATTTAATAATTTTGGCATATAAAAAATGTGAATTTTTTATATGCCATTATTCACTGGAATGTATAGCTACTGTCACTGCACAGTTGCAAGCCTTTTTTCGGTTCGTACCAGACAACACAACTCTGTACTAGAACCGAAACCCAAAGTAGGTTTAAATATAAAGTAAACACAACTATTTATGATTTTGATTTCATAATGATGATTTTTTTTATCTAAAACTTAATCTCAAATACCATTAAAAATACAAGACTTGATCTCAAACCCTGTGACAGTGTCAAAAAATGAATATTGATGGAAATATGCTCGATCTGATGAGTACTAAACAGAAGAACAATTTTCACACTCGATAATCCAATTGAAAATAAGTTATGTGAAAGCATTTAAAGCAGTTGTTTAGATGGACAACAAAATTTCAATAATATTGTAAATTCCAATTGTGCTTTATGGTAATTAGCAGACTAGTAAACTTGTTATTCACGTTTAACGTACATGCTGATTTCTTGGAAATCACAAAATGTGTTTACTGAAGTTTCGATATATGTTTGTACACATGTTCCACTGACCAATGTCATCTTTAAAGTATGACTTGCATCGCGCATTGTATTCAGGTAACATCTGCACTTTATATATAAACTTCTACGTCCATAGAAAGACTCTATACGACGCAAGAATGTTTTGTATTGTTGACTTGTCCGGAGTTTTTAGGAAATATGTATTGTACCAATTGTAACTTTCACGCAACTATCAATTTTTGCCGCTTTTTTGACCTAATTCCACCTATTTTCATTTCGTCCCGCTCTCAGAGAATGTAACACAGCTATATAAATTACGCCTAACATGCTCAATCATTCGTTAATTGCTTCATCATTGCTAATCATCGAGAATTTTTGTGTAAATTTTGAACTACCCCTTCCTCGGTATCCTCTTCTAAGCATGAAGATTCTGTGTCTTCCCGAAGATAAATATTCTCATTTGATCGTTTTTCTTTGTCTATGCAAATTGATTCTCCACACTGGAAAGAATTAGCATCTGTTATTGATCTATGAAGTATATCAACCACTGAATCATCTTCTTCCGATGATTGATCTGTTGTTGATGAAGAAATGTTGCTGGATTCGTCTGCAAAACAATGCTACGAAATTATTGGAGAAATTTGAAAAGTTATGTATGCAACAAGATGGGGTGTACTAGGGTATTGTGTATCGAACTGCAGGTCCTTTCTCCTTGTTTACTTTCTATTCCGGATCCGTATGTGGCTGTTGCCACAAGGATGCGTGACTGAGATAGTATTATGAAGATAAATAAAAACTACATAATCTCTTAAGAGATTATGTTATTTTTATTTATGCATCAAATATTAATCCTTTTAGGTTATTATGTATTTCTACATTCAAAAAAACGGCGATTTTTCACTGTTGGTTGGTACAGAGTGCCCTTTCGTAGTAAATTAGGTCCACCCGATTTTTTTTAGTCAAGCTTACAAATAAATATATATACATGTATATCATCACCTTCTTAACACAAATAGCATATGTCGCGTTTACCAACATGTCATATCGGCGACATCGCTCGCTGGAACTACAATTCTAGTCCAGTGTGATCAGTCCTGCGGACCACAATCATGAATCGCTTTTAGTTCTCAATATAATGCTTTATCGAAACACAAAACGTACAATTAAAATGAACATACCCGAACTATCGTGATCTATTTCGTCCTGTCGTTTGAATGTTTCTCGTCTTATAAGTTTCAATGGAATTTTTGCACTCGTGTGGTAGATTGATGCGAAGACTGCCAGAAGAAAAGCCTGTTAATAGTTACAAATTCACAGTCTTTTGTTCACAAAGCATACCATTGTTCTCAAAGGTGAAGTATTATTTATTGAAAAAAATCAACATGAATGTGATAAAATGGCAGCAAGGGTAGGATTATTCTGAACAGTCACGCATCAGTGATTCTTATTGGAGAGGTCAAAATCGCACTGAAATTGGCCAAACCCAGAAGCACTAGCTTAGTGCATTTTCCTTATTTTAGGGTTATCCTAGACAAAATAGCAGACCCCGCTTCTATCAACTCAAGTTTGGGTCGCCATCAGGATACCCATTCTTACATGCAACATACATACTCTTTACTTACATTTATACAGTCTTCAGCCAAACGATCAAAATTAGGTATATTGTGTCATTATTCTTTTATTATTATTCTTACATATTTAAAACTTTTATAGGATATTTAAGTCAGAAAGCTCTGCTTGATACAGCGGTTCTCAAAGTACGCCGCGGCGATTTGACAATTGCTAATAGAATTTTTTATATTATATTTATTATAAATGTTTATTGTTTCTTATTTTAAATGCTGTGTATATTTAACAATAAAATCTTTTTACCTTTTTTTGTCGTTTACTTTTTGTTACGTATGGACTGCATCTATGGTTACGTATCTGTTACGTATAACAACAGAGCTAGACACTACTTGATGCAATTTCGTGAGCTGCAGTTTTTTAAATGTTGAACCGAGTTTAGCGAACATGAGTGATTTTTAGCATTTCAAAGGGAAATCAGACGGAATAAAAGTTAACATTGTCTTGAGTTTTCTCCTGATAATTTGGCACCGCACGAACAAAAAGTTTAGGAACCGCTGGTTCAATAGATAAAAAATAGTTGGATTACAAGTTCTGAGAACTATTTTTTTACCATAATAAATCCTATCTCCAATGTAATCAAACAGAATCAGCGAACGACGACGACGTAAACACCCATAACTTACCGTCGTTAATGCGACGATTACTGGCATTACAGGAACCATCTTTGCATAAAGCTTGCAGAATTTTCTCAGTAAATAAACTAATAATAACCTTCAACAATAAATTAATAAGTTTTACGACAACATCTAGAGATCTATCTCATGCATACGTACGCCGTTTCGCGTACCAAGTGAATGACTGGTATTGAGTTGCTACCGGCATTTTGCTTTTGGGCAAACGCGAAAGGCGCAAATTGTTACAACGCCTTTGGTGCAAAATTTACCAGATGCATGAATGTTGTATCGTATACATTAACTGCTATGTTACGTGTAAATTTATTTTAAAGGTGTGAATGTTTCATAACAAATGTTTCTTGTCCGCCGTCCATTTCAAATAATTCTATCTTTGACAGCAACACGGAAAATGCTGAAAGTTTCCTAAGATTGATGCTTAACATTTTTGAATCTGACTACACAATTTTGTAAGTAGGCTAACCCGTTTATTTTCACAACAGTTGAATGCTGTAAAATCATGTTGGCACTTGCCTGATCACATTAGGAGCTGGCCCTTCAAGATGAGCATAACGCGCGAAGATAAGGCGCGAAGTTTTCGTCCTGCCTTCATTCAATTGAGTGTCTCATAATTTACCCTTTTTTCCCGTTTATTAAATTGGTTTTTATGAATTTTATATAGTGTATTTATTGATATATATTTCATGAAAAACAAAGACAATTCGGGATCACAGATATTCTGAATATAACAAATACCGATGAGAGAAATCGCACGTAAGTCACTAGGTAAACTACGCCATTCAATCGGGAGTTCATTCACGTATTATGTCCCTTCTTCTAAAGACAGCATGTAACATGTGACGTATTCAAAAGTACACGATAACAACGGATAGCCTATCGTCCGAGAAAAAATTAAGTTCATCAATATACACAGATAGCGTTTGACGTAGCTGGAAGTACACGACAACAACGGATATCGCTTGAGAAAAAATGAGGTTCATACTTATACACAGTCACTTCATGCGCGAACCGTTATAATAGAAGTCATGAGCTTTTTGAAGTTCGTATCAATGCTTCTCAGGTTGGAGATGTTGACAATATTAAGGTAAGGAGGGCTATGTACAGCGAAAATCTAGTTCAAAAAGCAATGTTAGACGGGTAGTTCGATGTGGTAAAATCGTAAATGCCTTCAAATAACATATACAACATTACATTGTTAGTTGATAGCCAAACCTTATAGCTAGCGCGGTGTTAGACATAATAGAAACGGCAATTAGTCCAGCATTCCTATTGCTTAAAATCATTTTCGAAGAGATTGGAACCTACGAACACGCGCAGGGTCATCAATGGTGTGATGGCAATTGTTCTCCAAATGCTCTGCGTGGCGAACCAACTGCAAAGAACCGGTCGTTTTCAATATATTGATATTTTTAGCGTGGTTTTATGGTATTTTAGACATCTAGTATTTTTTGAGTATGTTGAGGCTTGCTATTATCAGTAAATACTCGTTTTCACACCAACTTTTAGTCTTGACTATTATATTAGGGTATAGCTAGCCTTCCCAAATAGAGCAAATATTTAAAACATTATAGCTCAGAGAAATCAAATTCAGTCTTATTTTCAATTTTTATTTATTTTTTAATTCTCATGCATATTCAAGAGGAGAAGGAATTTAATTTGGCGGCCTAATGATATCACGAATCACGGTCATCCATAGGCTTGGTTATGGGATGGATTTATAATAAAACTCGTTATAGTTCCATATACTTGAACTGACACATACCGACCAGCGATAACATAAAACTGCCTGTAGAGCGAGCGAAATTCTCACTGCACATAATTTGGTATCTACGAGGGGGACATATAAAAACGAATAAAGTGTACACTGAATGAATGGTGGTCGCCAGAACAGATTAATATTTTACCTTAAAGTGAAAGTTCTAAAAAAGTTCTTCCGCCATTCTGAACTAAATGGTTGAAATAAAGATAAAAATCAACATTAGTGAGCACAGTTACGAGTTCTTGTGGAGTCTAAGTGACGGCGGCCAATTCAACTGAATCTTGGGCTGAATTTAAATAGTGGCTAAAGATATTGATTATTCTATTTATACACATCATCAAAATCTGTTACATTTTATCTGTTATAGCAAGGTAGAGAAACGATGATTACACACAAATTACACACGGCGTTTGTGTTGATTATACTAAGTTGTATGAAGCTTGGGAAAACTACCGGTGGAGTACCTTCTAAAGCTAATATTGAATGTTTAATGCCCGAGGAAATACCCGAAAGTTTGAGCATGTTTTATAATCAGACCAGTTGGAACGCACTGCGACAACGTCAACGGCACCAAGTCGAAAGAAGGGGTGGTTGCCCGCAACGCAAGGTAAGTGTTTGTATTTCAGAGAGCGAGGTTAAACAACACAACGTAATGCTAAAAAGTTTTGTTCACTCGGGGGTTAAGAATCGTATTTTTAAACTGACTTGAGCTGCAAAAATTTGAACTGTGTCGTCTATGGAGACGGCATTTTACAATTCACAAAGTTCCGGAATCGGAATTTCAATCATATTGGGTCCGAATGATACTAAATTTGAGGTGGTTTCCTTGTTATGGTAGGAAACCATGTCCAAAGTACTCAAATATACTCGGCTAGGCTCTAGATTTTAGTTTGGAGCGAATGACTGACACACAAGAAAATGCACGATTCCAAGCATTAAGACTTTAAAAACGTTTATATAGTTTCGTTTGTTCAAATATTTCGATGACTTTCTAACAGAGAAAACAACGCTTACAATAGCCACAAAAACAAATTCGAAATAACACTTCTATAATCCTTAATCGCCGGATTTTAAGTGGATTTTCGTGATTCAAACTCACATTCGCAACGTTTTTGAAAGTCCATCTGGCTTCGTTCTTAGAACAATGGCGTGTGTGGAAAAGGTTAAGAACCACTGAATTCTGTGAATATCTGAGTCACATTGTGCCACTTATTATTTCCAGTGAAACCGCCAATGTCACAAAAACGCGTAAAATGGTTGTTTCTACCTATATAAATTCTCTGAGGAACACCGCATTCGTCACACATTACAAGATTATATTGGTAATGATGGTTTGTTATCAACATTCAGTGGTTGGTATTATATAGAAAATAAACGATGCCTCACATTTATGAATAACCTCATCGCAAAATGGCGGTGTGTAGTGATATTTTTCATAAATTTCTCTTAACATTGTTTTTCGAATCCGCACTCTAGAAATTTGAGCAACAAAGTAGTGTACCTACAGCTCATATTGTATACAGGCGCTATCTTCAGTGAACTTAATAAATAACTTCAATAAAAAAATCCAGATGGGCTCAATATTATAGAAACGATTATATCAATCCTATACGTAACAAACAACCATTGTTTTATGAAAAATACAAAAAATGTAATCCGCGGATCGGCAATCCACGTTTTGAATAAAATTGATTTACAAAACAGGAAAAAAATTAGCTAAGGCTTTAATAATTTCCATTATAAGTTCCATTATACAAACTATAACATGTCAAAAAATTTAGTGTTTAATCTATAATTAAATCGGATTACAACAATACATACACAGAATTTTATATACAACATCAAACTATACACAAACATGTATATACAAAACGCCTGTTTAAATCAAAAATTTTATGATGTCAATCACAGCGTAAGATAAGAAGATCTGTCCAATACAGAATCAAATCTACTCTTCGAAATTTTTTAAACTGTAACAACTATATTTACGTTTATAGTAATTTAAGAGAAATACGTTTCGCTCTAGAAAATGCTAGTTGATTTTCCTCAAATGTATTTCTAGAAATAATCTCTTCTACAATAGGCTTAAAAAGACTTGTTTATATTGATAATATATGATTCATGAAGTTTCGTTGGCTTAATTAAAAATTAATCCAATAAACAATTTCATTTTCCGAATTTAGATATAAATCATTGTAATACTTCGTTTGACTATTTATTTATAATATTGCTGATTGTTTTAATATATATAAGCAGTACTTTCAGATGTGAGAATTAAAAAAAATATTTTTGGTTATTTTTAATATTAATTAATAGATTATATTGCAATTGTGCCTTTAATGTGTAAATATTATTTGGTTTTTTGATTCTCCATATAAAAGTGCGCTCAGAATGGGGAAGGAAATTGTACTAAACACGTAGATTCCCCTTGAAAAAAATTCAAATGACGTATTCAGAATTTGTTTAAAGATCCATTGACGGACTTACAACTCGTTTCAAGAATACCTGATTTACCGATCGTTGCATCTGGCTGAACTAGATTTCTCCGATAAAATCAGATCTACGCATTTGCAAAAGAATTAGTCCGGCTCGCTACATTGTTAACTTTACTTCACAAATACTAACATTTCGATAATACTTTATATACTTTCAGAAAGAAATGTCATGCCAGATTTTATCAAGAGAAATTGTAGCGCTGACTGGTTATTGCAGATATGTTGACCAAACGGCAATGTGTGCTGTATTCGATAAAAGGTAAGTTGAAAAGAAGACAATAAAAAGCAGGGAGCAATGCACAAATTGACCTGGAGGTCAACTAAACACAGTAGCGATATACACAGAAACCCGTTATCTGATCATTCAAATTTTAAATAAATCTCATATATATCAAAAGTATAAATCAATTTTGCCATCGTAGCAATTCACGTCGGTACCGATAAGGACTTGGCTAAGCACCGGGTTTGTCGAGAGCCGGTGGACTAGGATTATTGAATGACACGTGGTGGCGCAGTTTCTGGAAATTGGCAAAATTCTGGGTGGGATATTAAGCCCTTTAGCCAAAAGTTGAAATCGATTGGTTACGGAGAAAAACACTACAAAATTTCCCTAACCCCAACAACGAGACTAACAACAATAGTTTTAGCAAATATGATCCATTTGGCAATTTCGTGTCCAATTAATGTAACGTGCTTAAGCAGAGAACTCCTGAGGGGTTGCACTTCCTATGTATACTAGGCGTCCTTCTATCATTTCCAATGCTCTCGTAGCGATGTTGCCCACAGTGAATATTGTATAACTTGCTCCATTCTGTGTGAATACACAATGTATACTATGCACTTTTAGATAAAGTAAATTTGAGATAACACGCCTAGGTTATGAAATGGTAAGTTTAGCTTCCACAATATCTTGCTCTAATTATTAGGCAATTTGTTTGTTTGTGTAATACGCATAATGGGATCAAAAACTTATATTCCAGTGAAAATGATACAAATCTTTCATTCTGAATTTATACAATGCTGAATATCATCGTCAATTTCCGTTAAACCTAGGTACCACGAATCCACGACAATGTGGCCACGACATCGAGAATGTGGGCATACAATATTTAGTTCAAGGTTAAAGCTACATCGATATGAAGACGTAACTTACCTGGATAGAATAGCAGCAAGAAAGAAGGCGAAGATGGGTGAGTACCGTGACCTTTGATTTTTGTACATCCCCACGTTGAGCGTCTTCCCATATTCTACCGAAATCCATACTTCATGTTATTCTTTTTACTATACACCTCCTTCGTTTTCTGATATTTTGTTTTAGCGCTAAACGATGCTGAAGTCTGGTATTGTCAAAGATCATGCCGCTATGGCCGCAGGTAGCCAGCCTACAGGGCATATATTAGTACAATGCTCTCACATTCTATATTAATGAATGGTATTTTCATTTTATAATTTTTTATGGGGAACTTTGATAACTTAAAATACGGCCCCAAACGGGCAGCCACTCGATTAAGTTGATTTTTGAGAATTTGGTATCTTGGTTTCAGGAGCCATGCCTGCAAACGTTGATTCCCGTGGAAATCAATTGACATTAGCAAGATGTACCGTCAGACAACAAGTTAGAAAAGAAAGAAAAGGGAATTGCGAAATCGTGCATGGGTCGGTGTATGGTTGCAGAGCGGGATCAAAATTACAGATTTGGCATCCTGTTTGTTCTTACTTAGCTGAGAACGGAGCTTGATAAAACCATGGTTGCTCTGTGAAATGAGAAAGTGACTTAAACTGTTATGACAAAGAATCAACTTAAAATAAATTCTCCACAATATATAGCAGAAAATTATATGAATGCGTACAGGTGTTTTCAAATGTTATTTTTTAGTGTGTGGATAAGATCGAAGGAGCAATGGCGTTTTTTTATTTTATAGCGATTTGATTTCTTGATTTTTAAAGAGTAAAGGTTGAGTTCGTGTGACATCTCAGCAGTCCACTCTACCATTTTGCTGCCTGCCAATCATCTTGGTTGATTTTTTAATTCGGGTAGTTTGCAATCAACATATTGGAAAGTTTTTACTTTTACTATTAGCAATGAACTCTGTACGTTTCTAAATTTTCAAAGTTTGTATCCTTACTGCAGCTTCTTAAAACAGCAACTATGTAATATATTTCACTTCATGAACGCTGACTGCTGTCGATGGAAAAGGGGGATAGTGATGATTATGATTCCTGATCGTTATTAAATAGTGTCATTTGAAGAACCGTTCACTTCAGTTCATATCTCAAGTTTACATGCAAGGTTGACCCTAGCTATTGTATATTTTTGATGATGCAAAATGACATTACGACCTAACATGAAAGTTTAAAAATTTTTAAACGATCAATTTCCAAAATTAATGCTTTTCCAGTGAAAGAAATTTAGAAAGAATGCCGTTGTAGATGTTAAGACATAATTCAGACGAGCTTTAATAAATGTTCAATTTAAAAAAAAATGGAATGAAGACGACTAACTTAGAGAGAGGCAGGGTTAGAACGAACCGTCAGAAATGTCCCTGTTGTAGAGTGTAGACCTGAAATGGGAAAACTACGGCCCGCAGCCCAAATCTGGCCCGTTAAGTAATTCATGCTGGCCCGCGTGATGCTGCCACAACCAGACTAAAACAAAATTTTGATGTTCCAGCTAAAAATAGCCGAATGAATTTGTTAAGATTGCGTTTAAATTTAGTTTTAGAACGAGGTTTATTGTTTTCCACTTTTGCTTTTGTAACACTGTGAATATTTTTACGTCACACATACATGGCCCGCCAGTCTAGGTGGGGAAAAATTTCGGCCTTTGGTCCAAAAATCGCCCACACCTGGACCGTGGACTAAGAACGCCTTCGTGCGGAAACAAAGCAAAAATTTCGGAGTGAAAACAACGGTTTGAAGACAATGTCAGACAAAGCTTTGTGTTCAGTGTCAACCTATTTATTGCTTTTACTCAGGACGAAGCCTAAATCAAATTAAAAATAGAAAAAAAGTGGTCGCGATCAATTAGCCAAAATGTAGGCTTTTTGTGGGTAACGAAATACGCATTTTCATACTCAGCCTTCTCAAGAATATAATGCACTAGAATTTTTATAATTAATCCACTACGTCAGGGGTGTGAAACCTTTTTCGCGGGCGGGCCAAATATCAATCCCTGAGTGAAACCGCAGGCCGCACCGTCATTTAACATCGGCTTTCTATTAGTTGCAGGCACAAAATAGCTCATTTTAGAAATAAATATATAAAACTAACTTGAGCTGCAAAAATTTGAACTGTGTCGTCTATGGAGACGGCATTTTACAATTCACGAAGTTCCGGAATTAGAATTCCAATCATATTGGGTCCGAATGATACTAAATTTGAGGTGATTTCCTTGTTTTAGTAGGAAACCATGTCCAAAGTACTCAAATGTATTCGGGTGGGCTCTAGATTTTAGTTTGAAGATTTTATTCGAATGACTGACACAACAAAATGCACGATTCCAAGCATTAAGACTTTAAAGACGTTTATATAGTTTCGTTTGTTCAAATATTTCGATGACTTTCTAACAGAGAAAACAACGCTTACAATAGCCATAGCCACAAAAACGAATTCGAAATAACACTTTTATAATCCTTAATCACCGGATTTTAAGTGGCTTTTCGTGACTCAAACTCACATTCGCAACGTTTTTGAAAGTACACCTGGCTTCGTTCTTAGAACAATGACGTGTGTGGAAAAGGTTAAGAACCACTGAATTCTGTGAATATCTTAGTCACATTGTGCCACTTATTATTTCCAGTGAAACCGCCAAAGTCACAAAAACGCGTGAAATGGTTGTTTCTACCTATATAAATTCTCTTAGGAACACCGCATTCGTCACACATTACAAGATTATATTGGTAATGATGGTTTGTTATCAACATTCAGTGGTTGGTATTATATAGAAAATAAACGGTGCCTCACATTTATGAATAACCTCATCGCAAAATGGCGGTGTGTAGTGATATTTTTCATAAATTTCTCCAAACATTGTTTTTCGAATCCGCACTCTAAAAATTTGAGCAACAAAACACATTCAGTTTGGCATGTATTATATATTTTATACTGCTGCGGTGTGGTCCTACAAATAAAGTAGTGTACCTACAGCTCATATTGTATACAGGCGCTATCTTCAGTGAACTTAATAAATAACTTTGATAAAAAAAATCCAAATGGGCTCAATATTATAGAAACGATTATATCAATCCTACGTAACAAACAACCATTATTTTATGAAAAATACAAAAAATGTAATCCGCGGATCGGCATCCACGTTTTGAATAAAATTGATTTACAAAACAGGAAAAAAATTAGCTAAGGCTTTAATAATTTCCATTATAAGTTCCATTATACAAACTATAACATGTAAAAAAATATAGTGTTTAATCTATAATTAAATCGGATTACAACATTACATACACAGAATTTTATATACAACATCAAACTATACACAAACATGTATATACAAAACGCCTGTTTAAATCAAAAATTTTATGGTGTCAATCACAGCGTGAGATAAGAAGATCTGTTCAATACAGGATCAAATCTACTCTTCGAATTTTTTTAAACTTCAACAACTATATTTACGTTCATAGTAATTTAAGAGTAATACGTTTCGCTCTAGAAAATGCTAGTTGATTTTCCTCAAATGTATTCCTAGAAAAGATCTCTCCTACAATAAGCTTAAAATGACTTGTTTATATGATAAAATACTTGTTTGTTTATGATTCATGAAGTTTCGTTAGCTTAAATAAAAGTTAAGCCAATAAACAATTCCATTTTCCTAATTTAGATATAAATCATTGTAATACTTTGTTGGACACGTATTTGTCACATTGCTTATTGTTTTAATATATATAAGCAGTACTTTCAGATGTGAAAATTAAAAAAAATATTTTTGGTCATTTTTAATATTAATTAATAGATTATATTGCAATTGTGCCTTTAATGTGTAAATATTATTTGGTTTTTCGATTCTCCATATAAAAGTGCGCTCAGAATGGGGAAGGAAATTGTACTAAACACGTAGATTCCCCTTGAAAAAAATTCAAATGACGTATTCAGAATTTGTTTAAAGATCCATTGACGGACTTACAACTCGTTTCAAGAATACCTGATTTACCGATCGTTGCATCTGGCTGAACTAGATTTCTCCGATAAAATCAGATCTACGCATTTGCAAAAGAATTAGTCCGGCTCGCTACATTGTTAACTTTACTTCACAAATACTAACATTTCGATAATACTTTATATACTTTCAGAAAGAAATGTCATGCCAGATTTTATCAAGAGAAATTGTAGCGCTGACTGGTTATTGCAGATATGTTGACCAAACGGCAATGTGTGCTGTATTCGATAAAAGGTAAGTTGAAAAGAAGGCAATAAAAAGCAGGGAGCAATGCACAAATTGACCTGGAGGTCAACTAAACACAGTAGCGATATACACAGAAACCCGTTAACTGATCATTCAAATTTTAAATAAATCTCATATATATCAAAAGTATAAATCAATTTTGCCATCGTACCGGTGGACTAGGATTATTGAATGATACGTGGTGGCGCAGTTTCTGGAAATTGGCAAAATTCTGGGTGGGATATTGAGCCCTTTAGCCAAAAGTTGAAATCGATTGGTTACGGAGAAAAACACCACAAGATTTCCCTAACCCCAACAACGAGACTAACAACAATAGTTTTAGCAAATATGATCCATTTGGCAATTTCGTGTCCAATTAATGTAACGTGCTTAAGCAGAGAACTCCTGAGGGGTTGCACTTCCTATGTATACTAGGCGTCCTTCTATCATTTCCAATGCTTTCGTAGCGATGTTGCCCACAGTGAATATTGTATAACTTGCTCCATTCTGTGTGAATACACAATGTATACTATGCACTTTTAGATAAAGTAAATTTGAGATAACACGCCTAGGTTATGAAATGGTAAGTTTAGCTTCCACAATATCTTGCTCTAATTATTAGGCAATTTGTTTGTTTGTGTAATACGCATAATGGGATCAAAAACTTCTATTCCAGTGAAAATGATACAAATCTTTCATTCTGAATTTATACAATGCTGAATATCATCGGCAATTTCCGTTAAACCTAGGTACCACGAATCCACGACAATGTGGCCACGACATCGAGAATGTGGGCATACAATATTTAGTTCAAGGTTAAAGCTACATCGATATGAAGACGTAACTTACCTGGATAGAATAGCAGCAAGAAAGAAGGCGAAGATGGGTGAGTACCGTGACCTTTGATTTTTGTACATCCCCACGTTGAGCGTCTTCCCATATTCTACCGAAATCCATACTTCATGTTATTCTTTTTACTATACACCTCCTTCGTTTTCTGATATTTTGTTTTAGCGCTAAACGATGCTGAAGTCTGGTATTGTCAAAGATCATGCCGCTATGGCCGCAGGTAGCCAGCCTACAGGGCATATATTAGTACAATGCTCTCACATTCTATATTAATGAATGGTGAACTTTGATAACTTAAAATACGGCCCCAAACGGGCAGCCACTCGATTAAGTTGATTTTAGAGAATTTGGTATCTTGGTTTCAGGAGCCATGCCTGCAAACGTTGATTCCCGTGGAAATCAATTGACATTAGCAAGATGTACCGTCAGACAACAAGTTAGAAAAGAAAGAAAAGGGAATTGCGAAATCGTGCATGGGTCGGTGTATGGTTGCAGAGCGGGATCAAAATTACAGATTTGGCATCCTGTTTGTTCTTACTTAGCTGAGAACGGAGCTTGATAAAACCATGGTTGCTCTGTGAAATGAGAAAGTGACTTAAACTGTTATGACAAAGAATCAACTTAAAATAAATTCTCCACAATATATAGCAGAAAATTATATGAATGCGTACAGGTGTTTTCAAATGTTATTTTTTAGTGTGTGGATAAGATCGAAGGAGCAATGGCGTTTTTTTTTATTTTATAGCGATTTGATTTCTTGATTTTTAAAGAGTAAAGGTTGAGTTCGTGTGACATCTCAGCAGTCCACTCTACCATTTTGCTGCCTGCCAATCATCTTGGTTGATTTTTTAATTCGGGTAGTTTGCAATCAATATATTGGAAAGTTTTTACGTTTACTATTAGCAATGAACTCTGTAAGTTTGTAAATTTTCAAAGTTTGTATCATTACTGCAGCTTCTTAAAACAGCAACTATGTAATATATTTCACTTCATGAACACTGAATGCTGTCGATGGAAAAGGGGGATAGTGATGATTATGATTCCTGATCGTCATTAAATAGTATCATTTGAATAACCGTTCACTTCAGTTCATATCTCAAGTTTACATGCAAGGTTGACCCTAGCTATTGTATATTTTTGATGATGCAAAATGACATTACGACCTAACATAAAAGTTTAAAAAATTTTAAACGATTAATTACCAAAATTAATGCTTTTCCAGTGAAAGAAATTTAGAAAGAATCTACTACGGCAGATGTTAAGACATAATTCAGATGAACTTTAATGAATGTTCAATTTAAAAAAAATGGAATGAAGACAACTAACTTAGAGAGAGGCAGAGTTAGAACGAACCGTCAGAAATGTCCCTGTTGTAGAGTGTAGACCTGACATGGGCAAACTACGGCCCGCGGGCCAAATCTGGCCCGTTGAGTAATTCATGCTGGCCCGCGTGATGCTGCCACAGCCAGACTAAAACAAATTTTGATGTTCCAGCTAAAATAGCCAAATTAATTTGTTACGATTGCGTTTAAATTTAGTTTTAGAACGACGAGGTTTATTGTTTTCCACTTTTGCTTTTGTAACACTGTGAATATTTTTACGTCACACTTACATGGCCCGCCAGTCTAGGTGGGGAGAAATTTCGGCCTTTGGTCCAAAAATCGCCCACACCTGAACTGTGGATTAAGAACGCCTTCGTGCGGAAACAAAGCAAAAATTTCGGAGTGAAAATAACGGTTTGAAGACAATGTCAGACAAAGCTCTGCGTTCAGTGTCAACTTATTATCGCTGTCACTCTGGATGAAACCTAAATCAAATTAAAATTAGAAAAAAAGTGGTCGCGATCAATTAGCCAAAATGTAGGCTTTTTGTGGGTAACGAAATACGCATTTTCATACTCGGCCTTCTCAAGAATATAATGCATTAGAATTTTTATAATTAATCCACTACGTCAGGGGTGTGAAACCTTTTTCGCGGGCGGGCCAAATATCAATCCCTGAGTGAAACCGCGGACCGCACCGTCATTTAACATAGGCTTTCTATTAGTTGCAGGCACAAAATAGCTCATTTTAGAAATAAATATGTTACCGGAAAGTGCCATATTTGAGGCCATGACTCTTTTAACATGTGGAAAGTTATCTTGGTGTTTTCGGTAAGATTCATTTCCAAATAATTTTCTGTCAAATCTTATTCCAGATTAGATTTAGACCAAATCAATTGATAGGCGGGAACCAAAACTCATTTAGCTTTTGTATCCATATAATATTAAATTTTGTTAAACTGCTTTCCAGTTGCCTAATCTTCAATTGCCCGTTCTGACAAATTCATTAGCGTATTCTCCGTATTTTTCTTGAATTGTTTACTGCTCAGCAAGGGACAGCTTTGTGAATCGCGTTGTTCGCCTCGCTGCCAGGACGCTGTAAGTCGTAGGCATAGATATTTTAATTGAACTCGGATATAAGATTTGCAACGCAAAGGGAACCAGATTCAACTAAATTTCAAAACTAGTTTAGATGGCCGCGCACCATTCAAAATTGGCACTTCTCCGCTTGCCGCACAATTTTCCCTTACACCCCTGCATTGCGTAATAGAATGTACATATATTACAATAGCAGAAAATGATAATAATATATTGTTGATATTGACTTTTTATAAAATATTGTTTACAGTAACGGCGACATTTAATCATAAGTAACAATATACAGTAATATTCAACATAAGATGGCGACAATTATGGGTGGGTGCAATTCGCAAAATTTCATCCAATCTAAAATATATGCGTAATCAAATTTTCATATACTATTAAAATGTCAAGTTCGCCAAGGCAGGTATCAAGTCACAATAAACATCGATTCCCTCCAGAAATATTTTTTCGTTAAGATATTCATCTCTTTCGTACATCACCATGGTTGTGTTTCGCATTGGACTAAAACCGATCACTTGATATCCGGCTTCTCGTAGAAAACGCCCATCAGAGAATGCACAGAAAATTTCTTGTAAAACCTCCACGTTTCTTTGTCGAAGGGTAGTTACAAACGTCTTCCACCACAGGCTATCGGTAGGGGTTGTTTTTTGGTTTGTATTCTTGTTCAAAAATTCATATGTTACGTCATCTCCCGCCTCGTGGCACCATGTTTTAATTTTTTCTTCAAATTTATGTAAATTGACTGTTGGCGGGATTCGAATATCAAAAGCAGCCGTGAATTCGTCGGGTACAGCGTTTGAATGAACTCCACCATGAATGCCAGTCACATTTATAGTAGTAAAGTCACCCAAACGTTGACAATGATTACCTTTGAACCGTTTTTGCTCCTTGTTGCGGTAATCCGTGAAAGATTTAATGACTTTTTGCACCTTATCGCAAGCTGTGTCATCAATAAACATGGCTGCATGCCCGGCATTACCACGACATTTAACATGAACCCACCACGGACTTCTTTCTCCGTAGAAAACATAATATTTATTATCGGGGCAGGCTAATCCTTCGTCTATTACTACACCGACATTCATTGCTTTAAATTCTGGAGTGTGCACGAACAATGCCATACCAAGAGTCCCATTGTTTATTTGTTCGTCCGGTACAAATGACAAGTGCACAGTCCGCTCGAAGCTGGTATTGCGTAATATTTTTAACACGCGAACAGCTTCTAAGTATTGGATACTGACGCTTTTCATGTCTTGAATTCCCATTCCGTATATGTTGCCCTTTTCATCTTTATAAGCGGACCATGGATCACGGGCCCAGTTTTGCAAAACTGCAGATCCAACATCGACGTGGGAATTCAATAGAACTGATGGTAGGTCGGGATTTCGTCCAAATAGTGTCATTACAACCACTTTTCGGTTCTCCATTATTTGAACATGCTTTACCTCCAGCTGTAATTCCTTCCCATACAGGTCCAGAAAATTTATTATACTATCGTAGTCTGGGTCTGGATGATCCGTTTTAATTCTAAGGTATTTTCGGAGGTTCTCTACAGCCAACTCAGTATTGAATCCAACATCCCGAGCAGTAGACGAGGTACCGTTGGTCAATTGTTTACAGTGTGTGCCATTCATTGCTTGACTATTATAGTTGATATTCATTTACTTTGGAAGAAGTTCGAAAGATTATTCTTCTGGCTATATCATATATATATATTAATTATAGCGTGACTTTCTTCAAGGAGAGAAGATATCTTAGTAACATGATATACGAGTCAAAGCGAAAAATTTAGGCTGTTAACGCAACATTGCTTTACCCCTTCTAATAATAATCGGTACAGTATTGAAGTCCTTGTCACAACACTCCCCACTCTCCGTACTATTTCTGACTATAATCTTTCTGAAATATCAGTGAAATCAATAGCAATCACACAAGTTACTCCAACAAACAATTGAGGTAAATCGACTCCACAGATTTAGTCAATTATCATGGCCATTGCCGACTAACGTTACATATATTGGTGTTAGTCTACTCTGGCATAATGAAATACAGCATATTTACGGTACTATCCGCAACAGTAGACCGAGTTCATTTTAATTCGCAAACTACTTATATTAGAAGCATGATATCAGTTAATTAATAACGTTTTATGAGTTGTCACGTCTGTTTTATGAAAACTGATAAGAATGGTTTGAATAAACTGTTCGATTATAAACTGATGAGATTATGTATGATTAATTCGCACCAAATATCATTTAGTTTTAGGCTACTGCCATAATAAATGCTGACTAGTAGGCTATAACACCTAGTCTAAGCCAGCAGTGCCAAGCCTGGTTGAGCTAAGGATAATAAAATATCATTTTAATCTCGAAAGAGTGGAGAGCCGATAAAACGGCCTAATCGTGGGTCGTATCAAGGCATTTCATCTCGTCCGGTTATCATTCGGATCACCCTGCGACGAGAGAGAGGTCCAGCAATCCTATTGTACCTAATTATTCTCTACGAACCCATGCGATGACAAGTTTATTCCGAACGCTTAGCACGATAATTCACAAAACAGCTTAGACAGTCCCCGAACTCGTAATAGGACTAAAATGAGGAAAATCGGAATAAAACTATGGCCTAACGCGGTACACACAACACACTACGGGAGTCCCCTTACGGGAACCTGTGAGATGCCGACGTGTGTATGTTGGCAGTTTACAATTCGATTTTTAAACTAATCAATTGACTCAGCGGTGTGGCGGCGCATCGTGCTAAGTTTCTCAACCAGTGTTGGATAATTACGTGTGAAAGGACTGCTGGACCCATCGCCGCTGTAACTTACTCCTCTAGCGTTTGAAACACAAGCACCAAAATGGTGTGTGAAATCTGGCCCTTAAACCTACATATCATTCTAATGTGCATTCCCTTGACGATCGACATCAGAAAATTTCTTTCTATACTAGACCATCCGATCCCAATATTGGGGTTTTCGCGAGTTGGCGCTCACCGATTGTCTTACCTATTATTTAACTATCACTTTGATTCAAAATATGTAACAAACCGCTATTACCGGTGGCTAATATTAGGCTAGCCCAGTCTATCAGGCAACTTCACAAAAAGGACCATCAATTGAGATTTTTGATGTATATAAAAAAGAAGTTGTGGCTCGAGAAAACCTCTTGACTGAGTTGACGGAGTAACGCCTAAATTACCAATTCCACTGATATCCCATTGTTCACGCGCGATTTCTCCATTCACAGAACCTACTAGGGTTATGCATAGCACGGCGCTATAACTATTAAACTGTCAGGTAAAAATAACGTGCTCTGTCCCCAGGTCATCTATCATCAAACTAACGTCATTGCTATTTTTGGTTGCGTGCAGCCTGCGTTATGCCCGCGGGTATCTCGGCGTTTTGTGGTCTTTTTCCAACTAATGCCCACAAGCCATTGATCATTTTGCTAATTCTTTTCCATGCCTCTGTCTAGCAAAAATTATTTTACGTTTCTACTGCACATATTACAGCAATCCCAATGCTCAGGCCGATAAGACTAAAGGTTATTTGCGGGGAATGACATTCATTATTAGCTTATATTGATAAATGTGGCTTAGTTCATATAAAAAGAAACAAAAAGAAATTTTGGACTTCCAGAAGTATGCGCACCAAGATGGCGCATAACCTGAACATAGTATGTGTGTACCGGTTAGGATTCAGGTTGTGTGACATCTTGGTGCGCATACTTCTAGAGCACCGAAATTTTTTAGCATCATCAAAAGGAGATTTCATCGACATGGTATGACAGTTAAAATACAGAAGTAGCATGTGGCGAATCCAAAAAAATGCATTGATGAAAGACATAACTGCGCCCCTTCCCCTAGATTTCCAGTTCATATTATAATAAAACTGTAAAAGAAATTATTCAAGTCACCGCTATTCGAAAAGTTGGCAGAGTAAAAAGAAGAGTTAAATTATATAACACTACGGTGAACAACTGTGACATACATATAATATAGAGTTACTGGAATATGGATAAGGCCGGGCCTGTTACAGAAAAAAACAAAATATTAAGCGAATAGACATATATACATAAAAGGAAAGGCAGTATTTGTAGTGTAGCACGGAGCGTCTAATCTTGGGAAATGGCGACAGATGCCAGGAATTTTCAAGGGGGGAGGGGGTTACTGTAACAGCTAGCGGGTCCGCGTTCAAGAGTTGTGAGGAAAAAAAGGGGGGCAACCCCTGGGTACATTATAGATTTATATGAAAAAAATAACGTTATTTATTTGTAAAAACCAGAAAACTAATTTAGATATATTGATCCAAATTTTATTCAAGAAGCCCGAAGTAAAAAGCATGTCATAAAAGGACTAAACAGAAAAAACGCAGAATTAACAGGCCCTTTCGTACTCAAGACATTTAAAATGGGTTTTTTGTGTGGTAGTTAATTACATTTCCCCAAATACATCGCCGCTGGTATTACACGAACAAACATGGTAACATGCAAACATTTAAAAAGAAAAAAAAACATAAGATGTAAGCTTACAACTAGGATTTCATATTAAGTTGTAATGAATCAAGCATGATCAGACATAGATTTAAAGAAATGTAACCAAAATAAAAAAAATGCCAGTCATAATTCTTTCAAACATCCTAGAAAATCCAAATTAGTACTGCCAACCATGAAGCATCAAGAAAATACCTCGAGCTGCCGAGATAAAACTTCACACAAAAGTTTAAAAAAAAATGTTAAAAAATAAATTGCAACTGAAAAATTATTAATTTTGAGTAGGTCAGATAGACTTAAAATTTCAAGATGACGTAGCACCTTAAACCTCGGTAAGCACATGATTAAGCTAAGTATATGATAACATCCAATAAAAAAGAGTGCAATACATATAAAAGCGTACCGAAGAAGCGTTTCGCGATGTTGTCTCTCGATTTGCAAGATCGTAAATACAACAGATCAACATCCAACAGAGAATCAATCATCCACAGGTACCGTTGAAAAAGCAAAGACTTTGGCCAAATTAACCTTTCAGCTGGATTTGCTAAGGACCATGCATAATCGAGTATAAGTCATTTCATTTTTTATAGTTTTATCATTGAATGCTCACAATTGTGAAGATGGTTTCCCACCTTTATAAGTAGGATTCTGGAACGTGGATGTTGCACTCTGGAAAATGGGATTTCCGCCCTGAGAAATAAATAATGGTGTTTTATTCTATAATGATTCATTTTTGATGAGATAAGATTTACATATTCATCCCAGGGAGAGGAAAGCCGATAAAACGATTAGATCATATGACGAACCACAGCCTCTCGTCCGGTTACGAGTCCATGTCGGGTATGGGATTAGTTCGTGAGCAAGGACTTGTTTCAGATGCATGAACTTGATGGTGGAGGATTCCGTAACCGAACAGCAGTTACGTGAAGCACCCTACAACAGCGAGGAGTCCAGCATTCCTCTCGCACACAATTAACACCACATGAGATTCAAACCTGCAACCCACGCAGGGTAATCAGAGGTGCGGTGGCGAGCTTATTAATATCACTTAGCATGATGCGCCACACCGCCGAGCCATGTAAACACAAACTTGAAAATAATATGAAATGTTCTTATTACACTACAGTTAATGACTATGACATTTATCACAATGTTTGTGAGCGTCACCTATGACACGGTGTTAATTGCTCAACATGAATCACTCGCATGACAAGTTTGGTAATTTTTTGACATTGTATTTCTGTCTGAAAACAAATTTTAAATATCATATTTTTACTTTTATAAATATTGGTTCAAAGGGGGCTGGGATAAGAAAAGTCATAAACCGCAATACTGAGGTGGAAATGCCAAAAAATGTGACGACTATATATAAATCAAGATATCAAATGACTTGAGAATTAGATTAATTAAAGAAGTAATGCAAACTCCAGAAGTTACTATTTTTCTATCCAATTTTTATCAAAGAAAAAATGAATGTGAAGTAGAGGTTTGATCATGGTTTTATCAATATTGGTGTTGAAGTCTTATTTACAAATTTCAAATGATTTGAAGGAAATTGAGAATCTCTCTCTGTTTTTGCATAGTTTTTGACAGTGTGGAACACATTAGACAAGTGGGACGCATGTGACGAGTGGGACAAATAGGCAACAAGGGACCAGTGCATTGCGCAATAAATGACATACCGATTCCCATTTAGCTCCTTGAACTTCCTTTTGCCATTGTTTATATTCCCTTGCATCCTTGATAGAAGTCAGTAGTTTCCATATCAGAAGAATAGCGAGTCCAATACCAACAATGGCTGCTATTATACCAATGATAATGTACATAGGGTTGGCATAGACAGGACAGACTGAATATAAAATAAATGAACATTTTAAATCATTTATCAGCTGAACTATATTGGTCGTTGAATTGATCAAATGCAGTTTTTTACATTAGTCAAATTTAAATAGATGTTGTTTAAATATGGATATTTGGGCTTGAAAGAGTAGTAAAAAATTGCTATTTTAAAAATAAGTTACTGATAAATAAGGAAAATTCCGAAATATTGCCTCTTAAGTGAAGTTTGTCCATCCAGACCAAAATTTTTATACCGGTATGTGTCAAATTTATGCAGAGTGTACCGAGAATATATGTTACGTTTTTGTCGCAAATTAAGTAAATTCTAGAATACCGATCTTGAACTAAATAACTTCAAGAACACGATTAATACTACAATTAGGATGCCCTAGCATAAAAATTTCTTATCAATTTATTTACAGTTAAAAACTTTTCGTAAAATATAAAATTTCATTTTCCCAACCATTACTTTTTTTTTGAAAACCAAAAATAAATAGGTTTTTTAGAATTTTAAAAAATAAAATTTAAAAACGATTAAATAAAACTGTTATTAAACCAACATACGAAAATAAGAGAAGGAATAAATTTCATGACAGCTTAATGCACGTTTGAAATTATAATTTATAATAGAAAATAAAATAAGAATAATGGTACAAAAACTAGAATGAATAAAATTATAAAACAAAAAAGTCTACTTGCTAAAATTATAAAATAATTTTCTAAATAAAAAAATGAAATAAGAAACGATATGAAAAATAAATCAGTCATTACATATCAAATGATTTCTTTTGAATCTGTAAAAATATATATTGTAGTTATTTCATTCATTTTCTCTATAATTCATTTTCATAGACAGTTATACAAAAACTGGATACAAATGGAAGCCGCAATAGGGATTTTGACTTTTGAATCCATAAAATCATTTCGAAAATTTAAACCAGGGAAGTTTATAAGGTACCAATCACTAACATGCCAATATAGCTGAGAACAGTTTAAAACAACATTACAGGAGCTTTGAAACAATTGTGTATTTTTTATACTAATCTTACTAATGTGATGAATCTAAGATAGTACGAACATATCATTTATGCATATGCCCTTCATTGAAGTCATCTACAATGCTCTTTCTAAATCAGTGGTTCTCAAACGGTGGGGTGAACCCCACAAGTGAAGCGTAGACTTTTTTGAGGGTGCGTGAAGCTTATTAACAATAAAAATATTTGTTAGATTTGATCTTGCCCGCTTATTTTTGATATTAACATTTAAGAACCTTTTTATTTATTTTATTATTATTTAGGTTCCATCCATGTATTTTTAACGAGCTTTTGAATAAAACAACATACTTTCATCCTGTTAATTGTAGCTTATTGTTAGCTAGTTATTTTTTAGGTGGGGTGCGAGACTTGATAAATTGTAAATGGGGGCGCAGCTTAAAAAGTTTATGAACCACTGGTCTAAATTAATACTTTTCAATCCAATAGAAAAAAATTTAATATTGATTTAAAAGTTTGGATATATTTTGAGACACAAACCTTGTGTATCCGGGTCGGTATCAATTTGAATTATATCTCCATCTTTGTTGTACCAAAACCAGAAAGTACAATCATTGTATTCATCCACTTCTTGACAACTGCCTCTATGCATACTCGATCCACCATTGAGCTGTAAAACAAAATATCTTCGCTGAACAAAAAATACAAACTAAGTGTGTGTCGTAAGCGAGCCTGGTTCCTTTCCTAGTTAAATGTTGGGCAAAACTATGTTCAAATCCCGTGCCCCCTCACCCAGGTACAATAAATTGGATTAGCTATGCTGAACTGGGAAGATTAGGGTCTGTCCACAAATACCAGCTCTATATATCATTAGCTATCAATAGATGCTTTTACAGGGCCTTGTTCGAAAAGAAAGGTGGTAGAGGTGCTGCAGTGAAACTTTCCTTCGAGAAATTGATACATTTTAAAAAAAATAGTTCATGATACAATAGTCATGATTACGAATATAAAAACGAAGAAAAAGATATTCAGACTAAATTTTAAGAATCTAGTTGACCTAAAAGGGGAATTTGTGGGATAAATGTGCCCACTGTTTATCCTTTTATAAATTAACGTTTTAGTTTTAACTAAAATTCGTTAAATCCATTACTCCAGCCATGGTGTAATAAAATGCCAATGCTGGATTTATACCCTTCCAGAAATGCGGAAGCTAACAATATGAATGCCTCTAAGTAGGCTTCTTCAGAGCAAAAATTGCAAGTAAACTGCCAGCTGTTTTCACACTAAGACGCCGTGTTATCAGTAACGAGGCTCTATGCAAACCTCTATTATCATATAAAAAACTAATATTTTTGTAAACCCCAATAATCTATACTTACATAAGTAATATTGTATTGTTTACAATGGTCGCAAAGTGTTGCGTTCTTTTCAAATTCTTTTCTGTTTCCATAAGCCAAACATTGCACACATTCCCTATGTAGAGTACAAAGCTGCTGCGGAGAAATCTCACAAAACTGCCCACGATACTGAAAAATAAAAATTAATTCAGAGTTATTTTATTTATAATTAAAGCGAACTCGTTGAAATTTTAGATATTAGGGGGAATTTTTATATTAAAAAAACAAGCAATGCAATATAAAAGATGTTCTCCTTTACTTGAAATAAACTCGCAAAATTTTTTTTCATTCAAATATTGGGTCCCTACGATTTGAAAACAATGTTAATAACAGTCTATTTGCAACTTCTTCCATTTTTGACATCTGGAGACAATAAGTTAAGTTCTCACATAAAATATTTTATGTTTTTGTGAATTTTTGACAATTTGCCTTTTCTCTCGAATTTTCTTTGCAGATATTTTTCCAAAAGAACCCATTCTAATATCTCACTGATGCTAAATCGACAAATACAGTATAGATTTGGTGCTAATATAAACAGTATCTTACTAGCTTCACATTGAGTGAGCACGCAATTTAGGTGCAAATAGGTTTGCTTTATTGATACCGATTATAATAATACCCCGAAACTCAAACTCACCTCGAAACCAGATTTTGTTACATTGCAAGTACATTTTCCGCATTCACATTTCCCAGCACCGTGACAATACCCACTATCTGGTGAATTTTGATCAATACAACCACTTTTATCAGCTGTGCATTCACATGCCTTGCCACTCCAACCCTCATCACAGACACAAGCCCGACAATCGCATGTGCCATGACCTAGAAAAAGAAAACAAACATTTTTATTTGAAATTATAGATATAAACTATATATACTTGATGTAGAAATGTCCAGAAAGAGTTCAGATTTTAAGTTAGTTATATATGGCGAATTTCACATAAAAATAACACATCATTTTGAGCAACTAAAGCTGTATTGGTTAAGATAAGATGAATAAATAAAGATTCCAAGCACTCTTAAAATGGGAAATCAGTAAACAAAATAAGCTCTACACACTTTTACAATAGTTCTTTACGTTGATACGATTGATTTTCCTTTTTTTTTCAATATGATTTCAATATAATTTTTTTCATGACTTAAAAATATTATGACTATTTCCAATTTCAGGTAAACTTCAGTCCAAGATAATAAAAAAATTTTTATGCTTGAACTGTATATGTATATCCTTACCGTTGCAAACTTTTCCATCAATTCTATCACATGAAGTATTATCGCACTGACAGTATTGGCCATCAATCTTTCTTTCAGGAGATTGCCTGATGAAAAAAAAAAATGAAGATAACAAACAGTGGAAAAATTCAACAAACCAGATAAAATACCTTTTGAATTCAGGTTTCCAATTTACTGGACAAATAAATTCCCTTACCTAATTCTAATCAATTCAAATCCAAATTTTCAATCAAAATGTAACAAATACGGAATTCTAATCCAGAAGACATTTCATAGCAAAAATGTTTGATAAATTAAGTTCTCATCAAAAGTTTCAAGACAAGTACAGTTACTATTCTGTGCCCATCACATCACAAAAAATGAAATAAGTTCGTTATTACTTATTGTTAAGAAAAAATATTTGTCTTTCAAATCTAATATCCTCACATGTCACAAACGTAACTTGTCTATAGCCTTGTTCTGAGTGAAACTCTTAGTACACATATAATATGAGTCGTCAGCAATCTTTCCAGTTGTATTTTAACTTTTAAAAAACAGATGATAGAGTTGTCAAAAAAAAAAATTTTCAAGCCTAGTTAGACCCAATACTTTCACTAGATGAAGTATATAAAATGTAGAATTGCAATATGTGGCAAACTCTATGTTGTACTATATATATCAGTGGTTCCCAACCATTTATGGCCCGTGTGCCCCTTCCTGATGCTTTTAGCACTCATGACCCCCTCCCCTGTTTATATTTCCAGTGGTATTTATTTTGATTGGTTAGATTTCAGATCGAATCATGTTCAAACAATTCATGCTCAACAAAGTGAAAACACCCTGTGAAATAACCTTATTTAGCTAATGAAACTAGAAAGAATGAGGTTTATTGTCAGGAGAAAGGTAATATCAGTTTTACGTCTAGCAATTAGCATTATGGTCCCCTTGAGGAGCCACTGGGCCCTGGTTGGGTACCGCTTGTATATACTGGAAGTGTTTTATATTGGAAAAATGAGGTCACCATTGTTACATACTTGCAAATACATTGTCCACAAATGCATTCTCCTCTTCCACTGCAAACGACTTTTGAATCAGGTTGTGTACAATTATCCAGATAAGATTCTGTGCTGGTTAAATCTTTCTTGTCACATGAACAATCCAAACCCAAGTAATCAGGCTTGCAAACACAGGCACCACATTCATATGCACCATTACCTGGAATTTAATTGAGATTTCTGTTGCCATTCTCTATTCAAAATTAGGAAAAGTTTAGTTTAATAACTGGGATTCCAAATTAGTTCGACTGGTATTTAAAAGCAAGAGAGCAATGCTCAAAATACATGGCAGTCAAATGGCCACTGCAATGAGCGAGAATTTCCAGCAAAACATGAATAAAGAAACAGTAAAACAAAATTAATAGTCTTCTTCCATATTCAAGTATTACAAATTTGAAATTGAAGGCAATTTTTTTTTATAATCTCAATAATAACGATTTAGCAAAAATGACTAATATGTCCACCGCAATGCCTGCAAAATTCGAGCAAAACGTTAAAAATCATGAAAAAAAAACAGTAAAAAACAAAAGTAATATTGTTCCTACATATCTGAGTACTAAAAATTTGAAAATTGAAGGCAATTTTTTTTTACAATCCCAACGATAGTGATTTAGCAAAATAATTCATATATTCACTTCGTGCCCAAAAATGTTTCCAGGAATTTGGATATTTAAATCGACTGCTCTTCAGTAAGGTTGTCATTTCCATTCATATTAAAAAAATTACTTGTATATCACAATTCATTCCATATATTTCAATATAATTTATCATTTGATTTACACATTTCATCATACCAAAACAAAGTATTTAATAGATCACCAGACATGTTCGAAAAACAACTATGAACAAAAAATAATTTTCAAAAACTGCTAAATTTCAATTTTATTTGAAGGACAAAATCTTTTCCTATGTATTACTTTGATGGTGAAAGCGATAAAATAAAAAATTTTCATGTTGCAGCTTGTTCAAAGCCTTATTTACAAGAAACTAAAACTTACCAGAACAGTTATTCAATGGTGTAAAATCTTCGGAGCATTGACATTCACATAATGTACTGATGTCAACCTCAACCTCTTCATTGTAACCAAATATATTGATTTTCATTTTCTTTGTGCCGGTAAAACATTCATTTGTTTTGATGCTCATTGTGAAATTGACCTGTTAATAACAGTTATTTTATTAACTTTTTTAATGACAGTGTGAGTCAGAGTCTGGTGTTGGTATGTTTTTAATGATAATGAATAATGGATAATCAAAACTTGAATTCTTCAGTGTCAGAATTTTAAACTTGCCATGGTGATACTGATAATCAAAGTCCACTTCTTTGACAGGAACTAAGTAAGCAATATGTACCCCAGTTTCATAATCAAGTCACCTAATTTTTGTTAAGATGAACATTGCGAAATCTTGTGCAACCCAAGAATACTTGACTCATTCAAATACTAAACTGCAACTTATTGCAGCAGAATCAAATCACAAATATGAAACAATCATTTAACACATAATCTTGACTGAAAATAAAATGCTTTTGTTATATAAATTTGGTTTACTTTATAAGCTGGAGTTTTGAGTCGAAAATTCAGAGTGGGAGTCGTTCTTTAAAAGGCTCATTATATAGATAGATATCACATGTCTATCAATATGGAAGTAACTTTTTTTTTCGCTTACTTTACATCAAGTTGTGTAGGGGGACGGAAGCCTATGGGCGGGGGGTATATTTACTTGGCTAACACAGACAGTCCCGAACTCTTAATAGAACAAAAATAAAGAAAATCGGAATAAAATTATGGCCTAACCCTAACCTGGTTCACATACTATGGGAGTACCCATTTATGACCCTTCATACAATCCATCATTCAAAATAGCGTATTACGAATTATGTTAAAATTTACAAACGCAAGTTTCGGAATTAGATAAAGAAACTTTATTAAGGAAGTGTTTTGAGCAAATATCCAACCAGTAAACTTCATACATAATTCATTTTGTTTACAAAGATGATTATCCAGTCAAGTTTGTGAGAAATAAAGAGAATAAATGAAAAATAGGAATAATCAAATTGAAACGGAGGTAATTGTTGATTTGAATAATAAAATAGACATTCCTAAATATTTTGTTTTGTAAAACTCAGAATTGGTGTTTTTTGGTTGAAATTTTAATATTTTCCACAAAAATTGCTTAAATTTAATTTAATATTCAAAGTATTTAATCCTAAAACAAAGAATTTGTGGATATGATGGTCAAGAACTGGGTCTTTTGAACTGGTTCCACCCCTAAGAGGCCTATTAGTCTAAAACAGATTGACCTCAATTTGTTCAAATTTTCGACTGTAATGCAGCTATTCTTCTTCTTTCGTTTGTTGGTTTTCAATTCCAATATTGGTTTCAAACCACAAGCCTACCAAATCACCCAGTGTGTATTAATCGGCTGGGCAATGCAAAATCAGGAAGATTCCAGCCCTGAAGATATTAGCTGGCTACTTATACAGAGCCTTGTTCAGAGTGGTAACAGATTCAGATTATCAACATAGTATTTTCATATAATATTAATAGAGATGATCTATATTTAATAGGTTTAATCAACATACTGTAAATCCTGTACTCCAGTCGTATGTGTACCAGGTTAGGGTTAGGCCATAATTCTGTTCCAATTTTCCTTATTTTAGTTCTCTTACGAGTTCTGGAACTGTCTGTGTTACTTGTTAGCCAAGTGAATACCCCCTGCCCATAGGTTTCAGTCCCTTTAAACAACTTGATGTAAAGTGGGCAAACTAAATTAGTTACCTCCATATTGGTACACACACTCCTGGAGCGCCGTGAATCATATGAAAATCATTAATGCCATATAAAAAACAACATATTGAAACTCACAACATCCCCAATCTTCACACCATCACATTCCAATCCTTCCCTGGTGCCAGTTAAACAATGACTTTTCTTGTCCATGACTTCAACTCCTTCTGGTAATTCAACACCCAAAACAACCTTAGAAAAGTGTGAAAGAAATTTCCTCAATTATTGATATGCTCAAAGTATTTAAGCGAAATACAAAAGTAATGCCACTAAATAATAAAGACATGGATGGAATCGCAATATTTAAACAATGAAGAAATGTAAATATCCAAAATGAAGCAGGAAAGATCAAATCTAACAAATATTTTTATCTTTAATCCACTGCACGACCCCTCAAAAAATTGTCTACGAATGCCCCCCCTTGTGGGGCGCACCCCACTGTTTGAAAACCACCTAGTCGAGAGACTATAGAATGATTTTTTAAACTGCTATTTAAGCGATTTAATGTCTTTGCTTTACAATTTCACAAATTTTATTCTGTAATGTTTCACCTGATAACAATCAGACATCTCAGACAAAATGTAACAAAATGAAAATCATGAAAGTGTGATGCAATACCTTTGAAACACTCAATATAATATATACTTCATTAAAATAATTGATTGTGATATCAAATTTACAAATTTAGATAAGTATGCCTGTGTAAAATTGGTTCTTACCGTATCTTTAAGAGCATTATAGGCATCTTGTATCAAGTCAATAATATTAGATGAATCAGCTGTCAGTTCGCCGACTGCAGATTTCGGAATTAAATCTTGAAGTTTCTTAAAACAGAATATTAAAATTTAGGTAGTTGATAGGAAGAGTTTATAAAGTGCAAGGAAATACATATATAGAAATAGATCAATGTTAGAGCGTGAAAATGTTGGTATTTGTACTCGTACGAGAAATGTCATGTTTATGGATAACGGACCAATTAATAAATTGAAACTTTTTCATTTATGATTTGTTCTCTTAGTCTTGTTTGGTGTAAAGTTAAAAGCTTTTTGACATAATTTAACAGCAGTATACTCATTGGTTTCCTCTAGCTAGGATTCACACCATGGTGTTAACATGTACATGCTAATAACTTAAACAAATAAAGACATATTTTGATAGGTTTTGCTGAAATTAGGTTTTCACAGTCAGTCGTATAAAAATTTTCAATTGAAACCAGTGACATTTATTTGTTTCATGTACAAATAGTATTTGTTTGTTTCATTATTATTTACAGGTATCAATATTTTTGCATTTAAGCAAAAAAAATTATACAGCACTCAAATTGTATATTTAATAAAACATTCCTAAATTACCTTGTATGTAGTAATAACTTCCTTTGTGACGGCAAAAATTGGTTGAATATTAAAATCATTTATTTTCTGTACCAAGTGTCCAACTGAGGGATAATCCTGAAAATAATCATATCAATTACCGCAGTGAACAAAACTCCAAGTTTCAGGAGGCATGCTACTACTGACATGTTCGAGTTTGGCATGTCATTATTGATATCCGAGTCGAAAATTGGGGCAAGAGTAAAATTTTCAATTTTCTAGGATGGAATTCGAAACTTTTTTAATTTTTAATCATGATAATCGGAGTAAAAATTCATAAGAATACGTATAAAAGGCATTATCAATAAAAAATTTAAGATGGCATTTGTATACCAAGGCTTATGTCATCAAAATTTGGTTTTATTGGGGAAGGGAGTTAGAATCGGAGTCAAAAGTTTTTTCAGTTGGGAGTCGGATTTGTTTTTAATAGGTTGAGAGTTCAGAGTCAGATGGGTGCTCCCGAAGTATGCGAACCAAGGTTAACAGGTTAGGCGATAATTTTTTTCCAATTTCCCTTATTTTAGTCCTATTATCAGTTCGAAGACTAGCCAAGAGCCTCCCGTAGTATTTATACCTAAAATTATGGCCTAACCCTAACATAATACACATATTACATTCCGATGTCCGCCATCTTGGTTCGCATACTCCGGGAGCCCCGTCAGATGTAAATTAACTCCAGACCCCAACGTCTTTTGACCATAACATTTAACACAGAGGTTACTACGATCTGGAGAGGTAACCAAAACAGTCACACAAATTATGCATTAATCTCTAACAATATTTCCAAGAATTCCGCTATTCCACAAAACAATATCATATAAAACTGGTTTAATATAATTTTAAAGATTTTCCAAATTCCCCAAATAATCTATAACTTACCATTTCGTTAGCTTTGTAATATTGGCCTCTGCCATCGAGATAACAATGCCCATCATTTGGAGCGACAATGCCACCAAGTTTTCCATCCCCAGCATAATGGAATCCAGCATCAGTGACGTAAACGAGCAGATGGGTTGCCTCTTTCCTCCATTTGATAAAATCCTGTAATATAAATATTTGATACAAAAAACATGATAATTGGATCAAATAAATTTGAATAGTAGTTCAGTTCTAATCAGTCCGAAACGAATCTAATATTCAAATACATTTGAAATTCATTATATTCGGTATGGTAAATTTTAGAATTCGGGAATGATTTAAAATATAAGAATTCAGAATATCTTTGTTTGTATATTAGGGATTTTAAGTAGGTCAGATTAAAACGCATGATATCTTAACTGCTAGAGTTCAATCAACACAGAAAAAACAACGACTTTTAATTTGTTGTTTGAGATATGATCAACACACTTCTTGAATATATTTTCAATGGTATAATACAGCGTTTCCCAACCTTTTTTGGTCGCGGACTAATTTCTCACCGGCGAAAACCTTCGCGGACTCAAGGTGCGTTTATTGCAACCGTACTCTGTATCTCACGAAGGCGAGGTTGAATCTGCTCCAAATTGCATGTGCATTCATCATATTTCGGACCAAAAGCCTATTGATTTTGGATGAATTATGTCGTATAATTAGCGAGTTATTAATTAATTAGTGATGGGACACGCGGTGTCACTATAGAGTCATGAATCGAAACCGCAGTTTCGATCGATATTCTCATATTTAGTTTTGATACATATTCTTAGAGATCTTGCAAATTTGTTATCGTCGTTAGAAAAATCCTACTATCTGCTATAAATTTCCAGAAAGTACGACTTGATTTAGTACTTATAAAAAATAAATTTAAAGTATATTTGTAAATCAAAAATACCACCTTGCTTTATTATTAATTTAATGATGATCATTTTAATCTGCGGTTGTGTTGACGAAATAAAAGCAATACTAATCAAAAAAAAATATCATGACAATCCGTGGACACAAAAAAGCGTGGTAATGTGCCCGATTATATTTTGTTTTGATTCGTATTTTTGTGAATTCAACAAATCTGAGCTGTTCGTACAATACTTACGGCGCTCCAGTACTGTACGTACCAATGTGGAGGTCTAAGGGAAAATGCCCTGGTACATATACTACAGTATCCACCGAAATTTTGCGATTTGCAATGTCTAAAGAAGCGTTTTTAATCGGTCGCGTACAATCATAAAACAAAAGTTATGGTGTTCTTCATTTTATTTTCAGTTTTTTGTATTGCCGCTTTTTAATTTAGAAAATTTGGGTTGCCACCCTTGACGCCTACTAAAAAAATTATTTCTCGTTGTTCGAACTCGCGAGAAACACCACGCGTGTGCTCGGGTTTTTGTCGGAAATTCGCAAGTGAGTTGTGAAATCCAATCGTTTTGACCTGTCGCGTCACCTGTTACCAAATTTTTGAATAGTGAATTGCTATTTCTAATAGTTGAATATTCGAATATATGCCCAGTCAATCAGTCATACTCAGTAACTAGTACTAAATGACTTGATTAATGTTATGTGAATAAACTTGCTTTTTATGTTTTATGTGAATTTTAACGTAAATCGTAACTTGGCTGATAGTTAACTTTTGCAAAAACGTTTGCGGCTCGCAGTGAATTTCTGGTTGCGGACTCATTCAAACGTTTCGCGGACTCATTTGAGACCGCGGACTCGGGTTGGGAAACACTGGTATAATACCATGTAAATTTCCAATGTTTAACACGACACCAAGCCAAATTAGAAAACTGTATGATATCTGCCAACAGGAAATCAACCACAGTCAATTACAAAATAACATATGACTTCATGGCGATCTATAAATCAATTATAAACCACAAGAGTAACAACTCAGATGATGTATCAATTCCCAAAAGGGCATTTTTGAATTCTTTTCGAGTTCATTCACTATAATTTCCATCAATATATCTAGTAAAATGCAAGACACTCTGGGTAAGGCAGTGGGCACAGAATTTGATTCATTTTGCACGTCTGTGAATAAAAGCATTTCAAATAATATTATTAAAGAGCAAATTATGAATAGTCCCTTGATATATAAAACAGAGACACTTAAAAATTTAATTCACACAAATTCGAGATTGAAACACATTCGTTTCGTATATATATGTATCACACAATTATCAAAACTAAATTCTCCTTACACCCTGAATTCCAATACAATATTAAATCATCTCACCTCACAAACAATAGCTTGCATCATAGCGTCAAAGCCTCCTTCTGGAGAATCCAGATTAGAGGAATGATTGACAGATTTGACAGATCTCACGAATTCATCAATATCCTTAGTGAGTGGTAATTCATTGCTGAACGTGTATGTAGGTTGGCAAGGTTTATTATCAGTACATGGATTAAGACGTCTGTGAAGAAAAATATTTCATCAATTTTTTATCTAATACAAGCCGGTAGGCGCCCAGGATGTCCACTGATACATGATGCAGTTGGCAGTACACTAAACTATTATCATCCACGCAATATTGCACCTAAAATGACAGCGTACTGCAGTGACCAGAATATCAAAACTGCCTGTTCATTTCGAGCGCTGCGCATCCCTTTGGTATCCTTGTGTGAGTGGTATACTGCGGCTTATATTTGATCATGTTCACTAACTTTCATAAGGCTCCTTGAGTTTCAGGATTACCAAGATGGAAATTGGCTTGTGTATTTACTTCAGCATGAAGATAACGATTTCAGAATTTCAGTTTTCGAGGTAATTTACAAAATAATGGGACCAAATTGTGAAAAAACTATAAATTTCTCAGCGATCGCGTTTTGTTGCTGATGCCATGGAAACGAAACACCAATTCGGACTTTAGGTAAAACGCACATTACTAGGGTGACAGTATACCCCCACCCCACATGAAAAATTTCACTAGATCGGCCAAGCAGTTTGGCCGCTACAGCTAAACAAACAGACAGACAGAACGACTGAGAATAAAAGGTCTGCTGGAGCGGAGAACCAATAATTAGTTAGTTCTAAAGAACGATTACTATAATTCTTTTTGTGAAATATGTTTCACTCCTAACAGAGCTCTGGACTACAATTAAGTAATAAACAGTAACAAAACTGCTTGTCTGTGGAATTTTGACTTTGGTCAGACAAAATGTTACAGGATAATATTAATGAAAGTATTTGCGGCACTAGAGAGAAATAATACAGTTCATTAATCAACAACAGTATAATAAATTGACTGTTTATTCTTCGACTCCTTTTTTACAGAAAGTAACTCTAGACAACTCTAACCACATATTACAAAAAGGAAACCGTTACACCAGCAGTAATAATAATATGCTTTAGCACTTAGCCAAGCCAGGTGCCATAGTTTTTTTTTTCTGGTATGAATTTCATGTCCTAATAAAACAATGAATTTCAGCCTTATTTTGATTTTTGAAGTACCGGGAACATTTTATTCTGTCTTTTGAGTAATGTATTAAAGTTGCATATCAACCAGAGCTGTGGGGTATGGCTCGTTTCCATTAATTTTGTAAACGAAGCCGGTGCGGCCATTTCATACTTCGCTATATTTAGAGACAGGAGTAGGAAAATCGGACTTTTAAGATGATAAATGAAATTATTCACGCATATATGAAAGTTTTCGTTGTCAAAATTTGATTTTCTTCAGTTTGAAAATATCTGATCACACTAAAAATTTCGCTTATACTAAAAATAACTCTGATCGTACTCAAACGAAATGTCATTATGCTAACTTGATTCCAACAGAGACAACTCGTATGGCGTGTTACGATTTGTAGGGCTGTATATTGTACAATATGTAATACCGGATAATCAAAATGAAATTCCGACAAATATTTGAGAAAATTAGTCTATTTATGCAAAAAGATACATTCTAAGTGAAATTTATTAAAAAAAATCACCTTTTTGGCACCATGGAAATATAAGGCATTACTGTCTTATCGACAAACGATCCAAAACCGAGTCTGAAATCCCTTGTAATAGAAGACATTCTATCTCCCAATTCTTTTCCAAGTTCTCTGAGTGAATCTAAATCATCTTTCATGGAGTTTGATAAATCGAGAAGATAATACAAATCCACTGGATAATCTTCAGCTTGTTTGTAAGATATTTGGATTTGAGCAGGAGATCCTGATGAAAAAATTGCATTTTTGGTGAAAAATTTCGAACAGTTAAGGGTTTTTCTTCCAGAAGGTCCCAGAATATAAAACACAATTTATATACCTTTGCTTTCACAAATAGTGCCTGCTAGTCCGTTAATGATATCTAAACTTCAGTTCGGAATTCAGTTTGAATGTACAAAATGTCAGGAGAATTGAAAATCATCTAATGTTTATATTAGTGGTGCCTTGTATTACATTTTCATAAAGTTATTCTGTAACATTTCATCTTATCAAAGTCAGACTTTCGAAGACGAGCAGTTTACGACAAAGCAATGTAACAAAATATTGAATGAGACTGCCTGAGGTGGAAATATATGAAGACATAAATAAAAATATTTGGCCATAAAAATTCTGTAGTAAACTATTGAGATAAGTTTGTATGGGATATAAAATGACCATACAAATAACTTTCATAAATACACTGAGTATAATAATATATTGGAGCTTTGCAGGCAACATTTAATAAATAATATAGTGGTAACTGTGAATTTTATGGTCATAATGATACAAAAATTCATTATATGCATGCATCAGCTAGACTCCGCAAGGAGAATAACAACTTGTATTGCAGAGCTTTGAACACACACAAACTCGTAAAAATGCTGAAAAAATTGAAGAATTGTCAAAATAACTACCTGGCCTCAATTTGGCATCAATCTTTTGTGGTTTGAGTTGTGTTGCCTTCCCAACATCTGAGCTTCCGACTGATGAATGTGGGTCATCAACTTTAATGTAAAATGAAAATATGTTGAGAAAAATATTTACAAAAATAAGGCAAACAATGACATCTGCACGTCCTCCCAGAACAAAAAAGCTATCATGACGTAGCAATAGTCTTTTTTATTCGAATACTCTTCTTTATACATGCTTCATCGCTTGGCACTTTGACATAACTCGCATTTAGGTGGTGTCTTACATATTAAATTTCTATAACCTTTTCAGCAAGGTTGGCTACATCAAAAAATACATCTCGATACTACAATATTCTTTTCAACCATCGAAGAATATTGAATCTATTCTGAATTGGGCCATCCTCAACAAAGAACATATAGAGGTCATGTATATTCAATTAGTTTTTTTTTGGAAAAGCATGGAATTTAATTAAGATAAAATTTGATAATTTGTGTTGTTGCACCTGTAATTTGATCGATAAGCTTTTTTGAGAGTTTACAAATAACAAATGAAGGTCTTTTAGGCCATGATGACCAAATCACTGGGGAGCAGAATAATGAATTTCGAACACTCGACCAATTTTGTACATCCGCGGCCTTGAAGCTTCGAAAATGATCCACAAACTAAATCGCTTATAAAAAGAATGACAAGCAGACTGAGCTAAGTGTGGTTTTACTAAATGTGATATAATAAATAACCCACCTGTATTGTTCACAGACGATGGTGGATTCAATATGAATTCATCAGGACATTTTCCAGCTTTCAAATTTTTTGGTAAATCGCATCTCGATATGACAAGATTGGGATTGTTTGCATATTCCTGAAGTATAACAAAAGATAAATAGAAAATCCAAAGAATCGTTATAAGTTTAAATCAGGGGTTCCCAAACCGCGGCCCGCGGGCCAAAACCGGCCCGCGTAACGATCTAAAATGGCCCGCCGAGCTCAAGTGAAATAGTGTGCAAAAGATTTTGTTTCTGCTATTTTGCGTTCCAGATAGCGCCAAGTGTTACGTCATTATCACAGTTGAGGCACGTGATTATCGTAACAATTAAATTATAGCGGTAGCTCAATTATTCGTATTGGGATTACATAGGGCAGTAATTTAGTTACGAACCATATAAGAAAGATATGTCAAGACACAAAGGAAAACTAGACTCCGAAAACAGACATTTTTGGATACATAACAGCCGTGGTGAACCCCAGCTAAACCGTCGCGCACTTCTGGGCGCCACACTCTTCCGGCCCGCGAACATCCTTCCGATTCTAATTTTGGCCCGCGACTAATAAAGTTTGGGAACCCCTGGTTTAAATCTATGCTTTATGTGTAGGATAGGTCACAGACTAGCACTAGCATACCATTACCAAACTGAAAACTGGTAATTAAATGAACAGGTTGGGGTTTTCCATATGATATGATCATCTTATGAGCTATGTTTTACCCTATTTCATTCTCAACGTTTTGTGATAAGATTCTAAAAGATTGAATCTTGTTTACAAACATTTTTGTTCCATCAATACAATACTGAGTCACATCAGATAATCCAGGAAGTAATTTCCATTTCAAGTACTTCTGTACTTCCTGAATTGAACTGTTCTTTTTTATTCAATCTCTACGAGACAATTTCGATGAAAGATGAAATTGGAAATTAGCTAACGTTATCATCAAAGTTATTGTTTGACCTAAATCCTACGTACTTAAGGAATGGAAGTTTTTAATTGTTATTATTAAAGACTTACAGGTTGTTCACACCATCCACATCCAGCAACTTGCATGCACTCACTGCATGATTTTGCATTCTTATCTACACATGGGTTGTCACCTTGAAATATAGAAGAACTTGTATTATTTCCAAAGTTTTCTACTGAATGAATGTAATTAAAACTCAGATATGCAAAATAAAAGTCAAAAATACTATTTGAATAAAAATAATGTAAAGTGGGAATTGCAAATATCATTAACAAGCATCTGAGTCAAAAATAAAGTCTAAGTAATTATCCAGTTTCCCTAAACAAATATATTTAGATGTCTGTTTATTGATTGTGATCATTAATACCGGTAGTATAAATATCTTGATTGACAGAATGATAAAATGTATAGTAAGCATTCATATGACTGCCACTCACACAACAACTGTATAAAATAGGCGCTAAAACAGTAATATGCTAATTTAAACACTTACCATTTCCATACTCAAATAATAAAACAAGCAGAAGACAAGAAGAAAAGAGAAGACGCATCTTCGCTAGTAATGAATTTTTATGATTTTCTATTTATAAAATAATATAAAAAACACAGTATGTAGAAATCTGTCAAAATTTGAATATAGAATGAAATTATATGCAAAATCTAAACTCAAAATAAAAAACAGTATGTATAAATATAAAAAATGTTAACGTTAACCATTATGTTCACCACATCACAGAATTCAAACATCAATATGATCAAAACAGACTGCTTGCTTAAACAGTTAAACTAAAATCTGAAAATGTGGGTGCTTTTTTAGCCTACCAGACTACTTTGGACACCAAAGTCAAAAACGACTTTCACAAGAGTTCTTAACTTAGTAACTTCAGATCTCAGAAACTGATTAATGTAATCATTAACATCTCGGCTAAAACAGTTATTTTACTGTCTTGCCCCAAAAATAAGACAGTGTCTTATTTCAATTTCCTTTCGAAAAATAACACTAGGGCTTACTTTGGGGGAATGTCTCTTATTTTCATTTAGAGAATTACTAAATTTTCAAATATACAAAATATGAAAAACTATATCCATTTACATATAAATAACAAGTTTTTATTTAAAATAACTGCTAAACATAGATTTTTAATCCTTCAAAACGAGTATGAAAGATTTCTTGCAGGTTAAAAATAATTTTGCTTTATTGACTATTAAAATCATTTCAAAAATTCATGCTAACTAGGTCTTCTTTCCAGGGAAACACGGTAGCTCCAACCGAAAAACCTCAGAATCTGCATCCCAATGTCTGAATGTATGAGATACGACAAACAGACAAGCTGACATTGACTTTTGCTTTTCGGCTATTGAAACAAGGGTTCTTTTCAGTTATTGAACCCTTTACTTCGCCATAACTTGTACTTAGTATCAGCCGACTCTGAATCGACAAACGCAAAGGAGAAAATCAACAAAACATATACTGACTGACTGATGAATCACAAGCAGACATTACTCACTTTTTACAACCACAGTCGATACCAAATACAGATAAACCTCGCCCAGGGAAAGTATTTTCTCCCAAAACCATAATCCCGAAAATTTTGAGTATCTAGCGCCACTTTGCGGTTCGGTTCCATCTGTCAGCTATTTTATTTTCGGGGGTATCTGATTTCGATCTCAAATATGTATACAGTATATAGATTTCCTTAGGTTTTGTGCTTGTTTGGTTTTTGGTAGGTGAACGTGTGATATTTATGTTTTATTCACTTTTCAGATTTTGCACGACTGCTGTCGCACAATTTAAGTTATTTCTCTTTTGATATTTGTAATGTTCATGCTTATAGTGTGTTGATAAATAAATGATGATTGATTGATTTTTCATAACATTCTACGTTTTATCGCATAAATAATATTAGACTTGAAAAAATGAATTTAAATAGGTTCCTCCCAATTGATTCCTCCCAACATTTTTATCATAAATAATATTTGAGTATTTTATGGATGAAGTTTACATTCAAAACTCAATTTCGTTTGTCTCCTATAAAAAAAAATTATGTAGCCTATCGAATTAAAGTCCAACCCATATTCAATAGTTTACCACGCGTTGACCATTTATCAAAATTGTACAGACTCACAGAAATAAAATATATGTGACAAAAATTTTGACCTGCATCTCCTAATATGTACATTTCGCACTTCCTACAAATTTAAATTTTTAAAGGTAATTATTTTATATTTATATGGGAAAAAAAATCATGATTTATTTAAGAAACTAAAACATCTCATCACACAGTGTCAAACAATTCCACAAGTTGCTTCACAATTTTGTTCAGCAGATTTCTAGCATTATAATTTAACATGGAAATTTGTTCGTTTGAATTTGAATCATGATTATCTGCAATAAAACTAGTATTTTTTATTCCACTCTTCAATATATATATATAACATGTTTCTTGACATTACACAGCGCCTCTAGCAGGTGGTTTACATTGATGGTTATTTTAGATTTAAAAATATGCCAATAGTAAGGAGTACCTCCCAAACATCTTAATTTGTCACCGAGTCCTATACTTTTTTGTTTCTTTATGCTGGGAGTCACACAGCTACACTCAAGGCTAGATTAACCATTAATCGAAATAGGCACGTGCTAAGGGCATCAAAGGAAAGGGGTCTTCGAAATACAATCTTTAATCACTGAAAATTTCAAAGCAATTGGTCCAATAGTTGATGAGAAAAGCGGGTTTTCCATAAAAACAATAAGAAAAATACCAACAAGAACAACAACATAATAACCAAATGGTTCATATATATATTTATGTACATTTCGTGTCCAATAAATAAGGTTGCTTATAGTGGAGTGGAACGCAGTAGTAGACGAACACCGGGTTGCGCAAGAGTTCGTTACCGGGATATATTTATATTGTGTTAACGAAAAAATGATGATTGATAAATGAACACTTCAATTTGGGTGGACTGGAACTTTCCAGCTCGTCATTGCCTACGATGAGCGATAGGATTCTAACCCGAGATGTGTAACTTGCGAATTGCGATGCCATCAAAGCTGGTAAGTCTAGCGCAGTGGTTCCCGAACGTTTTGAAAAAAATTCCATGACTGACCCCTTGAAATTTTTTTAATGATATCCGGCCTTGTGCGCTTAAATAAAACATTAAAAGATCACAACAGAAAATCAATGCGCCGTATAGTGAAACGAATAAAATTATATAAAGCACAACTCTAATGACATGTGTGACATCCAGTCTGTTTCAATATTTGGTAAACGTGCAAAAGGGTGGCGTCAGCTACAGCCATGCAGTTAGTAAGCTTGTGGGGGCATGAACCGAACTCTCGCTGTGATATCGAAATGGGGCAGCGTGATCGAAACAAAAAGTGAGGAATCAGTGTCTCTAGCGGGGATTGCAAAACAGCAAAAGGCGACAAATGTGTATTTGGAAATTTAGACACTTAATTTTTGTATTATCAGCCTATTAGCCATATTATGGATTTGTTTCGCGGACCCTCCGAAAGTGCTTTACGGACCCCAGTTTGGGAACCGCTGGTCTAGCGCAATAAAACCACCACCACCACCTATCGGTTAGAAGATTTAAAATTATTTTGCAATAAAAAAATAAATAAACAAAATTACTTCTGTTAGATGATTTGATTTAATGGTGGACAACCACCGGGAAGGCATTTCCATCCCGCCCTCCTCCTTTATGGATTGCTGGTAATTATTTCATTATATTCACAGTCAACCGTTTTACGTAATTAACATATAGCATGGAACATTCGTGTACCTAAATCTGACAGTATATACCGACTGACTTGTTTTAGCAATATTGAAGTTACGGTGAAATGCAATTTAAATATTTAACGACTGAAGCTTTTTAACAGTATTGAAGTTTTGATGAAATGCTACTTGAAACATTTAGGAACTGACGCTTTTTAACATTATTGAAGTTACGGCGAAATGCACTTCTGTAAAACGCAAACAAATAATTATTTACTGAAACCGTTCAACGCCCTGAAAAAAACTACTTTTTCGAAAACGTTTTTGGTGGACCAAATTTGAAATGTTGGTCTTCAAACGAGAAATAGTGATGCGCATCACCGAATCCTAATCAGTTTACAGAGTCTGTAGCTAAGCTTTGCTTTTTTCACGATTAAAAATGCCTGGTTGACAAATTCATGTTTTTTCATTTCTCAACAAAACTGGATACTTCTTCAAGGCGAAAGTCAAACTCAAGTAATGAATTTTGCTGAAAAACAGTCGTGTAAAACTTCGTTTGAACTAAACCCTAACTCATAAGTTCCAGCCAGTCGAGTGTCAGCGTCGTTAATATATTCAACATCCACACTGAATGTTCTTTGAAACGAATTTGCGTCCTCCGACCATCTAAGCCAGGGGTCGGCAACCTACGGCCCGCGGAGTAATATAATCCGGCCCGCGACGTTTCACTGAATTATGTTAACAAAACAGCCGTTTTTGACGATTATATTCTCTGTGTAACAGAATTTATTGTGCGAGACACGTGTAGAATAAATTATATTATAATCTCACAAGTATAAAATTGACAAATACTCGCTTAATGAGCCTATAATATAATTAGACAAATGGCAACTAAACGAATAAAAGTTGATGCTAAATGCAATAAATCTATATTCTATTCTAGAGATGTATCACTGCTTGATTTTTATAATAAGAAGTATCATCCGTTCGGTTTTAAACTTTCACAAATATGTGCGGCCCGCCAATGACTTGCAACCCTTAATTTTGGCCCGCGAGCGACAAAAGGTTGCCGACCCCTGTTTAAGCCCTTGAAAGCGTTTCGAAAAGTATTCACTAAAGTCCCAACGCATTTGTGTGAGTATACACGGGGATTTCGTTTATTTCGACATAAACGCGAGTTATTAAAAATTGGTACTCCTGAAGTATGCGCACCAAGATGTCGCATAACCTGAACCCTAACCTGGTACACAACCGGAGTTCAGGTTGTGCGCCATCTTGGTGCGCATACTTTAGTTTAGGACAGGCCTGGGCAAGTTGCGGCCCGCGGGCCACATCCGACCCTCGGCACGTTTTATCCGGCCCGCGACCAGATTTCTAGATCTAGAAAAACGGGTTATTATATAATTATCGGCGACGGGATGCTGAAGGTAAATGAAGGAGTAAAGCTGCTACCAACCTAAATCTAGATCAAGGTGCGACAATATAGCATATATACTAAAAAATAAACAGAAGCGATATATGTTTTGATTTAGGAGGCTTGCGACAGATTAAAAACGCTGTTGTAGAAATTAGAAACTGAAAAATTTCATGTGCCATCGAAACCATACTATGACTGAAATTGAAAGACAGTCGATTGTGCGTGCGATATATCTTTTGATCAATTCTATCTATCTAATTCTAAAATCACCGACGGGGCCTTACATATAAGATAATTAATGTGAATTAAATTCAATCGATTTTTATGGCATCCTACTAAAATAAATTTTACTTGGCGTGGTTTTATCACAGACGTAAGGATTTTTCTAGCGGTAAAATCTTTAAAACAGAGTGAAGTCGGTTTTGTAAGAACGAATCGGATTTGGCGAATTCGCGAAATGGCAAAACACGAATAAAAATGATCTGGCAATTTACGTCACATTTTTATGTCCGCGGATTGCGTTCGTATCTCATAGCAGTAATGCTTATATTTTATCAAAGCAGGTTAAGCAGCCGCGGTTAAGTTGAGAACAATAAAGCAAGACATTTTGAATAAGCCGTATAGCAAAAAAGGCATCAAAGCCAAGTATATTCCGGTAGTTTATCTCACATTTTTATATCCGCAGTACAATAGATATAGTACTTTGTTTTATTCAAATGTGTAATAAAAAAAAGGACAAAACGCGCAATATATGTTGATTTTACTTAGTCCGACCCGCCACTGCATTTTGAATATTCAATATGGCCCGATAGCCAAAATAATTGCCCAGCCCTGGTTTAGGAGGTCCTTAGAATTTATCATAAATAGGATTTTTCTTTGAAACAATTTCATTTGCGTCTTCAGAACTTGAAAGCGTTTTGAATAGTTTTCGTGAAGGTATATACACGTTTGTGTGAATAAACATGGCGATTTAGCTTCTTTCGATATAAACGTGATTTAGTATAATTAAATGCAATTTTCACCAAACGGACCGCGTGTCACGCTAAGTCTTATGGCATGCCACATCGGGCATGCGTGCACCCCTGCTCTCGAGTGGATTCGTATCCCATGACAGACGGGGCGATGCGCGAGCGGTTTGCTTTTAACTCCTAATGCTTTGCTTTTATTCGTTAATCTGTCTATCCGATTTACTTTCTTACAAAAAAGAAAAGGTTGCAATTTAGCCAATGCTCCATGTTGTAATTTGAATAAAAGTAATAAGAATTTATTGCATCAGAATGGACATAGTGTATAACTTATATATAAAATAATCCACATTATAGACTTTTTTCTTCAGTAACAATCGACATAGATTCAATTTTCTGCATTCCCTTGCCTCAACAAGCATTGCCTTCGAACCGTCTGTAGCGCAGGTACGTATTTATATTATATTCATGTTGCTTCCATTACTAAATCTACAGAATCCTTCATATTCTTTGATTTAGACGTCCTAGCAATGCAAATAAAGTTATAAAATGACTCATAAACTCATAAATCCCTGCATTCATTAGCCAGAAATACAATGTCCGAAAAGCAAATATACAACCTATAATATATATTGAAATTCGACCATAACCAATAATTGTGCAATAACTTACCTTAACAATCGCAAAGAAAATACTGCTGCTATTGCAACCATGAAAAAACAAGCCAAGAATAATTTTCTTGTTCCACTGGCATTGGTGCTATGGTGTAACATAATGAGACCAAAACAAGCAAACAAATTCAAAGGAACTCGGAACCAAGCAGTCACAGCGAAATTTTGTAATTCAGGTTTCACCTAGGCACAAAGAAATAAAATAACAATGCCTGATGCTAAAAAATTGATATGATTAAGAGATCATTGCAGAAAGATTAACTGGCTTCGACACTGATCACATTCATGTTTCTGCAATATTACATAACGCCAAATTATTGTACTTGAAAATCTATTGGTATTCTGATAACAAGCAGTGATTATTCATATGGATGAGTATTTGGAGCCAGTTATGAATGGGTAAACAGTAAATAAAAACATTGTTACGGATAGACCTGTGTGATTAACAAAGCGATACTGTGTTCTTAGCCAGAAGATGGGTTGATAAGAGAAAATTCTAATACTGTCCCTAAAAGTTAAAAGTGAATATTCAAATATGACTCATGAACGATTGACCAGGCAGTACTGTGTTCTTAGCCAGAAGATGGGTTAATAAAAGAAAATTCTAATACTGTACCTAAAAGTTAAGTGAATATTCAAATATGACTCATGAACTAAGTGATACTCTCTAAGAGCAAAATACTTGGCTAAGAGTTTCAATATTATTAAGCTATACTTACCAGTCTTTTCAATTCTGACATTGATGGAAAATATACACCAACTGACAATTCAAATAATAAAAAGCATATGTAGGATATTATTGGGAATTCATTTGTTGGACTAGTTGATAGTACACATCCAAGAGTGGCAATACAAGCAACTGACATTGCACCAGTGAGAGTGACAGCTGAAGACAATTTCACTGCAGTCACCATAATTCTGTCAAAACAAACACAAAATAAATGAGAAGTGATCATTGCAATCCATGAATAGTATGTTATTACGGTAACTCTAATTTTAATTATGTTCAAAATTGGTGTCTCGATTTAGCAGTTAGGTGTTGGGCGTTAGTAATATCCCTGCCTTGACACCACTGACTATCCAACTGATGGTTAGGAGGAAGTACAGATTAAATGAAGACTACTAGCAGACAAGGTTACGACAGCATGGTCTATGGTCACCATGCATTCGGAATGTGCAACACCAAAGAGATTTTCGAGTTCCTTCACTTATCTGATTTAGAAATGGTCAATAAAATTTGTCGGCTGACATGCAGAAGAACAATCTTGAAATTAAATATTGTTCAACACCTGGAAACACCACCAACTAACCGAACCAAATAACAAGTAAAGAACTGAAATAATAAATGAAAACTTATTTCAGCAACACTCAAATCTACACTAACATCAAATTAATGTGAGACATACTTGTGAGCTACTCCTCCACAAAGAGTCGCACACATAAATGTTGCAAATACGATTCCAAGTGGTGGATGGTGATGATCAAGTACTGGTGTCCATAAGAATACAAACAAACAGAGAACGCTTTCGAATAAAGACTGAACACAACCAAGCACCAACAGATCTGGATTCTAAAGAAATTAAAATTAAGGACAATTCGCAATAATCAAAAGGGTTTTGCTGTAAGAGGACAGAATGTATTAAATTTAAAATTTTTATTTAGTTATTTGAGTGGTGCAAATAAAATACTTTTCATATGCAGAAATAGGTAACATCATCCTGCAGCATGTTATGATATTAATTAGAAATAGTCATGACTAAATGATTTAATTGAGCTTCAAATCAAATTAGATCAAATCAGTGGTGTGTTGGAATCATTTGTTTCCAGAAAGTTATACCAGAATTCACAGCTATCAATACTTTGATAAATGCGGGTGTACACTATACAGGTACACAATTTGACAATTTACTGAATGGAGTCTTTTAAAACTAATTATTTTTATGGCTCAGTTGAATGGCACATCGTAATAAGTGCCAAGAATACACTTGCCATCGCATCTCTAATTAACCTGCATGGGTTTGAATCCTGTGGGAGATAATAATGAGTAAGAGGATAGCTGGTCTTCTCCCAGTTGTAGAGTGGTTCAAACCATAAAATGTACTTGGTAATTGCAAAAAATCATCATGGGCAACACATGTCATGTTAATCGAGCACTTACTCGCACAATATTCTGTAATCCTTCACAACAAGCTTTTACGAATTTTGTATTCTTTCCCGATGGTTTAACAGGTAATGAAGGCTCTATGAGACCCTCAGTTGATTGTGATGACCGATCCGGCGTCTTCCATTTTGAAAACGTAATAAACGCACTTATACCAAGAAATGGTACAGCGAGTAAAGATGGAGCAACGGGGCCGAAACCATACCACTGAAACACACAAGAAATATCCTCAATCCTATACAATAAATGAAAACAATTACCACAATCATGAAATGAATTAATATACAAGTCAGTAATTTGCTTTATCCAATCATTTCAGAAAAATTTAGACATCTTTAATACATATTTATCAGTGACAGAGTGTAATTTGTATCATTATTTTTCCGAATTAAATTATCTTTTAATTTACTGATAGTAGCTATTCAAACTTCCAGTTTACTACGAATTACCCTATTTTGAGCATATTTCTTAAATATTTATTCTTATCATTATTTCGATCTCGCTCTTTGAACTCTGTCAGATGACTCTTTTCAATATTTGACCATACTCAATAACAAATAATTCAAGCAGTATTGCAAATCACATTCTCATAAAATGGAAACTTAAAAAAAAATTATATTTATAACTCAATTCATCAACAAAACAGAAAAAAATTACCATAATGTACCTCGGTCATAAAATATGCAAAAACCCCTGCAATGGCAGCCATAAGAGAACTAGCAAAGGCTGATTTCATAGAAGTGATTTCAATCCATTCCTTTGGGAAGTCATGAACATTGATATGAGATTTGGCATACCATCCTTCATGTGCAGAAAATAACAGTGTTGTAGACGCACCAGATAATATACGACTTATTACCAGAGTGCTGAAAAAGTAAACACACTTATTGTCAATTATATGAAAGAATTACGGTATCTATTTACCATAATGCTACCTAATTTTATCTTAATAATTCTCTTAAATGAGTTTACCATAGGTATTTTTTTAAAGATAACTGAATAGTCAATATCAGCAATAATAACAAAAGTCAGTGACAATTTTAAAAATTCACTGATCGCTTTATTCTCTGAGCTACAGTGTTTCCCTGAATATAAGACTGGGTCTTATTTCAATTTTCTTTCAAAAAACAACACTAAGACTTATTTTGGGGGGATGTCTTTTATTTTCATTTATCAAAACAAAATTACGGAGTAAAGAATTACAAGATTTTCGAATATAAACAAATATGAAAACCGATTTCCACTTACTTATAAAAAACACATTTTTATTTCAAAATAACTGCTAAACATAGAATATTAATCATTTAAAACGTGTAGGAGAGATTTCTTGGCATCAACTACGTCTTATTTTAAGAGGAGGGCTCATATTAAAATCAATTTTAAAATTCACAGTAGGTCTTATTTTATCTTAAATGCATTATCAATACATAAATATTTTATGCCAATTTGATTGAGATTCTCACCTGTAATCTGAAGATAACTTCAAGAAACATGAAAGTGAATATGTGACGGCAGCACCGAGACTTATTTTTTTAAAACCGTATCGCTCAACCAAATACGCTGCAGTTGTACCAAAAACAAGGGCTGATCCCAACCCACAGACATAAATGATGGCAATTTGTTCTTCCAAAAATCCATAGTGTGAGTACAGTTTATAGAGGTAAGGTGCATTTAACCAGTCAGCAAATAAAGCCGGAAAGAATGCCAGGAAGTACAAACTTTGAAACTACAAAAAAAAAAAAAAATTTTTAAAGTTAAGCACCTAACACAGTTGTATATTATACATAATAGATGAAGCTTCAGCAGAGAGGATTGCAAGACTCACTACCACAGGGTGGTTCATGTAATCGGTGGTCAGTCATGAGTTTTTCCACCATTGACGTCCACGCATGTATAAAACCGGGAAATCTAAGATCAAGTTTGACTCCTGATTGAAAAAAATGGCCCACCTCCTGGTTGAGAAAATTTTTGACAACAAAAACGTTAGCACAACCTTTCTTATTAAACTGTAAACCTAGGTAAACTTCTTTTTGAGATTTCTGTAGAAAATTTTGACTTTTATTGTATCATTGTTGAAAGTCTGAAATCTTGATAAATTCGACATTTTGCCTCTGGAGAATTGAAAATGCAACTTCGGCGCTAATGAAAACATGACAAAATCAGCCTTCACACCTCTAGCACAACGACTAACTATCAAATACAAAATTAGGTAATCACAAAACATCATGTGTCACATCATACAAAAATACCATTTTATAACATCTACCTCATTACTTTCTTTAAGCAATATAAGTATATATAACGTCCAACAAAATACATACCGGTAGATAGAAACATACCTCTAAAAATTGGGGATTAGTGTTCGGAGTTTGTGGTGAAACATAACGATGCAAGGCGCCAAGACCTATAGATAACACCGCAGCCAGAATAAACGTAACAATAATAACTATATTAAGCATGGTTCATCACATCTGCACTAAAAAGAAAAAAGATGAAATATTATGGTAATTAGTAAGAAAGAAAAAGTTCGTGAATGCTCGGAAACTAAGAATTCATAAATTATAGTCCTAATCAAATTAACGAGACTAGTTTTTTCTATGCCCAATGAAAGTAGAATTGTAGCTAATCAGAATATAACAAAACAAGGAAGAGTTATCATTGTCATGAAACTGGTGTCAACTAAACCTATTCTCAACATATCTCAAGTTGGCAGAGCTCCATAGTACAAAAGTTCTGGACAAAATAGAGGCAGTGCTTGGGAGGGGGCAGGGGAAGCCCGTTGTCGGGGCGAGTTTGATGATTTAAATAATAGTAATACAAACATTTCACTTGACCCTCAATTTATTTGCTTTCATATATAACAACAACTATAATTTGTTTATCCTCCGAATTATTTTTGAAGTGAAGTATAAGGGGCATCATCATCAAAAACTCGCTCCGGGCAGGAGAAAAGTTTGGCTCGCCCATGACTGTGGGAATAGCGATTTGAAAACCTCCGACTCCTCATATTATTTTGTATAATTTATCAACAGATTTTATATTCTATAATTGAAGCGGTGAATTATCCCGCGCCAGACACCAACCTGGTATTTGCGATTCCGCGGCAACAAACAAAACTACATACAGCAAATTCAATTCTTGCAAGATCTTTAGAAAAGTCCTGATTTCACATAATCACAATCACTTAATCTAAATGTCCTCAATGAACAACAGTCTTGACCAAACCCAAACATAATAAATCCATATTGTAAGCAATATAGTTTATTGCACTGCACAAAAAATATACCTCATTCATCTAAATTACAGGATTTCAATTCAATAATAGCATAATAGTAATAATATATATCAAATAACTAGCAGGTGAATAAAGTGAAAAGCAGACACAAGCATCTATTATCAAATTAGAAGACTTAGATTGTAACTTTAAATCCTCCAGTGTGGCTTCCAAATTAAATTGACTGGAAAAAGGACCTATAAAGCAAGAATGTTATGGTATTCTTGGATCTGGTTAGCCCAGGGAATAGGCCTGCAATCTCAAGCATATGATATCCAATGTAGTGAGAGTATTTTAAAAGTTTTTCTTGTAAAAGCATTGCAATATTGTATTCTCATGGTTATAGCAAAGCTAACCAAATGATTAAATAAAGCTAATCTAAAAGGGTAGCCTACAATGGGGAATACAGAAAAGCAGTTTCAAAACCAGTGGAAATATTCAAATTGAAAAAAAATTTGCAGAATTTGTGTTAAAATAGGGTAAATCATATTACTACAGAAGTTGGGTTTGATAGTACCCGCCGCTAAGCAGTGTTTTGATATAAGTATAAAGAATTACAGCCCCAATCACATCAGTTACGGAATTTTGAAGTGGCCTTGATAAAATCAGTGCAAATTTTTAATATGGTCAATATTTTTCGCAGAAACGCTTCTTTGTTGATATTCAAAAAATCCTTTAGTAAGAAATTTATTAAATCATCAACAAAGAGTTAGCTCAGTGAAAAACAAATGCTTCTCTCAACATCAAAGAAACAATTGTTGTTCGAATTGGGTTAAGAATCAAGAACAAAAAAATATCGTCGAATAAAGATATCCTGATCAAATTGAGGTAAAATGAAAAATACACATTAGTCAAAACACATTATTTCATTCGCTTTACGATAAGTGTTCATCCAATCAACATTTCCCTATCTCATAAAATACAACGAAAACTGTAAAATGACGAATGTAAAATTAATAACTGACATTTGAACATTGAAAGATGGTCAAAAATTGAACAATACAAGAACGTGAGGTAATTCATGCATTAGCCAACCTAGTTTAAATAGACGAGATCAAGTTCTCTATTTATTCATTCAAGCCACCAAATAATTCACAAAAATATTTAACCAAACACCAAACATTTGATTTGCACGGACATAAAACATAGTTTTGTACAGAATAAAAATATCAGAAATAGTATAAAATAATTAAATACAGTGTTTTTTTCCTTCAATGAAAATAATTTTAGTGATATCGTATTGTTCAAATTATTTATAGGTTATTTATGGGAAATACAATTATAATGGTACAATATCATCTGGTATTTGGTCATTCTACAGGGCATATTTCCAAAAGCAAAATAAACAATTTTAAAAACTTGTTAAATTGTTTGATTGTGTTATGTAGATGAGAAATAGGTTTTTGATTTAAAAAAAATAAATAGTAAGGTCTTTCAGCATGTTTGGAAGTTCCCCATTTAGGTCATATAAAATGATCCTACTATGGTAATTACTGCAATTATTTTTTTCGTCATAACACCCTCACAGTTGTATGCATGAACAAATCCAATGAACTTAAGCTTATTGTAAAATACTTAAAATAAGTACTGCAAATGATTTTCGATTTATGCCTTATAAAACCAACTTATTAATCCAAACTAAAAATAGTTTCTGGAATTTTTACAGGAGTTTTTTTTTTCAATTACTAAGGTAATGGCTTCCCAATTTTTAGTAGTTAAGAATGAAAGTGTCAACTACTCTGAATACAACTGACAACTATTCTGAATATGTAGTCTTAAAAATATTTAATATATACGTGGCATAGATCCTTTTTGCTTTTGGACATGTAGAAAAGAAGTATCATCCTGTCCCTGGGTGATACTTAACAAAGAGAATACATTCTTGAAAAGGCTTCCACTTGAAGATTTAAATAAAAATAGGAAAAATACCGTACAAAGATAACACAACTGCAAAATTTTTGAAACTGCAATAAAAATATAAAGAAATAGATGCTTGTTCATTATTTTTGACTATAAATATACCAATTTCACTTGTATCAGAAAAGCACATCTAGTCAGTATAGGTGAGTGTGGGTGATGGTTGTTGAACTTTGCTACAAAATAGCTGTTTTAGAATATTCATTATAATACAGTTTGATTAAAACATTCATTCATTGATAGGGATATCGATGTTTAGATAGTTTGGTGTCTATAGTTAGAACATTTTGTTTTGTTCATTATTTCACAGGATCCCAAAACGTAGCACATTTTGCATTGCAAAATTTGATGCAAATCACAATTTTTTACAATAAAACTAAATTTCACTGCAAATTAGTGATTTTTGAATTGTAAAATTCAACATTTATGGACATCTCTGATTATTTGAGTACTCAATCCCATCCAAGTACTTTAAACTCCTATTTCCCCTATAAATAAAACAAAACACTTTATTCTGAAAAAAAAAGTATTCCATTTAAACTACCAATAAATCTAAAAAAAAGTCATGCTGCAAAGGAAATGTCAAAATTCCACTACATAACACTAATTTTTGAATCAAATATTACTAGCCTATTCCAAAGTACACAGGAAAATTCTAATTTATTAATAACCAATAATAGGCTTCAGCTTCAATAACTATTTGTCATGAAAAATGTATCCTGCATAATAATAAATTTCTACATTAAATAAAGTAAACTAGACCAATGCAAAAAAAGGATTATGAGAACCAGTATAAATGTGGAAAATGATTACCAGTATATTGAAGTAAACCAAATGCATGTACAGATGGTCTTCAAAGCGAGGCAATTATACCCTTGAAGAAACATATTTATGACATTTTCATGATAGCAAGTTCAGCCTTACTGAATGCTCTTTGAGCTTGTTTATTTCATTAACCTTTTACCTAACTCAGCATTTAAAATTAGACTTACTGCTATTCAAAACACTATTTTGCCCGACGGGGAAATTATTGGGATAGCTCAGCCTATACGAACAGGGCTTGGGATAGTTGACATAACAAGTATTGTCACCAATCAAATTATTTCAATTTTTATACAGAATATTGCTATTACAATACATAGGGCAAAATTCTTTGCCAATATATATCACTCTTGCATATTTCATTTCCAACATTAGACTTACTGCTATTCAAAACACTATTTTGCCCGACGGGGAAATTATTGGGATAGCTCAGCCTATACGAACAGGGCTTGGAATAGTTGACATAACAAGTATTGTCACCAATCAAATTATTTCAATTTTTATACAGAATATTGCTATTACAATACATAGGGCAAAATTCTTTGCCAATATATATCACTCTTGCATATTTCATTTTCCAACATTGCCGTAGTTTTATGGCTATACTACCTCTAGCCAGCATACATTGCTATCTATCTAGCTTCTACCATTAAATAAGCTTTACATGGGTTCAATCCTTAAACTTTCAGTTTTCAGGCTTTCAATATATCACAAATCATACAAAGCAAACATTAGATAGATTCATTCGGTGGCAATAATATTTAAAATAATTTTTATATCCATCTACGTTTGATAGAGTATGATTTGGAAACATATTTTTAAACTCTGCGTGATTTCAATTTTATTACAAATCGTCCATTAAAACTGCGTGGTTCATATCGCTATTGAAAATAGATAGTTGTGTGACATTCAAGTCAGCAAAAATCCAGTATTGATTAGAATTGCTTTGATCACATTCTCTCGCATAAACTTTTTTGTCTTTTGGATCGGCTTCAAGACAAGAAGATGAGACTGCATGCATCAGTAGTTTTTGATCAAACTGAAAAATTCGGAAAATTGCAGAAAATTAAACTAAAATTTTAACTAATTAGATAGGAATCACAGACAATACAGCTTAACTATTAGGAAACTACAGTTTCTGGCTGGGCTGTGGGGTCGTAGTTTGACAGATTCTTACTGAAAGTGGAGACAAACTTATATTTCAAAAGTCTCATAGTTCGCGGTTGAAGTCAAAATATCGAATTCTTGGGAGCTTGAGACAGAAGCGGTATTTCAGGATTTTAATCATGATATTTGAAGTTAAATTTTTGACAAACTCAAAAAGCATGGAGTTAACTGAAAGTTCTTAAGCATTGTTCATGACCATGTATTGAACAAATTTATTCTGTAATACTTACAACATATTTCCACAACTGATTTCCTTGCATTTGATGACATTCCCAGAATGAAGCCACGTTATTTCGACCAACACAATCCAAACAAACTTTCCGAGCTTTATCTGATGTTGAACCTCCTGGCCTAATGTCCTCTCTCCAAGTTAACCACCATTGCTGAAACGAATAAATTTAAGGAAAAATTCAGTTTTTTGGTTTGTTAGTTTTTTGGTTCTAGTTTGTTAGAGAATGTTAGAACAGTGTTTCCCATTTATGGGTCACAACTCACACTCACAACCCAAAACTGGGTCGCCTGAAAATCTTCTTGGATCGCTTGTTTTTTCAATAAAAATTATAAAGGTACTGATTTTATTCTTCTGTAAATTTCTTGTTCATTTCATATTTTATTCAAGTATGGTTAACAGTATTTGTATATTTGGGACTGGTAAGTATCACAGCATAAAAACGTGGCAGAGTCTATTTTTAAAAACTGGCTGATGGCAAACTAGCGAAGCTTCAAACTAATTTATGGTTGAATAATTTGTTAAAATCAATTGTTTTATATTAGTTACCGTATTTCTCCTTGTATAATACGCACTTCCGGTTCCGGATATCATCGCCAAAATTAGGGGGTGCGTATTATACATTGGTATAGAAAATTTTCAAAAAATCCTGATCGATATTTTACACGCAATTGCCAATTGCCATATGTTTCCTTTCTGTCTTATTTCTTTTAATTTTATGTGACAAAGTCCGCAATAACCAGATCATGCTTGTTGCAGTAGAATCACACCCACGGAATGGACTATCTTGTCTAACAAAGGACAACGCATCTATTTCAATAGTGTGTATATACCAGTGTATATAAGTGTTAAGAACGTCACTTTAAATCGATAGTTTATTTGTTGTTGTCGTTCAGTCTGGCGCCCCTCATTTCTGTTTCGCTGTATCGACAAAACTGAATGTTCCTAAATCATTTTTTCTCAACCTAATTTGCGGCTTGTTTCATTTCTCTCGTTTTGACAAATCGGCAAACATAACGCTCACAAATGTTTTTTTCTCAACCATTTTCAAAATGCTCTAAGATCGGTGACAGCACGAAAATTTAAAGTTCGGTAACAGCACTCCAAGATTGACATACACAGACCTGTCGACGTCATAAACACTTGAAACATATTATCAAATCACAGTGAAACTTGTTAGGCTGGCTTCTCGAAAATACCAAATGCGGTCAACGCAAGTGACCGACTGAATTCGACCGTGCGTATTGTGCATGAAAATTGGTATTTTCATACAATCCACATCCTAAAAAAGCCCCGTATTATACGTGGGTGCGTATTAGACACAGGGAAATGCGGTATTTAAAACATTATACCAACGTTCGGGATAAAATCGTAAATCGGAATAAAGTCTGGTATGTAAATATGAAGATCAACAATTGCGTAGTTGTTAATAGTTTTTCATATTCAACTGTACTAGTCAAGGTCAGGTTGTAAAGTTGGTGTAGAAAATTATAATCAACAAGTTACAAAAATTTAGTAACAACTTCAGGGAATATAATGAAGAGTAAATACATATAATTCAGAAGCATAATAAGCAATGCGACAAGAGTATGTTCCCAATTGTTGATCACGATAAACAAACAACAAATGCTGTTATTATTTTGAAATTTTTTATAGATGAAATTCTTTAGCCTTAATCTTAATAGCTTACCAATTCACCCCTATTAGATTCACAGTCACTTAAATATAATGGTGCTCCTGATCCACCATGTTTTCCATCCAGACATAGTTGTGTACCGATATTTGTCAATTTTCCTGACGCTCCTGCTGGAGGTTCTACCATTGGATAATGCCTACAAAACAGAATATTATCAACTTGAATATTCACAATTTTGTTATTATTTCACATATTAGTACCGAAAATGTAAAAAAAATGTAAAACAAATAATTGAAATGTGCAACGGAGGGTTTAGGCCTGTATGTTAGAATAGAGTAGCACGTTACTAACTACTGCTCCTTTTCATCTACATATATACAAGTGGATTGATTTGCATGTGATTATCGGTATAGACCAGGAGTGTGAAACAGGTGGCGCACTGGCCACAACCTGGCCTGTCAAGCTATTTAGTGTGGCCCGTTTCAACACTCAGATTTTTCCCCACCAAGCCGTTCTGCTCGAGCCTTTATTGGTGAAAAGCTAAGCGATAGCTGCATTTTCTTCTCTTGTATTTCCGGCGGCGCTCTGGTTGTTGTTAATTTTTTAATTCGTTTATATATGAAAAAATTATTTTTTTGTGTGGCCCAGCTAGATGTCTGAAGTTGGTTATATTTATATAACCAACCGACATAAATGTTGGACACCCCTGTAGACTATTTTGCTTGTGGAAGTCTGACTTCGGCAGACAAAAATTTTCAAAAGTGTGATGAAAGGTTTAGTTGAGAAAATAGATGGAAAAATTGACTTGAGTGAGCACAATGATTTTAAACTAAATACAACAAAATTACTCAATTGTTACCTTGGAATATCATATGCAATGGTTTCCATGAACCATTTAAATGATCGACATTGCAATTGCTTTCTTAAAGCTTTTTGCTCCGTTAAATCTCCAGCATCTATTCCTCTTACTTCGGGTTTACGTCTGAGAAGAACAAAAATAATTCATTAGAAATTGTGAACAATGTAAAGCATTTTTAATTGGACCTACAACTCTTGCAATTATCAATTACACTCTTTTTTTTATTAGCAAAACGTCAATAAGGCGTGAATAGATACTTTATTTCAAAAAAATTCACAGGGTGATCAGAGGTGCGATGGCGATTGTATTCCTAAAGGCCGGGATACACGACAGTGTGCGAACTCACCGCAGCGTATTTTTTTGGTTTGTTTTATGTTATTCGTCTGCGGTGGACTGCGTTTCGTTGGGCTGCGTTTATCTGAGTTGGCGAACACTTGAGTAGCGTTTTCTGACCGCAGTTCACCGTACTGACAGTCTTGCTCGGCTCGTTCTGGTGGTTTTCTGAGACAACTGGTTGTATTTCATGTGACAAGCGAAAGTTTTGTGCTAATTTATCGTTTTCGAGTTGCTTCTATAACGATAGAAGTTTAGTCCCACTAGGGCTACCGGTTACCGTGCGGTATGTAATATCACTAGTACCGGTATGATAACGGTACATTGGTACGGTAACGGTATGATATGCGGGATACTTTGTGTTGTCAAGTGTGTTCTTATCGTTGATGGTTATTCCAAATCGTTCAGCTTACACCTATTCGATTTTTTTTACCAGATTTTAACTGAACATTGAATATTAAATTATGGACCCATAGGGTACGGTATCGGTACGTACGGAAGACAGGTCTGACGTCACGATTAGCGCATACCGCACAGTGCGAAGAGTCGCGGTGCGGTGAGTTATAATGCTGTCGTGTATACCGGCCTTAATGCACAGCATGATGTGCCACACCGCTGAGCCGAGTTGAAGAATGTTTGATGTTCTTGTTTCTTAATAGTTTTCAGAAACTGGCGAATCATTTTCAGTAAAACTGTTATACTCCAAATTTGTATTTCTTGTAATGAAGCTATTTCAAATTATTTCTGTAATCAAGATTTAAAATATCAAAGTTGTTCCAAGCATCCATGCTAATAAGTCAAAGATGCTTCAAGCCAGCAACTTACTTATAATAATATTCTGCATATTCATCCCACCAGGTATCAATGACCCTCTTGTAGTTCTGATAAAAACAATAAATAGGTTACTTTACAAATGTATACTATTTGCTTGTACAGGGCAACCCCAAAAATATTTCTTATTTATTTTCATTAAACGAAAAAAATTTATGTTGTAAACAATCGAATATTGTTTGTGTATGATTGTACACAAAAGTTTAGTAATCCAGGACACTTCGCACAAGTTATGTTCTCCTTAAAATATGTGCCAAATAACCCAGGTTCTTTTTTGCAGATCATCCTGTGAAAAACCAACAGGTTATGAGTATTTTGATACCTAGATGCAGTTTAATATGTCCGTTGTAAAAGAATTCATGAAAGATATCATAGCTATTGAAGAAAAATTTATGTGTAATATCAAACAATGCAGCCTCATCAGAAACTTTCCAATGTTTCAAGTCATATGAATAATAAAGAATGTTATTTGCCAAAACCATCATTTTCTATTGTTTTCAAACCCAAGTACATTAAATAGAGTTTCACATACATAGAGCATAGAGCACATAAAAATTGACAGCTTCCAAAATTCACTCGCTTCGGTCGCTCAAACATTACACATCAATAATTTTTATTCTCTTTATAATACGTCTGACGCCATCTATAACCTATCAAAGCGCTTGCTCTAATACTAGTATAATTATTCTAGTTATCCAACTAAAAAGCAATAAATTTCATGATGTTTAACCATTACACATGACTTCCAAACACAAAAACAATAAAATAAATGGTCCTCACCCTCGATACCGCATCCCTAGGTACATATGAAGGTGGCGGATTTCCACGCCACCCTGGTAGTCTGTATATGTGTCCAACTCTTGAACATGGCACAAATAAAAGTTGACCACCACACATCCACAACTGAAAATTTCGAATTGAAGAAAGTTATGTAATCTATCTAATTGCTGATGCATAATGTCTTTTTAAAGTTGGATTTAAGACAAAGTCCCTATTCACTACACTGGAAATAGGCAGAGAATAAAAGGATATTCATATTTATTATTTATCCTGAGAAAGGACCATAGATGCCTGTTTAGTTATCAATTCAGATTGAAGGATGTGATCACCTTCTATGGATTTAATCTCACCATGCGAGTAAATTGGATATTCAACAATAATTGGCAACTGACGACTCATATATGCCACAGAATAACAAATTCAAAACAAATATATTTCAGATAAATCAGTCATTTACTATGTATTTCCTGATTGGATGATTTTTATTCTCAGATTTTTAAATAATATTCTATGTAACATAATTAGACCACAGACATTTAATCTGACTATATTATTAAAATGAAGTTAAAAAGCTATTTGTAAGTAAATACCTTGTATGAAATTTCAAAGTTTTCACCTCCCCACACTTCAAGACCATTGTCATACATTCCAATCTCATAAAAATATTTTCTATCTATCGCAAATAATCCTCCAGCCATTGCGGGTGACCTGAACAATAATTGTAAAAAAATACAGAATTAGACACTTGTCATCTACAACAGGAGTGTGCAACCTCTACTACAGGAAGACCGGATACAAAGAACTGGGTGGGCCGCACCTTTATTTAACATGGGCTTTCCAGAAGTTGAAAAAAAAAAAAATTTCGCGAGCCGCACACCATTCGAAATTGGCACTTCTCCGCGGGCCGCAGGTTGCACGCCCCTGATCTACAATATACATTACCAATATCTTAGCAAGAACCGTAAATTTAGATCATTTTCAAGAAATTTGAATAATTTGGTACTAACATGTTCAAGCTGTCTTCAAGTTTTCAATATGTGAATGATGAGGATTTATGTATTTGTTAACTTACATGTTATAATCAAAATAAATTACAGAATAAATAATAATATATCATGAACAATTCAAGTTAAAAATTACCTATATGGTTCTGTCAGATGTTTTCTTCTGGCTTTTTCTCTCTGTGTCAATGGAATTCTCTTCCACTGAAAAGTCCAATCCCAAGCACCTCTAGCAAAACCATCATGGTCTCCACCAGCTTGTTCCGTGAAAGTATATCTGGGAGGCAAACAAGAAAACCATCATGAAATTGAACACGAAGATCCATAAAAAATGCAGACAGTCGTATCTATCTTAATAATGAGTTGGGTTGCGTGTGACTAACTCCCTATCTTTCTTCTATGCTTTTATGGTAGTGGATCCATATGCATATAATGCCGTAGCAGCAATAAATACGACTATACTATGCCATTCAAGAGTCCTGCTGCACACTAACACAAATGTATTTCTGTAACGTTTCATCTGAACAAAGTCAGACTTGCCCAGACAAGCAGTTTACAACACTCTCATATTAAATAAACAGACCAAGAACACTTGAGCATGGGGAATTTACCCGATTATGTTAGACCACAAGTTAGAGATCTCTGGTCCATCTCCCCATGTCCATCACCTCAACTAGGGTGTAACATTTGCATTTGCAATGTTGATATAAAAAGATGTTAGATTTCTACACATGAATGACGTCTTGTTCATAGCAAAAACAATGATTAAATAATTCAATCATTTCCGGTACAGCAAAAGAAAACTACTTACTTGTTTCCATCAATTACATCAACCAATGGTACAGTGCATGCTCGTCTATCATTCATAATTGGAGTAATTAATGGAGGCAACCAGTTTGGTCCTACTTCACAGTGAGCATCAAGATACACAAGAATCTGAAATTTGAATAAAAATGAAATTTTGCTGAAAGAATTTGCTCACATATACTCAATCAGAAGTGAAGGAGACTCATTTCAGAACAAAGTTACAGACACCACTGAAATTGTTCTAGGATTTCATTTCAGTTTTAATTCATTTCAATATTTTAACTTGTAGGGATACAGAAATTAAAAGTATAAAAATACAGTAAAATCACAGGCATTTCATGGTAATTATAACCAAACCTTTAAATTATCAGATGAAATTTAATTTCAAAAACCCTACCGAGGTATGGATATTGAATATTATAGCCTACTATGTATAGTTTGAAAAAACAATCATTACTAGGAATATTATTGAAGTGAATTTTTATATAAGATACCAAAAAAGAGTGACAAAGTGAGTACACTTGTGAGAATAGTACAAGATATTATAAAATCCTACATCTCCTGTAGCTTTCTTGCCACCAATACTCCGGGCTCTAATAAGTCCTTCTCTCCTTGAATTTCTGTACAATTTCACCAATCCATTAAATCTTTCCAAATAATCTGAAAGTTGTTTGCCCAAATGTGCTGGAGGTATAAAAATGAGAAATTTAATGTAATATTAGACGCAACAACACATGACACTCGTTATGTCCCAAATGAAACTTTACTAAAATAATTTTGGTTAATTTGATAATATTGATATGATCCACAACTGATGACAATTCTATTAAAAAATGACACAAGTTCAAGTTTAATTTGAATCCAGAAATGAAACAGTTTGCTGAAAAGTTATTATTTATTCATACATGAAAATGCCTCATTAAAAATTGGGATACCTTAAAATTCAAATATTCAATTTACAGAATTGTCTGACCATTTAGAAATACGGTAATAATTTTTTGAAATGATTTTGGACGTAGGCAGACTTTTGCCAAGGAAATATGAAAAGATGAGACAAAATGAATGTCAATTTTAAGAATTCTAATTAAATCTATACTACATAATAGAGATAATTTGTGTAAACATTGAAAAGTACTATATATTCCAAGTATTACATTTACTGGTTTTAATTTGTGAAACAAACAAATTTTGAGAGGCAATTCCAGTAATCTGTATTTATTTCACTTTCTCTTGCTTAAAATATAAACTGTACGTACAAAATGTAGAGCATGAACTCATAAATGGCAATTTAAAATGTAGGGAGAGACGAAAACTAAATGGAATTATCAAGCGGCAAAACCCTCAGTTTTTATTATCTGAATTCCCCAAAACACCACACAATTTCTAACAGCATAACTAATTACCACTTACGTTTTTTACTGCCATCATCAATCATAACAACCTCGTGAAGAAGTTTTCTTGGAGTTCCATTGATGACGCTGTGAACAGTTCTGACGAGAGGAGACCAACCTTCATTATGGAAGACAAGAACAACACTGACCGAGGGTAGATGAGCTGGATAATCCCAATGTTTACATCTAAAAACGAAATATAATTAGATCACATATATTTAAAAACAGAGTGAAGTGAAAATGACCCCATTTATGGGACCAGAAGTGTACATATGGATCATTTTGTTATTATGTTTTTCTAGTTAAAATTCTTTTTCTCATTCTTGTTCGTGTTGATAAGGTATGAAAAAATCGCTTCTCTCATTAATCACTGGACCAATAGCTTTGAAATTTTCAGTGATTGAAGATTGAATATTTCTTTAGAAGGCCTATTCCTATTTTGCTATGCAATCTGATATTTCACCAAAAATTCAGCTGTTTTATTTTTATTCATGGGAACATGTTTTATGACATCGTGATGGCTGGTACGTGTAGTCCACTGTGACAGATTGCATACCCATACCACATCACTTTGGCCTTCTTGTCCATATATTTGAGCATTGCCGTCATGTTTTTATGTGTGTGATAAATCCAGTAATGCACTACATAAACATGACATTTGGCCTGCTGACATTTACTGATCATATGCAGTATGGTGTTCTCATTTGAAAGTCATTCTAGATTTTTGCTGTTTTTTGGACACTTAGTAAATGTTTAAGTAAATAAAGTTTAAGACACCACTTCCTTATTTCTGAGTTGGGTTCCTCACATTGAAAATTACGGTAATATACACTATTATTTCAAATAATAATCGATAAGTATTTTTGGACCAGATAAAAACGATAATAAGAAGTTTTTTTTTGTAAATAACCGGTACTAATATCAGGGTAATATTCAAAATTTGTTTATCAATGCGTCAAAATATTATCAATTTTTTATTTAAACTTTTAATAAAATACCAAATGCCAGTAATGACGCATTATGACTCATATTTGAAATATCATCTAAAAATATAAATATTAGTTATCTTTAGACATTATATAATCGATAGAAAAGTTTTAAATTTCACAAAAAATTGTCTGCCATAATTCAATCAATATTCATATGCATAATTTAACATTTGAATACAATTTAAGTTTTTTCATGAATTTATTATTACATGATTAGAATTGGCCAACCATGCTGCACAATTATATTATACAGTTCAAGATCGGCCAAGGTAACTGATGAAAGAGACAAGTTTGTCTAAAATTATAAACAACATACTGAGGGTGTCGTAAGTCTTTCGGTGCTCTATCAAGTGAAATTCGATCACTTGCAACTAAGTTGAATCCAAATTCCCCAATTGCTTCTTTAACACTGGAATCTAAACTTTTGTCCAACTCCACAGCTTCACCATATTCACCTGCACCGGCTCTCCTGAAAAAGTATAGTCATATAAATATTTTTAAATTACTGTAGGCATCATCAACATTTTATGATTTATTCTTACAGAGAACCCTTAACAATAAATATGTTTCATAATCCTTTTTCTTTAATTAATGATTTGTATAAAAAGAATAAAAGGCTTTTCCGTTAGACACAGTTAACCAAGTTTCGAATACTCAATTACTTGAAAGTTTGAAGCGTTTTATTGTTGCGATTTGTCGCTATACTAAAATTAGGAAAACTATGACAAAAAGAAAATTTTGTCGGATTTTTTGTATGACCAAGTAGCCCACACAATTCCTTGTTGTTGCATATACAACATTCAAAGTCAACAAATCTTTGAAAAGTTATGTTTGACTAATATTGTTAAAAGTTACAACATGTAAGTTGTAAAAAATAGATATATAATTGAGGAACCTACTTTTGCTCAGGCAATTCTTTCTCATAATTTCCAATGTTATCTGAGACAAAGATAGGATATTCATAATCTGATGGACCCTGAAAAAATTGCATAGCAAAATATGTATATACAATTACCCATAAAGAAATTTGAAATAACAGGAAATTTTAAAGTAATAATATCTGAACGAGAATATCAGTTGGAAACCGAAGACTTATCGATCGATAGTTAAGGGATCCCCCAAAACAGAAACTGCAGTTTCGATTCATCCGCTCTTGTAACTTGCGCACTGCGCATCGCACACACACACTCGGCGGGTTTCAAAATTCTCTCGCTTTACAAAAATCTAGATCACTATATCAATAATTGATTGATAACTCGCTAATTATATGACATAATTCGCCCAAAATCAATAGGCTTCTGGTCCGAGATAAGATGAATGCACATGCAAAATCTGGAGCAGATTCAATCTCGCTTTCGTGAGATATCGCGTGCATCTAACAGACACACAGACAGACAGACATACAGACAAATACCTATCAATATACTTACCGATCTTAAGATCGATAAGTAATAACTGTTTTAATTAGGTTTATTACATCTTTACTCCACTGTAATAAAGCCACTGTACTAAATAAACTACTACATTTTACAAACCCTAATTTTTTTTTTCAATTTAATAAACTCTGGGTGTGGGGATGAGTGCAGCTGTTCAGTCTAAAGCAATTACCTACAATGCAAGCATAGTTAAGCCATGTTTGCTGAGTGACACATATTAATAGCATCTTATCATTGGCATAGTATAACCTTATGATAATAATTTATTCTAAACAAAGCAAAACCTTTCCAGCAAAATTGATATAGATAGCTAGAACAATGTAACGTATTATAATAAGTGTAACTAGAAGCACCCTGCCAATATTGTTTACTGCGCTTTTGCATTGGAGCAGAACTTTTCTAGTTACAAGTTTTGTGTGATCCATGAGAACAGGAATGAGGATATATGGAACGAGGAAACACAAATCTAGGTTAACAAATGCTTTTTTTATTTCACTTATCATCTTCTTTGCCACAAGCCCATTTATGGTTGTATGTTAGATCCTCTATACTGTGTGTTTCATTAAAAGCCACCTAGTAAAGCAATTCATATATATTATGTGAATCTATTGATCCTTTTTCAACCTCCTCTGTCATGACTGTGACATGCATGTTCCTTAAAGCCTGACAGTATAAACAAAAAAGTCACGTAATTTACGTCTTGTTTATAAAGTATAGAATCATCATACAAGTCACAAACACATGCAGAATGCAAGGCTTGCAATGAATAGGATGTACTATGACTTGGTTAAGTAAGGATGGTAACTGTGCAATGTTTATTAAAAGATTAGATGTTAAGGATAATTCTCCACATTGCTTCCCATTTAAACATCGACTTACACCGAGTAGCCTAAAATGTATATGAATCATATTAATAACTCATTATTTCTAAATAGCCAGTATAAGAAGATATATGATGGTGGATTCTTTCACTCACATGCAGTAGAAAAACCTTAATAAAAATACAATATTTCCCAGCTAATGAGTTTGGACCACAAATAAGATAAAGGCGATTTTTAGCATTGAATATCGGGATTTTCCATACTACTACCAAATTGGTCAAACAAAAAAATTAATTCTTGTTCACCAGTTGAAGCACCAAAGCTCGCTCATAATTTTATTTTATATGGAATCAGACATGACCTGCTTCTAGTCAACCACGAGTGCATGCGGACAAGGCTTTACGTTTTTCAAGTTAAAATTCATTTTGACTTGATTCAATGATTCTTGCATAAAAACTGATGTTGGGCATAAAATTTTTAGGACACAGGCAACAGGTCAATGACTTCGTTTTATGAATGGCCATATTTAATGTTGTTGTGAGTTGGCAAAATACCAATTTTGGTGGAAAGCAGGCCCAATGCTGCAAAAAATCACAAACATCTCCATTAGCAGACAAATGGCAAAGTTCAAGCAAATATCGATTTTCATGATTAAGCAAGATAATAATGCCAGGCCATCCTTTAATACTTCCAATAATACATCAATTCAGTGACAGAATAAATTTGATATCGAATACAGTATTTTCCGACTAATATAAGTCTACCTGGCAAATGAGACTATGTTTATTTTTAGCACCGAAATGTTTTTTTCTATATAAAGGTAATAACTTTATGTGGTTAGAACCAGGCCATGGCTGTAGAATCATACTCACAGAATAATTAGCTATTACTAATAATAAAAGTAAATAACCATTCCAAAATAACAGCAATCATTTTGAAAGAACCTATTAACTGGAATGTTAAAATAACATGGGGATATGGGGTAATAAGTACTTCACTATACATCCATGGCTTTAGTTAACAACTGTGCTGTCCAGCCTGGTGTTGTTGAAAATACAGAAGAGTTTATCTTGTGATTGCCTTTTTCTTTTTGAAGCACAGATTCGAATTTAAATAGGTAGAGGCCTTATGGCATTGGTGATGATTGCTATAAAATTTAAAAAAAGAATATGACAAATAGTAGCTGGTATACCAAGTAATCATGACTGGCAGACAGGTGGTGTCGAATACATATATACTAAACCAAATATAACATTAACACAAATCATGCTTGAAGATTTTGCGATAATAAAAAATAAGCATAGCCCACCAATAATTAGATGAAAAAACTTGGGTTCAGAAAAGCGCCATTATAGTCGAAAAATACGGTTAATGTAAAAACTTGTGTTGCATAATGGGATTCAACTTTCTCAGAGGTTTTCAATATGAAACGCTTCTTGCACTTTGCAAAGCTATCTCAATGTTTTCCTTCATATTGAACTTAAATAAACAAATTGACGTCATGAATCTTGGATCACATTTTTTCAGACATTGCTCATATAGGCCTATAAAACTGTATTGCCGGAAGAAAAGCATGTCACATAAAGTTCGAGACAGAGTCATGACAGGGATTCATTCAGACTGATGGTTTTATATCTTAAGACGAAGTAACAGACCTATATTTGTTTGTGTATTATATACACTTGAACAAAAAATTTTTACACTCAGAGAGCTAGCTTTGATTACAACAGTGTACAGTGACTTTCCAAATCTATTGGTTTGAATGATGATAAAACTACATTACATTGAAATCTTCAAAATAATATTAAAAACAATAAAATACTGAAAACTGTGATAATTAAAAAAAAACAATTATTCCTTCATTTCATTATTCATCTAGAATTTAAATATCCAAATTGAATAAAAAGAAGATGTTTATCTTAAAAAGGGGCAGGTACATTTTGTTATTGATGTTGGTTCAAAGTTTTGAATTCATTCAGACTAAACAATGCAACATTCCAGAAGTTAATGAAGATATTGACTGGGATAATGTGAGTACATGATTTAAATTTGAAGACTTTTTGTAAATGCAGATTGATCATTCATTATCTCTCTGTAACAAAACATCAGTATTATATACATCAGTGTGTTTAGCATAAGCATATATACATTTGCTTATCAAGCAGAATCGTTTTCTTTGTTTTGACTGAAAGTATTTCCCAATCTTTGAAAGCTCACCATACTAAAGAATATTACCAGATCACTTATATTTATGTACATTTACTATGCTTCTAAAATTAGTTTTCTGAAGCCTGGTATGAAGTTCTCCACACATTTGACCCAGTAATGGATAAAGATGTATTTGGAGCAAAACTACACAATTTTACTAAAACAAGCACAGGAATGAACTTGATTGTCACAGAACTACACAAGAAGTAGGATATTTTTCAAATGAGAAATGCTTAACACAATGCTCCATTAGTCAAATTAAGTCTTATATTAATAAATTGACTAACTGTAACCAATGATGATATAATGCTAACTTTATACTTTAGTTCTCCTCCACAAACTTATGCAGTTCATCATACACGAAAGAAAGCAGGCATCTACAGAGCGGCAAATAATGATGGTATATATTTTGAATTAACTTTTTTATCAAAATTGGCATAATATTCTAGTCAGAAAAATGAATTTTTTTTTGAAAACAGAACCAGCTATCAAAGCATCACAATCTTTAACTCCGGAGGGTGGAAGAAGTGAAGATGCAGCGAAAATAGGTAAAATTGTTATTAAAAGTAGAATGTTATTTGATCTTCATTCTATATTTTTATTTCTTGATATTCAGATGATGCTCTGTTCAGTGGTGATTTTCTGATTTTAAGTGATGAGGAGAATTATATGATTAATGCATTCTGCAGCTATGCAGGTATATAAATAAATACTGTATCACCATCTTATGCAACGAAACTATGGTAAGAGCAATAGTAATGAGCATTGTTCTAAACTAAAGCAACTGTGATCAAGAGTGCAGGTAGTATCTTTTGAGGTGTGATATGCTGGAATTAAAACGTCGATTCAATTGTGCAATGCGCAACATCGTAAGGCATTTGAAGAACCAAAAATTATGTGTCGTTAACAGCAAAATGTTGTTTAATAAATTGCATTGTGGCTTGTATATCATCTCACAACAGTGATAATTTTGTTTTATGATTGCTTTAAAGTGAGAAAAGAGAATACGCCTTCTTTTATCGGTACATGTCTAGAACAAATTTTCATGTGATTCGTAATATTGATTGTGATTCCACAATCGTTATTGAGGTTTTTGTCAGTCAAAGAAGAAATATCTTTGTGTGATATAATTTCACACCACATTATTTTGGATCTTCCTCAATCGGCAATTCTAATAAATCAGTGGTTTACAACCTTTTATGGCTACTGATGATATGGTCTATAAATTTATTACCGTATAGTAATGTTGCCAGCATTTTCACCAAAATATGACATGTAAAATTTTCCCACTGCAGTCTTAATTGTAACCTGTACCAATGTATTTCAGATGAATGGGTTGTCTGGGTGGCTTTTCCATCTATGAATCCAACAATTCAGCAACTCACTCTGATGTGGAACAAACTCATGGAAAAACAAATCAATGTACAACTTTACCTTTCAGAATCAGTTAAACATCCAGAGAATTTCATGGGTTTTAATAGATGAAAATTCTATGAAAATTGCAGATATAATTATGTCTATCATGTATTTATCTACTACATCAACTTATATAATCAGCAATGTTTGCAATATATTTGCCTGTTAATTCATCAATAAAAATTGTGGATGTGAAAAGAACTTATTTCAGACAATATTCAAAAAAATTTATTTAAAAATCAACTATGCAACAATGCAACAACAACAATGCAAAGTAAAATTTTGCATATACGAGGTGTGGCTAAAAAGAAACGAGACTGACGTCACAGATTGCGCAACACGATTAACCATTGGTAATCAACACTTTTACAGTGTGGTGTAATATGTGTTCTTTGTTCAACAGCTTTTTTGACACAATATCGCAATTATTTTTGCTCTTTAGGAGCCATAGGTGAATGTGATTAATTGCTTGTTGAAAAAAAAATTGCCGTGCGAGATCTGATTGAGTTTTTTGGCGATAGGGGGTTCAATTGCAGAATGACGATTGAGCAATGAATTAACATTAAATTTTGTGTCAAACTTGGAAAAACGGCGACTGCGACTTTGAAGAAATTGTGTGATGTTTATGGAGATTCTTCCATGTCCAGAACAAGAGTTTTTGAATGGCACAAGCGATTTGTGGGATGCAGGGAGGATGTGGAGGATGATTCGAAGTCAGGAAGGCCTTGCACTTCCACAACTGATACCAACATCGAAAAGGTATCAGTTGTGAGTTCAGTTGTGAAAGGCAGTTGATTCGCAGCGACCGTCGCTCAACAATTCGCGTCATTGCGAAGTTGGAAAAGACAAAAAAAAACGGTTCGCACCAGTTTGGTTGACACTTTTGGCTTGTGAAAGGTGAGTGCCAAAATGGTGCCAAGGCTGTTGACTGAGGAGCAGAAAGCTCAACGATTAAATGTTGCCCAGTTGACATGCATTTTTCCAAGTTTGACACAAAATTTAATGTTAACTCTTTGCCCAATCGTCATTCTGCAATTGAACCCCCTATCGCCAAAAAACTCAATCAGATCTCGCACGGCAATTTTTTTTTCAACAAGCAATTAATCACATTCACCTACGACTCCTAAAGAGCAAAAATAATTGCGATATTGTGTCAAAAAAGCTGTTGAACAAAGAACACATATTACACCACACTGTAAAAGTGTTGATTACCAATGGTTAATCGTGTTGCGCAATCTGTGACGTCAGTCTCGTTTCTTTTTAGCCACACCTCGTATGTCATAAGCCTTGAAAATGTTTCGGAATCTATTTATTAACGGTAATAATTGCAATAAAAAATCTATCTAGTCTCTCGTTCTTTTCATGATTAATGCTTTCTTCAAAGTTGACAAGATTCAAAAGCCACAAAATAGTAATGTCGTAAGTAGCTATCAAAGTGCAAAGATTTCTGATGAATTTATAAATTATTCAACTGTTGAATAGCTCATCTGATGCAACACTTTCAATTATAATGGTACACTGAATCAATACTAGAAGCATATCTAGCTGTGATTATTATTTTAACTCCCCTTTGTTCCTAACTACAAGTACTAGCAATTCTTCAACGTTTTTAGATGAGTGGTATTTATGAACCTAAACTCAACAGTTTTTCAGTTCAAATTTACTCAAAGGAGAGTCACATGCACTCACTCAAAAACAAAGAGAATTAATCTCTGAAAAGTTCATATACTTCATGACAATACAGTTAGAAAACAGCTATGACAAAGTGACTTCACATAACTTGAAAATTCTCTGCAAAATTGTCAACTTTTTGGTCTGGCATGTACGCTAATAGACTTTGGGTTACAACTGAAAGCTAATGAAGTTTGATGACTAAAAACATTTAGGACCAAGTTCTGAAAGTCCAAAAGATCACATCTCAAATAAGCACAAAAACACAAAAAATTTGCTACTTTTATGAATACTTTTAGCAGGTTTATTACTATATCAAATGAGCACAAGCCCAGTGATTTTTGCAAATTAAATTGTGACGATCCGTCCAAGTTCGTCTGTTTTTTCATTCTTCCCATCGACAGTGATATTATTAGAATTAATATACCGATTGATTGACAAAACGTTTGACCTCCATTCTCCAGCGATATTAACCTACAACGCAAGCATAGTTAAGCCATGTTTGCAGAGTAACACAAATCAATTGCATCTATCATTGGCATTGGATAACCTCATGATAATACTTTATTCTCAACAAAGCAAAACGCTTCCCGCAAAATTGATATAGATAGCTGAAAGAATGTAGCAAGTAGTATCCATTATAATAAAGTTTAAATAAGTGTAACTACAAGACAATGTGTTTTTTGTGCTTTTTAATTCTCTATGAAGTGTGTGATCAGAACTTTTAGCGTTACAAGTTTTGTGTGACTCAGTGAGAACTGGAATGTGGATATATCATTATATCATACAAAAATCCATAACAAATGCTTTCTTTATTTCACTTGTAATCTATTCTATGTCACAAGCCCATGTGCAGCAATTCCATAAATTAGTTGAAATTTTAGTAAAAATTATATCTTGCGTAATTGAAATATTAAACTGCAGAAAGTGTAGGACATATCTTGGAAGTTTTTAAAATCGCATGAGAAGGTACAGATAGGGCTCAAAATAATTGTTTTATCTTCAGCGGTGGTTATCTTAATTGATGGTTTTCTGCCTAATTTTCTTCAGTTTAGTAACATAAACTCTCATGATATTTATGTTACCTTAAAATGTATTTGTTTAACCAAAGTATGTGTTAAGTTTTACTTCTGATATCTGTGCTTAATCTAAATATTGTAATGTGCACTATTGGCTAAACAGCTATTGGTGCACTGGGATAAACAGAGTTGATGGAAATTTGCCTCTGTGACGCGTCACTCCGTGACAATTTTTCAACTTTATTTTAATTATCTGATATATTTCAATAACTATTTGCCTCAAAAACTGAGACGTCACTTTGGGGGTCGGGGCCCAATAATTTACCAATTTGGCAGTTGATAGTTGCTTGTTGTTTATTCGCAGTACTTCAAGAGATCTCGTCACTCCGTGACGTCACGGAGTGACAAAAGTATGCCATTTTTTTAAAAATATTATTATTCTGTACGCGAAGACAGAAGTACTATAATATTGGGTTTAACCTGCAAATTCTTCCGCTTTGCCCTCTTCTTACTTTCGATCTTACCCACAAGGAAACTTGGAAGACATGATTAAATGGCAATGGCAACTTTTTTAAAACTGTCAGTGACCACAATATTTGACCTAACATGTGCCGGTTTTGGACAATATGAAAGAACTTATTGTAGACTGCAATTAGAAAAAATATGTGATCTGTTAGAATGGCAGAATAAATATGGTAAAATGCATTGATTTACAATATAAGGTGATATTTTTATAATTCACAAACAATATTAAATCTCAAGTTTTAACATCGGTATCTGGATTTTGGTTTATATTCATTCATCGGGTTAACTCATAGGATGCGAAAAATCATGAAATGTAGAAGAATTAAGATTTTGTCAAAAATTGAAGATTGTTCCAATTAGAAAACGCCAGTGCATCACTCATTGTCACCAATAATTCTTTTCATGTGCCAACTATATCATAAAGCTGAAAAACACAAAAATGATGCAATAACGAGTTTTCGCAGTGACATACTTATCACTGTCTTCTTGTTCTGAATATGCAGATTAAAAATACTGTGTTTGGGGCCGACTGCTGCTATGTGTGCTTTGCAAGCAGACGGCAAGTACTACCTAACAAGAGAGACTTCAACGCAAGAGAAAAAGGTTTTCTATGGTTAATAAATTAGATATCTAAATTACAAAAATCGTCGAATGGTGCGAAGATGCTTAAACTGAATTGCATTAATGAATCCTCCAGATTCTATATTTTGAATTGCCCATACTTAGTCATGTCACTGCAATAAGATTCCAAATATATAGGAGTGGAATAGTTATGTCTGTTTCATGCTGGCTGTGCAACATGGCTTTTTACTTAACTATACAGATTATTAAAGTTAGTGCAATCGTTTAGCATATTAATATGAGGGAGACACAAGCAGAACGACAAAAAATATCATGTCTCCTAATTTTTTGTTCAAAAGTTTTTCTAATTTCAAACAAATAACCAATTTTGACTACTCACAACTAATTGTTCAACTTTCTTAATACCATTTAATGATAAGGAATTTTTGTCACTCTGTGACGTCACGGAGTGACATGCGACTAGTTGGGCTGTATAATTGGGCTGCTTCCTGAAAAATGCTTGTTGTACAATAAATTTTGCACAAATGTAGGAATTAATATCTCTAGAATACAGAGACAATATACCGAAGGGTTTATCTTGTGATAGCCTTTTTCTTTTTGAAGCACCGATTCGGATATTAATAGGTAGAAGCCTTATCGCATAGTGATGATTGCTATTAAATTTTCAAAAAGAATATGACAAATGATTGCTGGTAGTATGAGGTCAAATATATACCGGTAATCATGACTGGCAGACCGTGTTGTGTCGAATACATATATATTAAACCAAATATAAAATTAACACAAATCATGCTTGAGAAGATTTTGCGATAATAAAAATAAGCATAGCCCACCAATAATTAGATGAAAAAACTTGGGTTCAGAAAAGCGTCATAATAGACGGAAAATACGGTGAATGTAAAAACTTGTGTTGCATAAAGGGATTCAACTTTCTCAGAGGTTTTCAATATGAAATGCTTCTTGCACTGTGCAAAGCTATCTCAATGTTTACCTTCATATTGAATTTAAATAAACAAATTGAAGTCATTGATCACAGTTTTTTCAGACATTGCTCATATAGGCCTATAAAACTGTACCGCCGGAGGAAAAGATTGTCACATAAAGTTCAAGACAGAATGAAGAGTCCTGGCAGGGATTCATTTAGACCAGGGGCGTGCAACCTTTTTTGTAGTGGAGCCAGATATCGATAACTGGGTAAAACCGCGGGCCGCAGACACAGAATAGTGTCTTTTTGTTATTGATCTCATGGCATTATTGGAGGTCCTTGCAGAAATGAAGGGTTGAAACGCAAAAGTGTTTGATAACTCTCATTCAAATTTAAACAAATTGAGTGAGAAATTAGCTGCTGGATTATTTTCCCGACTACCTTTATCCAAATTTGCTTTAATGTAAGTGCTAGTAATTTGATATTTATTTCCAAGTCTTTTTTTTCCAGGCGGTTTTATGAGGCCCACTTTAGAAAAAATATGTTGAGCCGAAATTGTAACGCCATATGCATAGATAATAAATTGGACTCGGATATAAGCTTTGCCACGCAAAGGGAACCGGATTGAAATAAATTAAAAACTCATTCCACTGGCTGGACACCATTTAAAGTTAGCACTTCTCCACGGGCCGCACAATTTTTTCTTGCGGGCCGCATTTGGCCCGCGGGCCGCACTTTGAACACTCCTGATTAAGACTGATGGTTTCATGTCTTACACGAAGTAACAGACCAATATTTGTTTGTGTATTATATACACTAAAACAATATTTTTTTACACTCATAGAGCTAGCTGTGATTTCAACAGTGTACAGTAACTTTTTCAATCTATTAGTTTAAAAATAAAACTACATTACATTGAAATCTTCAAAATAATATTAAAAACAATAAAATACTGAAAACTGTGATAATTAAAAAAAAACAATTATTCCTTCATTTCATTATTCATCTAGAATTTAAATATCCAAATTGAATAAAAAGAAGATGTTTATCTTAAATAGGGGCAGGTACATTTTGCTATTGATGTTGGTTCAAAGTTTTGAATTCATTCAGACTAAACAATGCAACATTCCAGAAGATAACGAAGATATTAACTGGGACAATGTGAGTAAATTCTTGAAATTCATAACTTTTGAAGACTTTTGTGAAGTAGAATAAAAACATGGTATTATCTCTCTGTAACAAAACATTAGTATTATATAAATCAGTGTGTTTAGCATAAGCATATATAAATTCGTTTATCAATGAGAATTGTTTTCTTTGTTTAAATTAAAATTATCGCCCATCTTTGAAAACTCACTATAATGAAGAATGTAATCAAAACAGTTATGTTCATGTACATTAATTATGCCTCATCCAATGACAGTTTCCTAATGCCTGGTACGAAGTTCTTCATACTTTTGACCCAGTAATGGATAAAGATGTATTTGGTGCAAAACTACACAATTTTACCAAAACAAGCACAGGAGTGCAAAAGATGGTCACAGAACTACACAAGAAGTAGGATATTTTTTACATGAGGGATAGTTAACATATTGCTAATTCAAATTAAGTCTAATATTAATCAATTGACTAACTGTAACTAATTACAATATAATGTTAACTTTATATTTCAGTTCTCCTCCACAAACTTTTACAGTCCACTATACAAAAAAGGAAGCAGGTATCTACAGATTGGCAAAGGATGATGGTATATATTTTGAGCTAACTTTTATTTTAATAATAATCTAGTAAGAAAAATGAGATTTATTCGAATTTCCAAACAGAACCATCGTTCCAAGCATCACAATCTCTAACTCCAGAGGGTAGAAGAAGTGAAGATGCAGCAAAAATAGGTAAAAATGTTATTGAAAGTTATTAAAAGTAGAATGTAATTTGATATCTTCATTCTATATTTTTATTTCTTGATATCCAGATGATGCTCTGTTCAGTGGTGATCTTCTGATTTCAAGTGATGAGGAGAATTACATAATTTATGCATTCTGCAGCTATGCAGGTATATAAATATTACTGTATCGCCATCTTATGCAACAAAACTATGGTAGGAGCAATAGTAATGAGCATTGTTCTGAACTAGAGCAACTGTGATCAAGAATGCACCTAGTATCTGAGCATTGTTCTGAACTAGAGCAACTGTGATCAAGAATGCACCTAGTATCTCTTGAGATGTGATATGCTGGAATTAAAACATTGCTTCAATTGTGCAATGCGCAACATCGTAAGGCATTTCAAGAAATAAATATTGTGTGTCGTTAACAGCGAAATGTCGTTTAATAAATTGCATTGTGGCTTGAATAAAATCTCACACCGGTGTTGAATTTATTTTATGATCGCTTCAAAGTGAGAAAAGACGATACACCTTCTCTTATTGGTACATGTCTGAAACAAATTTTCATGTGATTTTGTAATATTAATTGTAAAAAAAAATCAATGGACGATTCATACCCTACACTCATTTATTAACATCGGAACCTGGGACATGGATGTGCAATTAACAGACTTTTGTACGCTGTCATTATGTACCTTTCTGTCTTGTGTATCACACCTAAGTTTTCATTGTATATTTATTTCATGTCTATTGTCCTAGTAAAATGCAGCAGTCCTAAACTGTTGTTACGCATGTGAAGGGTACATATCGCACAACTGTGTCCGGAAAAGTAAGATCTTGAATATGTCTTTCTGATTATTATTATCCAGATGCTGTTACATTTTTGAGGCAAATAAACAGTATGAGAAGTATACACATACGAGTACTCTTGCTGGATTACAATCAACAATCGCACCTTCATATTTTTCGCTAATTCGTTAATAATTTTTTGTCACTCGAAGAAGAAATATCTTTCTGTGATATAATTTCACACCACATTATTTTGAATCTTCCTCAATTATAATAAATCAGTGGTTTTCAACCTTTTATGGCTACTGATGATATAGTCTATAAATGTATTATAGTAATGTTGCCAGCATTTTTACCAAAAAATGACATGTAAAATTTTCCCACTGCAGTCTCAATTCTAAACTGTACCAATGTATTTCAGATGAATGGGTTGTCTGGGTGGTTTTCCCATCTATGAATCCAACAATTCAGCAAGTCACCCTAATGTGGAACAAACTCATGGAAAAAGGAATCAATGTACAACTTCATCTTTCAGAATCAGTTGAACATCCAGAGAATTTCATGGGTTTTTAATAGATGAAAATCAGTACAAAACTGCAGTTATTATTATGTGTATCATGTATTCATCTACTACATCAACTTATATAATCAGCAATGTTATGTCCATTTTATCCCTATATATTTGCCTGTTAATTCATCAATAAAAATTGTGGATGTGAGAAGAATTCATTTCAGATTGTCATCAAAATAAGTAAATTTATAAATCAACTACTGTTTATTAACATAGAGCAGCAACAACACGGAGAAAGAAATTTTGCATATATGTCATAAGCATTGAAAATGTTTCTAAATTAATTTATTAAAGGTAAAACGTGCAACAAAAAATCTATCCAGTCTCTCGTTCTTTTCATGATTAATGTTTTCATCAAGGTTGACAAGATTCAAAAGTCACAAAATAGTAAATTGAAGTCACTCAGGGGTAATATTGTAAGTAGCCATCAAAGTGCAAAGATTTCTGATGTATTTGTAAATTATTGTCAACTCATCTGATGCAACACTTTCAATTATCATGATACTTCAAATAAGAATCTTTAAATCCATCCTAGAAGCATATCTAGCTGTGATCATTAATCTTACTCCCCGTTGTTCCTAAATACAAGTACTAGCTATTTTTCAACGGTATAGATGAGTGGTATCTATAAACCTAAACTCAAAACAGTTTTTAGTTAAAATTCACACAAAGGGAAGTCACACGCACTCACTCAAAAACAAAGAGATTTAATCTCTGAAAAAAATTTATATACTTTATGACAATACAGTCAGAAAACAGCTATGACAAAGTGACTTCACATAACTTGGAAATTCTCTGCAAAATTGGTAATTTTTTTGGTCTGGTATGTACGCTAATAGACTTTGGGTGACAACTGAAAGCTAATGAAGTTTGATGACTAAAAACATTAGGGGCCAATTTCTGAAAGTTCAAAAGATCACATCTCAAATAAGCACAAAGACACAAAAAATTTGCTACTTTTATGAATACTTTCAGCAGGTTTATTACTATATCAAATGAGCACAAGCCCAGTGATTCGTGCAAATTAAATTGTGACGATCCGTCCAAGTTCGTCTGTTTGTTCATTCATTCCATCGACATTCATATTATTAGGACTAATATAACGATTGATTGACAAAACGTTTGACCTCCAGTCTCCAGTGATATTAACCTACAATGCAAGCATAGTTAAGCCATGTTTTCAGAGTAACACAAATCATTTGCATCTATCATTGGCATTGGATAACCTCATGAAATTCTCAACAAAGCAAAGCGCTTCCTGCAAAATTGATATAGATAGCTGAAAGAATGTAGCAAGTAGTATCCAATATAATAAAGTTTAACTACGGTAAGTGTAATTACAAGACAATATGTTTTTTGTGCTTTTTCATTCTCTATGAAGTGTGTAAGCAGAACTTTTATAGTTACAAGTTTTGTGTGACTCAGTGAGAACTGGAATGAGGATATATCATGATGTCATACAAAAACAAAAATCCATAACAAATGCTTTCTTTATTTCACTTGTAATCTATGTCGCAAGCCCATGTGCCGCAATTCCATAAATTAGTTGAAGATTTGGTAAAAATTATATCTTGCGTAATTGAAATATTAACTGCAGAAAGTGTAGGACATATCTTGAAGTTTTTAAAATTGCATGAGAAGGTACAGATAGGGCTCAAAATAATTGTTTTTTCATCAGCGGAATAATTGATGGTTTTCTGCCTAATTTTCTTCAGTTTTGTAACATAAACTCTCATGATATTTATGTTACCTTAAAATGTATTTATTCAACCAAAGTATGTGTTAAGTTTTATTTCTGATATCTGTGCTTAATCTAAATATTGCACTGTGCACTCTTGGCAACACTGGGCTAAACAGAGTTGATGGAAATTTGCCTCCGTGACGCGTCACTCCGTGAAAATTTTTCAACTTTATTTTAATTATCTGATATAATTCAAAAACTAGTTGCCTCAAAAACTGAGACGTCACTTTGGGGGTCGGGGCCCAATAATTTACCAATCTGGCAGTTGATAGTTGCTTGTTGTTATTCGCAGTACTTCGAGAGATCTCGTCACTCCGTGACGTCACGGAGTGACAAAAGTGTGCCATTTTTTAAAAATATTATTATTCTGTCTGCTAAGTACTATAATATTGGGTTTGAACTGCAAATTCTTCCGCTTTGCCCTCTACTTACTTTGGATCTTACCCACAAGGAAACTTGGAAGACATGATTAAATGGCAATGGCAACTTTTTTAAAACTGTCAGTGACCAAAATATTTGACCTAACATGTGCCGGTTTTGGACAATATGAACGAACTTATTGTAGACTACAATTAGAAAAAATATGTGATCTGTTGGAATGGCAGAGTAAATATGGTAAAATGCATTGATTTACAATATAATGTGATATTTTTATAATGCTCAAACAATATTAAATCTCAAGTTTTAACATCAGTATCTGGATTTTGGTTTATATTCATTCATCGGGTTAACTCATAGGATGCGAAAAATCATGAAATGTAAAAGAAATAAGATGTGTTTGTCAAAAATTGAAGATTGTTCCAATTAGAAAACGGCTATGCACCACTCATTGTCACCAATAATTATTTTCATGTGCCAACTATATCATGAAGCCGAAAAAAACAAAAATGATGCAATAACGAGTTTTCGCAGCGACATATTTATCACTGTCTTCTTGTTCTGAATATGCAGATTAAGAATACTGTGTTTGGGGCCTACTGCTGCTATGTGTGCTTTGCAAGCAGACGCAAGTACTACCTAACAAGAGAGACTTCAACGCAAGAGAAAAAACTTTTCCATGGTTAATAAATTAGATATCTAAATTACAAAAATCGTCGAATGGTGCGAAGATGCTTAAACTGAATTGCATTAATGAATCCTCCAGATTCTATATTTTGAATTGCCCATACTTAGTCAAGTCACTGCAATAAGATTCCAAATATATAGGAGTGGAAAAGTTATGTCTGTTTCATGCTGGCTGTGCCACATAACCTTTTACTTATCTGTATATATTACTGAAGTTAGTGCAATCGTTTAGCATATTAATATTAGAGTGACACGAGCAGAACGACGAAAAAATATCATGTCCCCTAATTTTTTGTTCAAAAGTTTCGTAATTTCAAACAATTAACCAATTTTGACTACTTACAACTAATTGTTCAACATTCTTAATACCATTTAAATGATAAGGAATTTCTGGGCTGTATAATTGGGCTGCTTCCTGAAAAATGCTTGTTGTACAATAAATTTTGCATAAATGTAGAAATTGATATCTCTAGAATACAGAGACAAGTTATTATATTTAATATGTCATGAAGCTTTTAACGAAATTTGGTTGATATATTGCAGTCATTTTATGCATTCAAGAGTGACATCACTTGTTTTGTCTCGTAATTAGAACAAGAGAGCTATGCTCAAATATATGGACACGTAGCGCCACCCAATGGCAATAATTTTGATGACGTCATAGCGAAAAAAAAAAGTAATAGCCTTCTGGAGAAAAATTTTATCTTCAACCACTGAAAATTTCAAAGCAATTGGTCCAGTATTCGAAGAGAAAAGCGACTTTTTAAAAACGTGTCAAAGAACAACAACAACATAATATTGAAACGATCGTTATGTCCACTTCGTGTCCAAAAATATTTGGTTGGAAGTGAAAAGTGAATTATGGTAAATAAATCAGTGTTACTGCTACCAATTGGCATTCTAAAAATAGCAAACCACCAAGACCTTGATATAGAAAAATTGATTAAATGTGTGAAATGTCCCTCCGTGACATTTATGGAATTGCTGTGTGGTACTTTTATGTTGCATGTTAAAAACTCATTGAAATTCGGAAAAGTTCCATATTGTGTGTATTATTAAAAGCCACCTTGTACAGCAGTCTTTCATATATTTCGTGGATCTATTGATCATTTATGACCTCCTCTTTCATGAAGCAATGCATGATCCTCAAAGCCAGACAGTATAAACAAAAAAATTACGTATTTTACCTAGTCTTGTTTATGAAATACAGCATCATCACACATATACATGCACAGAATGCAAGGCTTGCAATGAATAGTCTGTACTATGACTTGGTTAAGTAAGGATGGTAACTGTGCAATGTTTATTAAAAGATTAGATGTAAAGAATAATTCCTCACATTGCTTTCCATTTAAACATCGACGTACACCGAGTAGCCTAAAATGTATATGAATCATATTAATAACTCAATACTTCTAAATAGACAGTATAAAAGATACATGATAGTGGATTCTTTCACTCACATGCAGTGGAATAACCTAATAAAAATACAGTATTTCCCGGCTAATAGGTTCAGCCCACAAATAAGATAAAGCCAATTTTTAGCATTGAATATCTGGATTTTCCATACTACTACCAAATTGGTCAAGCAAAAAAATCAATTCTTGTTCACCAGTTGAAGCACCAAAGCTCGCTCATAATTTTATTTTAATTGGAATCAGACATGACCTGGTTCTAGTCAACCACGAGTGCATGCGTTACTTTTTTCAAGTTAAAATTCATTTTGACAATGATTTTTCCATAAAAACTGATGTTGGGCATAAAATTTTTAGGACACAGGCAACAGGTCAATGACTTCATTTTATGAATGGCCATATTTAATGTTGTTGTGAGTTGGCAAAATACCAACTTTGGTGGAATGTAGGCCAATGCTGCAAAAAATCACAAACATCTTCATTACCAGACAAATGGCAAAGTTCAAGCATATATCGATTTTCATGATTAAGCAAGATAATAATGCCAGGCCATCCTTCAACATTTAATTACTTCCAATATTACATCAATTCATTGACTGAAAAAATTGGATATTAAATACAGCATTTCCCGACTAAGATAAGTCTACCCGGCAAATGAGACTATGTTTATTTTAAGCACCGAAATGTTTTTTTCCACATAAAGGTAAATAAAGACAGTAGAACAAGATGTTCTGCTGAGCACCAATATGCGCTCATAATTTTATGTGGTTAGAACCAGGTCATGGCTGTTGCAGTAGAATCATACTCACAGAATTAGCTACTCCTAATAATAAAGCAGTACTTAATACCGAAGGGTTTATCTTGTAATTGCCTTTTTCTTTTTTAAGCACCGATTCGGATATAAATAGGTGGAGGCCTTATTGCATTAGTGATGATTGCTATTAAATTTTTAAAAAGAATATGACAAATATTAGCTGGTAGTATAAAGTCAAATATATAGGCTACCAGTAATTGTGACTGGCAGACCGTTTGATGTCGAATACATATATACTAAACCAAATATAAAATTACCACAAAT